TTATATATTTTGTTTTCCACTTCCTACCTGCCACCAACCTAAAGACCACAATTATGGAGACACAGTCACAGCTCAAATATTAGAGGGGTTTGCAACAAGAACTTTGTTTTTCAATTGAGGCAACACCAGCAACATGACAATATCGTTATGTAATGTTTTTTGACATAATTACATAAGAACATACGAAATATGTACATATTTGTTGTAGATGCTTTGACAATTGTTACAACCGAATTAAAATATTTAAAATCCTCTATGTAATTAGTGGTGCCATGTATATTGCTCCTTTAGATAAAAAGCATATATTATCACAAACTCTCATACTTATAATCGGATTCTAGGATTTATAAACATGGAAATGTTAAAAATCCATTAGGTACTCTTAAACACAGGGGCAAACCTATCCGCTACCTTTACACAAACACCGACATAGCTCTACGGCATACAATCTCCAATCTATATAATACGCTACCAATAATAATTTAGAGCTAATTTCCTTTCATCATCATCAGCCTATATGCTCACAGCTGAGCAAAGGCCTCTCTCCTCTCATACGGAGAAGGTCAAAGTATTAATCACCACGCTTGCTCAATGCGGCTTGGCGATTTCAAACTTATAACCAGAAATTATAAGTCCAGGTTTCCTCACGATGTTTACCTTCACCGTATCTCAGTGGTGTCTAAATAATCATTCATCGTCAACCTATAAGTGCCCACTGTTGAGCAAAGGCCTCTTCTCACACAGAGAAGGTTTTGAGCATTAATCACCACGCTTGCTCAATGCGGGTTGGCGATTTCAAACTTACAATTAAAAAATATAAGTCCAGGTTTCCTCACGATGTTTTGCTTTCACCGTTTGTCAGTGGTGTCTAAATAATCATAAAAAGTGCATATGAAAAAAGTCACATTGGTACCTGCCAGGTTTCGAACCCACACCCTCATGCATGAGAAGCAGGCTGCTTGTTTTTCTTTTTGTGTATTTTCTTTGTTTTTCTTTCTTTCTAACTTTCTTTGTGTAATGGATACGCAGAAGAACTAGTTTTTCGCAGACCTCTTCGGCTTGAGCCTTCCGGTTGAGTTAACTGTCGATTAAGACTAATTCAATCTTAAAGCCACATTTACCCTGTCTACTATTTGTTTTTATAGTTAATGTTGATGTTTTTGGGATAAATTCTCTAAAATTGCATAATTTTTTTATTTTGTACATTTACGTATTTATTGTAAATTTTAAAACAGTCCGAAGGGTTTTATTGATGTCCCTTCATACGCCTGAATGTTACGACATTCTGTTATTAGTGTGCTATCGACAACAAATAGCAACATTGGCTGACAATTTGACGTGGGACATCTTTCATGCACGAAACAACAATGGTCCGAGCACACTACCTTGCGTAACTACCCTTCCTTGGTTCCCTAATGGAAGATGTATATCTTATTATGTTTGACTTAACGTTGTTTAACTGAGCAAATCGTTGATATTTCTGTGTATTGTTTCCGACCGCGTAAATAAGATTTTTTCATTATAGTGATTAACCGCGAATTCCGTATGCATGGAGTTTACTCAAGAAAGTCTTATAATCTTGTGATCAACACAAACAAAAGCTTTTGACATATCGGTAGGTATATATTTATTTAGTTATTTATTTTATTTATTTATTTAGATTTACCAACATTTGTTTACACCAGTATAATATAATAAATACATGAAAGTTCTTAAAGTAGGTGTAACAAAACACTTATAGGTAAATACACCATTATCTAGTATACCTTACTGTTATATAATATAAAGTACTTAGAAAACAGCTGTTATATATAGATATATTAACACAAAAAAAGGATAGCAAGAAAAAACAAAAAAATTAAGAGAGACATTTAACCCACATTTATGCGTTTTTTATAATTTTCTGTTCTGTGGTTTTTTAGTTTTTATTGGACATTTATCTTAGCAGCGTAGATCGGAACCGACCAAATGATGTCGCGTGAATGTCCACTAAATCGCTACAGTCGTTTAGTAATCTACATAGTCTTGGTAATGGGGAATTTGCTCCTAGTACAGTCCTGCGAGGAGGCGGATACAGAGGGGTGATGCGATTACGTGGGTATCTAGCAGGCACTCGGTATTTCACTTTGTTTTAAAGCACTGGGCAGTCTACAATATTGTTCATTAATTTATACATGAATCAGACATCAGACAATTCTCTACGACTATTTAAGGATATCATTCAATATTGCGAAAGTTTGTTTTTGTACGATGCCTTTCTTATTGCCTTATTACTGCCTTTTACTAGATGCCACATGAATCGCTTCTGTATTCGTTCCATCGAAGTGAATGTGTAGCAAAATGAGGCCTCTACACAACACTGCAATAATCTAGGGTACTACGTACAAGGCTATTAAACAATACTATTTTTGGACGATTTGCGGAAAATTTTTCCATTTCGTATTATAAATCCCAACATTCTAGAGGCATTTTTAATTATAATCTCTAGATGAGGTAAAAAAGTCTTCTTACCTCATCTAAATAAATCTTTTTATCAAATATATGGAACAAACCGTTTTTTAGCATCTTTATTTAACATTGTTTTACTAATAAAGACGATTGAATTATTTAAATTGTATTTTTTATTCTTTCTAATACCATATTCTTGGTCACCTAATAAATTATATTTTCATGTAAATTTGTGAATATTTTCTTCTAAGACCGAAGTCCAGAGAACACTTTGGCGGCTTTAGAGAACGCCAATGCAATAGGTCCATAATTAGTAATTTATTCTTATTTATTCTTGTAATTTCTTCTTTGCAGTTATATTAGGGATTTTATTGTGCACGCATAAATTGTTAATGTGGCACAAGGGCCTGACTATTCCCAGAAACAAATTTTGGAAAGCTTCAGTCGAGATGTGTAACCAACAGCTTTTTCAAGTCATTTTTTATGCGAGTAACAAAATCCTCCAAAATGTAATTTAATAATGCCTCCAAGCATGAATATTGAAAGAGGATAGTTGTTCATTGTTAAAAAAATCTCCGATTCACATTTTAGTACTTATACCTTTATTAGTCTATAAAGAACTTATTTAAGGCTTTATAACGATACATTTCAAGCTACGAGTTTAGCATTATCGTTAAAGCGTCAGTAGTTTAGTAGATGTTTGCATGCATTTGTAAGTTGAGTTAATTATTAGGAAAACATCACTGATATACCATGCGCGACGTATCATTCATCATTGACATACTATTGTGTGTACAGTATTATAAGTAGGTTCAGCTATTAATGTACTATAATAAATAATAAAATAGTATTTCCATAGTTATCATATCCACCAATCAATAGCAACCCATACCCATACCCTATAAATTTTTACCACATTTCGCAATAGTCCTGCATCAACCGGGGATTGTCCTTGGGTGCACTTTCATAGTGCATACAGGGATAATTGCCGGCTGATGTCCCATTTCACTTATATTAAAGTTGTTCAAAGGGCCTCTGCGAGTTGGCTTCGGCCCCTCGTACGCCTTCCAAAAGTCCGGGACCCTGTGGTCCCGTGAGTGAGAAGGACCACACAAATAATAAAATGAAAAAATACGTCTGCCACGTTTAAAAATGAACTAAAAAGTAAAAAACAAGATGTCAAGAGGAAAGGATAAGTAAATTTTACTGCGAATTTTTACCGCTAACAAAGAAACCCTATACCTAACATCAATTTTTTTTGGACAATCGTGTAAAAAGATTACTTCGATACATGTTTACTTACTGTGGAGAAACATCGAAGCTTAGTCAGAGGTTCATTTTCAAATACGGATGGAATAAGATTAAAAAACCCACAAAGGATCTTCAAAATGGGAGTGGGTTACATTCACAAAAATATACGGCTACTCTCACGCAAATTGTTAAGAAAGCTCGAGTAGTTTCAAGTCACGCTGGGGCTCATACGTGCTGCGTGCAGCAAAACTCGTGATATCACGTTTATGACGACATACACAAGTGATTCTTACATCATAAACATAAGGCACATTATAGGTTTTAAGCTGATAACAAAAACATTGAGATTGAATATACAAGATACCCGGAGTAAAACATTACGCCATGATTACGCTATACTCGTTTGCACCAATCAATGACAATGTAACTTTCATTCTTTATTTACTTATCAAGTTTAAGCTATTTTTGGAAGATTTTACTTTTTTTATTAACAAATTAGTTCTCTCGCCCTGAGTGAGACGGTGGGAGTGTCAGACTCTTACTGGCTAAACTCCTCCTCCCTCTTTTTCCTGCTCTAGGCCAGGTTATTGCTCTTACCCAAAAACCTTGGATGAATAATGACCCTGTTGGTCCCATCTGTGGTGGTCTATTGGTTCTTTGAGACGCACCGTACATAAGGATTTGGTTCTGGTCGGGCGGTGAGCTGCCCTTGCTCACGACGACTGGAGATTCTCTTGCAACGGCATACTTACGGCACGAATTCCGCCTTCTTCTTTGCTAGCCAATAAGACTTTGCAAAAGGAGCAGGTTCCCAGTTCCTATTCGGTTTTCCTGTTTTTCAAGCAACGAACGCATAGTTAAGTTCATGGACATATAACTAGTTCTCATTACCAAATCCTCTTTTCTGTATCTATTTAAAAATTAAAAATTTATTGCAGTTAACGACTTACTCACGTGAATTAACTGAGAGAAGCTCTACTAGTTTCAAGTCATAACGGGACTCTTATTCATGAGCAGAATTCTCGTTCTGCGTAGATGCGAAGAAGTAGTCATTTAAAATTATCATTTTCTCACCATTCCGAAAAAAGTGCTTGATTTGAGTATATCTAATTGGAACAGGAAAAGGTATTTAAAAATAGGCTGTACATTGTTATGCACATTTATCTTTCTAGTTATCAATGATTGAGCTAGATATTAAAAGATATGCGACGTGTACACCATAATATGCTTTATCATTATTCGGGAGTACACATCGTTGAGGCGGGTATATATCTACCCGCCGGCATCTATAATCCCATCAGTGTCAGTTTGCTCACCAAGCCGGTAACGCCACAGACTCGTAAAACAATTTGTAAGTACCAGCTCACTGCTCTAACTCTCTCTCTCTCTCTCTCTTCTACAAATATCTAAAAAATGTTCTTTTAACTTCTATTTCTTTTTTTTCTTCTTTTCTATAGATATAGTTTAGCTTAATACAAACTCGTTTGCTTTTGTTCTTTTCTATTTAATTTATATTGGTTTATTGCATTTATAGTCTTCCTGGCTTCTTAAAGTTCTTTTTTGAAATCTTTGAGACTAAAAGTTAGTTTCATGTTAGTGGTTGGCGGTAATTGATTGGAATATATTGTTTTAGAAACATGCCGAAATACGTATTCACCTACTTTAAAGGAAAGGGTATGGGTGAGTCAGTGCGTTTGCTGCTGGCTTATGGTGATGAAGGATTTGAAGACCGCCGAATAGACGCCAAGGACTGGCCGAAGTATAAGCCAAGTAAGTAAAAACTTTTTCAGGAAATTCTCCAGCTTTTTCTTTTGGGTGCATTTCGATTCGCTATCGAAGTTATCTCATATATGTACTGCCGTTTGAGTTTTCGGTAAAAATCTACGTTGAAATCAGCAGTACAGGAATTTTGGACAGGATAGGACAGGACACGAACTATACTTAAAAAATACTCATAAAAAATCACAAGCCCTTAGTTTCCACTCACAGCCTTCGCTCCTCACCCTTAGTACTAGAAGATAACAAAGTTTTAATATCTTTGCTTGTTAATTACCAATATAGTCTCACCCGATGTTCAGGTCACAAATGTCAAGACTGACTTGACACAATCAAAAAAAGTCAAAGTTTAAAACAGTTATCCGACAGTATGGGTCTGATCGTCAGTGAAGCTAGATGCTCGATCGTAATTGTAGAATACAATGGAGAAGAACAAGCAAGAAAGCCCATTTCATTATGTGTACTAACAATAATGGTTTTCTTTATCAGATACTCCATTCGGGCAGATGCCATTGCTGGAGTTCGACGGCAAGACGTACGCTCAAAGTCTGTCCATCGCTCGGTACCTCGGCAAGAAGTACGGTCTGGCTGGAGACTCCCTCGAGGATGCTCTGGAGATCGATCAGAATGTCGACCTCATCAACGACCTTCGTGCAAGTTAGTGTCTTGTTGAATTTTATGTATATGCTTTGACCATTTTAAAAAAAAAATTAAGCTTGGATAGTTTCAGATATTAATTTTCTCAGTTGAGAATTTAGTGACTGGCTGAATTTGCATAATTTTAGGATAACGTAACTGGTATTTATTATTCAACTTAAATTGATTTTAATTCACTTTTTGTCATTTCACAGGAGCTGCAATTGCTCTCTACGAAAAAGACGAGGCTGTGAAGAAGGCGAAATACGCTGAATTCAACAAGAATGACTTCCCTCACTTGTTGAAGAATCTAAATGATGTCATCACTAAGAACAACGGCCATATTGCCCTTGGAAAGGTAAAGAGAAATTAAACCCTTAATCGTACCCCGAAAGATCGTGCCTCGGAGAGGCTCACCCATATTGTTCTAAATCCTACTACTATTATAAAGGCGAAAGTTTGTAAGTATGGATGTATGGATGTTTGTTACTCTTTCACGTAAAAACTATTGAATGGATTTGAATGAAACTTTACCACAATATAGCTTATACATCAGAATAACACATTTTTGAGGTTTCTAATCTGAGGTTGTAAAAAAACACATTTTTTGCGCTTACGTTTCCAAAGCGAAGAATCTGCATGTTTATGCTGAAGGAAGAACATCGTTAAATGTAGTTTATAGGAGCATACTGCAGTAGCTACCTATAGACCTATGATTAGGGCTCTGCAGTGCTTAGTTACCGTATTTATTACTTATTACTAGACTAGACGCGACGAACCTGAAGTGCACGCGAACAAAGTCGCGGGCAAAAGCTAGTTATGAATATTAATTTATTAGTCTCGTGAAGCAAGTAGTCTAGTTCCCATCAGGTAGATTATTGTGACGGAAAAGTGGTTCAAACTCTTTGACATCATGACGTCAATGGATGGTTGTCAAACGTTGCCTAGAGATTGTAAATTTCGTCGTGAATTGTCAACACGAGTTGGTGTAATCGGTAAGGCGTGTGGATTACACCACAGAGACCCCGAGTTCGAGTCCCGCCGTAAACATGAAGTTTTTTAGTTTATAGAAGTTTTGTCGAACTTTCTGGAATTATTTGTGTGAAAGAAATGAAAAATTAAAAGAGCGAGAAGGAGAATAAATAAAAATGAATAACGAAATTATTGGAAGGTTCTGGAGGCATGACGATCAAAAAGAATAACGAAATTGAATGTTCCAGAACCTGACCGGGGGTATATAAGCGGAACTGCGGCTCACCGCTGGCAGTTGAGTTCTAAGTCTAAAGCGATTCGGAAGAAAAGGAAGAAGTGAGAAAGAAGAAAAGTGAGTGAAATAGTGAAGTGCAGTGAAATAGTGAAGTGCAGTGAAATAGTGAAGTGCAGTCAGTTAAGTGAGTTAAGTCAGCGTGAACGGCAAAGTTGTGTCAGTCGGCCGGACTCTGCTGGAGAGGAACGCCGATAACTTAACTCCGTGGACGCTGTAACTTAAGTGCAATAGAAAGTCTGAAAACCGGTATTAGTGTTTCATTTCATCCAATCCCGTAACCCAAGCCCGTAAGTCAGGCACGTAACATTTGGTGTCAGAAGTGGGATTGGAGAAAAATGCCGCTAGTGCCGCAGGACGTAAGAGGAGTGAGTACCCGTTCAATGTCAGAAGCGCAGCGTGTGAGGGAAGAGGGTGCTGCAGCTCAAACCAGCGATGCAGAAGCCAAGCCTGTGCAGGTGGATCTTCTGCTACAGCTGCAGCAAATGATGGCAGAGCAAGCGCGCCGCCAAGAAGAGCAAGCGCGCCGCCAAGAAGAGCAAGCGCGCCGCCAAGAAGAGCAAGCGCGCTGTCAGGCAGAACAGCTGCGGGAGCTGAAAGAAGAGCAAGCGCGCCGCCAAGAAGAGCAAGCGCGCCGCCAAGAAGAACAAGCGCGCCGCCAAGAGGAGCAAGCACGCTGTCAGGCAGAACAGCTACGGGAGCAAGCACACTGTCAGGCAGAGCAGCTACGGGAGCTGAAAGAGATGCATAAGGATTTCACGAAGGGACTGCAAAAGGCTGTCGAACGGGTACAGGAAGTGGAGGAAGGGTTAGGCAAGTTGGAACATCGCGTCATGGCCATAGAGGAGAGAGTGGAAGAAGAGATCTCCAAAATCAAGCAGGAAATGACAAGCCCAAGCCCTTTGAAGAGCCGAAGCCGTCTTGCAGCCGTTTTTGACGCCCCAAATGCGGCCTCAAGCGCAACGAAAGGGCTCAAGATTCCCCATTACGACGGAACAACATCCTGGACCGCGTTCAAGCTACAGTTCGAGACACTTATGGAGGCTTATGGTTGGACTCAGAAGGAAGCACAGTCAGCCCTCACCCTGGCCCTCCGTGATCAAGCGCTCTCAGTGCTGGAAGCTATCGGCGCAAGTGGGGATCTCAGCTTTAGTGCCCTCCTCGACGCACTGGAGGCACGTTTTGGAGACAGCCACCTCGAGCACGTGTACAGAGCGCAATTAAAAGAGCGTACTCAGCGTGCTAATGAGAGCCTACAGCAATGGTCCGTGGAAATCGAGAAACTTGTGCGTCGAGCTTTCCGGTCGACTCCGTCAATGATTGAAGGCACGCTTCTCCAAGCATTCATTGACGGTATTCGGGACCCCGAAGTACGAGCTGCTGTTCATCTGGGCCATCACAAGAACATGAAAGAAGCTCTGGCCCATGCATTGGAAGTGAAAGCCGTGCGTGGCAACCCCCGCACCTTAGGTCTGCGGGAAATGACGACAACGGAGCAGGTACCTCCACGCCGTCGGAACTTCATGTGCTATGGATGCGGAGAGCGTGGGCACATACGGAGCGACTGCCCGAAGAAGATGAACCGCCTGGACGCGGCGGTCTCAACTTCTGACCAGCAGGGAAACTTAAATCCAGCCAAGGCTGCGGGGTGGGCGCTGGCTGGAAGTGGAACAACCCCAACAATCTACATCAAGCAAACCAACGATGGAAATACACTGGTGATAGACGGTCAAGTAAATGGGAAAAACAGTCAGCTAACATTAGATACTGGAGCTTCAAGGACGGTGATAAATGTTCGGCTGTTTGGGCAAAACATCAGGAAACACCTTAAACCAATTGTTGGCCTACGAATGAAATCAGCTACCGGCCAGTGCATACCGATAAGTGGAAAACTGCATGTAACAATCAAAATTGGGGAACGTGTTTATCGACATGAGGTTATTGTGGCCGAAATTCTGGATGACTGCATCCTGGGACTTGACTTCCTGCAAGGGCACCAGTGTAACATCGACTTAAAATCTGGAGTATTACTATGTGGAACTGAGGAAATTCCGATGAAGGGTGGAACCCTGGGAAAAGTTTGCTGTTTAAGAAGAACTGTTCTTGCACCAAAATCACAGACTCTCGTACCAATCGCATTACCTAGGAGGAGGGAAGGAAGTTTACCTCGAAGGTGCGCTGTGATTGATAAATCGGAACACGTAAACTCATGGCTACCGGCAAGAACTGTCGTGGGGTCATCTGATGTCAACCGCATTCCGGTATTCAACTTCAGTGATTCAAAAATTACGATTGAAGAAGGAGAGCCTGTGGGCGTATTGGAAGAAGTGGCCTGGATAAGAAAATGCTCGGAAAATCTTGTGAAGAAGGACAGTACGGGAATAGACTTTGTAACGAAAATCTTAGACGAAAACAAAAGTCTGACAAAAGTGGAGACTATGAAAGCTAGAAATTTACTTCTTCGATTCTCTGATGTGTTTTCAAGAAGCGATGGTGATATTGGCCGAACTGGTTTGGTGAAGCATAAAATAAACACAGGTGATACAATGCCAATTCGTCAAAGGCCCAGACGTATACCATTCGCTCGTGAGAAAGAGGTTGAACAAATGATTGACGATATGAGGAAAAATGACGTGATAGAGCCCTCTTCTAGCCCTTGGTGTTCACCTGTCGTGCTTGTCAAGAAGAAAGATGGTTCAACGAGGTTTTGCGTAGACTATCGACGATTGAATGATGTAACCAAGAAGGATAGCTACCCGTTACCAAGAATCGATGACACACTTGACACACTGAGTGGCATGAAATGGTTTTCAACGATCGATCTGAAAAGTGGCTATTGGCAGGTGGATTTGGATCCCAAGGACAAGGAAAAGACCGCATTCTCAACTGGGAAGGGACTCTGGCAATTTAAGGTGATGCCATTTGGATTATGCAATGCACCGGCAACCTTTGAGCGTTTAATGGAACAGGTGCTGGCGGGACTGCTGGGCGAAACCTGCCTAGTTTACCTCGATGACATCATCATTGTTGGACGGGATTTTGACGATCATCTAAGAAAATTGGAAAAGGTACTCGACAAGCTGCGTGGAGCAAATTTAAAGTTGAGTCCAAAGAAATGCTCTTTCTTCAAGCGCGAAGTGAATTATCTAGGACATGTTATTTCTGAGAGAGGAATTGAGACTGATCCAGCCAAGACTGTCGCTGTTAAGGAATGGCCAACACCTAAAGACAAAACGCAAGTTCGGGCATTTCTTGGATTGTGCTCGTATTATCGGCGGTTTGTGAAAGGATTCTCGGACATTGCCAAGCCTTTGCATCGATTGACAGAGGAGAAACGTGCCTTTATCTGGGACGAGGATTGTGAGCAAGCCTTTCGAAAACTAAAAGAACGGCTTTGTAACACACCAATTCTCGGATACCCCAGCGCGAAAGGAATATTCGTAGTTGATACGGATGCCAGCAATATTGGAATAGGAGGTGTCCTTTCACAACGCGATGGTGAGCAGGAGAAGGTTATTGCTTACTTCAGCAAGTCACTATCTAAGCCGGAGAGGAATTATTGCGTGACCAGGAGGGAATTGCTGGCCGTAGTCAAAACTCTGCACCATTTCAAGAAGTATTTACTGGGACGGAAATTTTTGATCAGAACTGATCACGCTGCTTTGAAATGGCTGCTTCAGTTTAAGGATCCCGAAGGCCAAGTAGCCAGATGGTTGGAACAACTTCAGGAATTTGACTTTGAAATCGAACATCGCGGCGGAAGAATTCATGGCAACGCAGATGCATTATCGAGACGCCCATGCGTGGAAGATTGCAAGCATTGTGCCAAGAAGGAAACTGCTTTTCTTAAGGTGATAAGGACTGATACTGTTGACGAGGCATGGGGAGATGATGCGATGAAATTAGAACAGGAAAGAGATGCAGATATTAAACCAATACTGGAGTGGCTACGAAGTGGTAACAAGCCAAGTTGGAGTGACGTCGCCCAATATAGCGCGGTAACGAAAGGTTTATGGGCACAGTGGAAAAGCCTTACGCTGCATAACGGACTTCTGTGCAGGAAATGGGAATCAACAAACGGCAAGGACGAGCATTTGCAATTGGTGGTGCCTCGTTCAAAAATAAGGGATGTATTAAAAGCGTTCCATGATGGATCTTCTGGAGGACATTTGGGAATTAGGAGGACTTTGGTGAAGATCAAGGAGAGGTTTTATTGGTTGCATTGCAAATATGACGTCGAAGATTGGTGCCGGAAATGCACTAGTTGTGCAGCTGTCAAGGGTCCACAAACAAGAAGCAGAGGGGCGATGAAAATCTACAATGTTGGTATGCCTTGGGAGAGAATAGCCTTAGACATCGCTGGACCATTTCCAATCACTGATTCGGGCAATCGCTACGTTTTAGTGGTTATGGATTATTTTACAAAATGGCCGGAGGTCTTTGCCATACCGAATCAAGAGGCAGTAACTGTAGCCACGAAGTTGGTAAACGAGGTATTCACCCGATTCGGAGTGCCCTTGGAGATGCACAGTGATCAAGGACGGAATTTTGAATCCCAAGTTTTTCAAGAAACTTGTAAACTTTTGGGAATCCATAAGACTCGAACGACCCCTTATCATCCACAGTCAGATGGAATGGTCGAACGCTTCAACCAAACATTGGAGCGACACTTAGCAAAGGTGGTTGACAGCCATCAGAGAGATTGGGACACTTACATACCTCTCTTCTTGCTTGCCTATCGGACTGCTGTACATGAAAGTACCGCAAAGACGCCTGCATTTGCAAATTTTGGAAGGGAATTGAGATTACCGGCAGATCTTGTATCGGGCTGTCCACCTGGCGACACTCGCACCGAGTTTAGCGATTACATAAACGAGTTAAGGGCAAAAATGTTGGACATTTATGAGCAGATCAGGGAGGCCGGTCTTCAAGCTAGTGATCGCGCAAAGACGCGCTATGATCGACGAGCCAATTCTGTTGGGTTTGAAGAGGGGTCATTGGTCTGGCTTCATAATCCAGTCAGAAGGAAGGGAAAATCTCCGAAGCTTCAACCGAGTTGGGAAGGTCCTTATGAGATAGTCACGAAGATCAATGACATTACTTACAGAATTCGGAAGACTTCAAGGAGCCCTTTGAAAGTTGTCCATATAGACAGGTTGGCGAGGTATTACGGCAGCAACGATGCTCGGGACGAGCGAATCTAAGAGGGGGGCAGTGTGACGGAAAAGTGGTTCAAACTCTTTGACATCATGACGTCAATGGATGGTTGTCAAACGTTGCCTAGAGATTGTAAATTTCGTCGTGAATTGTCAACACGAGTTGGTGTAATCGGTAAGGCGTGTGGATTACACCACAGAGACCCCGAGTTCGAGTCCCGCCGTAAACATGAAGTTTTTTAGTTTATAGAAGTTTTGTCGAACTTTCTGGAATTATTTGTGTGAAAGAAATGAAAAATTAAAAGAGCGAGAAGGAGAATAAATAAAAATGAATAACGAAATTATTGGAAGGTTCTGGAGGCATGACGATCAAAAAGAATAACGAAATTGAATGTTCCAGAACCTGACCGGGGGTATATAAGCGGAACTGCGGCTCACCGCTGGCAGTTGAGTTCTAAGTCTAAAGCGATTCGGAAGAAAAGGAAGAAGTGAGAAAGAAGAAAAGTGAGTGAAATAGTGAAGTGCAGTGAAATAGTGAAGTGCAGTGAAATAGTGAAGTGCAGTCAGTTAAGTGAGTTAAGTCAGCGTGAACGGCAAAGTTGTGTCAGTCGGCCGGACTCTGCTGGAGAGGAACGCCGATAACTTAACTCCGTGGACGCTGTAACTTAAGTGCAATAGAAAGTCTGAAAACCGGTATTAGTGTTTCATTTCATCCAATCCCGTAACCCAAGCCCGCATAGTCAGGCACGTAACATTATAATATGACTACTATTGGTGTAATCTTGTTGTATTATGTATTTTTGCAGTCAAAATGATCGAAATACATTTTAGTTTAACTTACTTTAAACTTTATTGCGACTAAAAATGGCTCAGGATCAATATTGTCTTTAACACACTAATACACCTACAACTTCGCCACTTTTCCGCGCATACTTAAATAAAAATTCTGTTTCAGCTGACTTGGGGAGACTTTGTCTTCGCGGGTTTATTTGAATACATCAAGATCTTGGTGGTTGTACCTGATCTGGAGAAGAAGTACCCAGCATTCCAGAAGGTCTTGGACAACGTTTACTCCATTCCCAAGGTTAAGGCCTACGCTGATGCTTTAAATAAATAAAAATAAATTAATGGGATATGTAGGACAAGATAGCATTTTTATGTTTGTTAAGGCAATCTTATATAAACATTTTTTACCAAGATTTGAGTTATTAAGAAAAGAGTTAGAGTCTTAATATTATTCTGATCATTTTTATTTAATATTTAACTCTTGTATATTTTATAACTAAACTAAATAAATAACTAAGAATTTATATTTGTTTTCTACTACTGACCTGTTCCTACTAAAAGCATGTGGTGATCGCAATCACAGAAACAGTGGCAGTTCAAGTACCACTTGCATTCGAAATGTATTGAAGCATTCGTTGGCCTGGACTACTTTGTTAAGAACGTATTCTCAGGCATTTTGTAAATACTACACGCCATTTTTCCTTCTTTTCAATAAACTACTATGTAGAACTTTTGAGAAACCCAAAAATCTATAATCAGAAAGTACTTAGAAAAACATCGATCCGCCCCGTGAAGTTCATAACGATGTCCTAATATTGTCATCTGGTGTTTAACAATTTGAGTGTAGTAGTAAAACTAATTATAATCTAGCTAGCATGTAGCTCAAACCTGCATGTAGCTAGTGACTTTCTTGAATAAATCACCTGGACTACGGCAGCAAATTTTTAAAGGGTTTACTGACTCCCGGTCTTCAATTGTTTTATCGCCAACAAGTCACCCAAAATTGTGGGAAAAGTAGAAGTCTGTCTGGTGAGCACGGTGGATGACGTCTAGTTCAAGGCATGTCAAATGTAGGTTATCCAAGTGGCTAGGGTTTATAGCATAGATATTTCCAATGGAGGTGGAGCTCTCGACATGAACAAGTCATCCAAATTCTGATTTAAGTAGAAGTCTGTAGATGCAAGAGTCTGGTTTGGACGGCGGACGACGGCCAAGTCTATACTCAATCGTTAGCTGAACAATAGAGTCGCTCCAGGTCGCAATACCGCCAATTCCAGAAATTAAGTCATAAACGCTTTTCTCGGGATTTTCGCAGTAGCAGAGGAAAAAAAGGAAGTCATCTTGCGGAAATGTGAATTTATCCCACAAACTTACTTGCAGAGTAACGAACTGATACTGAATAATGGACTCAAGTGTTAAACGACAACAACACATGGATAGTATTGAGAGGAATTCGATAAGTCGAAGTATGCGTAGTGCTGCTTATAAATTAACTAAAAATCGCGGGTTACTCACGTGTAAATATTGAGAAAAGCTCTACTAGTTTCGAACCACAGAGGGGTTCTTCCTCATGAGCAGCGTGCGCGGACGCGGCGACGTCGCCGCGCTTTTCTCAATATTTACACGTGAGTAACCCGCAATTTTTAGTTAATTTAGTATGCTGCTTATAATGCAAATGCAGGATATGTAGACAGTTGTCACCAACTAATAGTTGATGAGGCTCTCATAAACACATTAAATGTAGTAAGAATTAATATTTAAATAACAAATTAACTTTTAATCTTGTCACGTGGGCTGAGACCACCCGTACAAAAATTACCTACAGTCATCTGGGCTGCGTTGGGTACTTCCCAAAATGGTTGATCAAAACAATGGCCCTTTTTTGTCAAGGGAAACTCATCAAATGACTTCTCCCGCCCAGGGTGGGGCGAAAAGGAGTGTCAGGCTAAGAACTCACGGAGCGATTTTCGCCCGCGTCCGCTGCGGTTGCGGGCCCGCAGCTTCTGTAGAATTCAAATATTTATATAAAAAATTAAAGCACATTTCACGACGCGTTTTACGCCCGCGGTGTACGCGGTTGTATGCGGCTCCCGCTGTACCGGCGGGCAACTAGTAGAATCGCGCGGGCCGCGGTTACCCGCAGCCTCGGCGGGTGGCACCCGCGCGCTTTGCGATCGGTTGGCGAGCGACCGCGGGGGCCGGCGGGTCTTCTGTGATGTAAATATAACGCAACAGCTCGTTTCTGGTGTGTGTCCATGGCGGTCTGGACCTCAACTGATCGTTAACCGCCCGTCTTGCAATCTTGCGATCATCGCCCGCCACGTTTGCGGGCGATGATCGCAACCGCGGCGGCTGTGTAACCGCGCAAATAACCGGTCTCGTGAGTTTGGAAATAAAACCGCAGTTCCGCTACCGCGGCGGGCACGGTTCAAAATCGCTCCGTGAGTTCTTAGCCGAACTGCGGTTTTATTTCCAAACTCACGAGACTGCAAGACGGGCGATTAAAGATCAGTTGAGGTCCAGACCGCCATGGACACACACTAGAAACGAGCCGTTGCGTTATATTTACTTCACAGAAAACCCGCCGGCCCCCGCGGTCGCTCGCCAACCGATCGCAAAGCGCGCGGGTGCCACCCGCCGAGACTCCTACTGACTAAAACCCCCGTTCCTTCTCCTGCTCTAAGGCCTCGTTTACGTTTAAGCAGCGCGTTGTGTGTCGGATGTGCGGTTCGTCATACATTGCTCGTGATGTTCATATTTTTGTGTTTGCACGGCCGTTGACACGACTTGATGCTGTAATATACGACAAACGAAATACGCGCCGCACAAAGCCCCGCGTGTATGTAAACGAGACCGCGGTGCCTTATTGCGCTTACCCCGCAACCCCGGATCAAAACAATGGCTGACAGCTCGGGCAGACCGGCTTTTTCAGCGAGTTGGTGAACTGACTCAGTAAAACCGTCGATAAATCTATATATTTATGTCTAACTTGTGGTTTTTGTATGGGCTGACATGGGCACGGACCACAAGCCGTGAAGAATTTTATCTAATATTATAGTAAAGAAGTCCTCCGACATCCACCGTCCTTGCCAGACCTTGCGCCTACAGTCTTCTTTTTTTTCCAGAACTTGGGTTACATGTTGGCGGTAAAACAATTTAATTCCCGAGAGTCCAATTGTTTGCTTCCCGTCCACCTGATTTGTTCAAGAAGTGTGCTACTTGCTAACTAGCTGGTGATTAGTTTTAGTAACATCTTTGTAATCTATTAATCCACGTTGTCATGGTACCAGAACCATGGCGTTACGCTAGTTAATAGTATTATCTAGTTTTTGTCAACTAAAGAGCGGCTTAGTCAAAATATTGTTACATGACACAGCATGATAGTTAAACACAAGACAATATTGGGGCATCGTTATGAACTTGACGGGGTGGACGATTTTTTTGCCGAGTAATCTCTTATTATTGCATTTTGGGTTCCTCTTAATTGGAACTTAGTCAGATGCAGTAGTAAAGTTTTCTACAAAGAAGTTTTTAGAAAACAAAGAAAGATGGCGTTATTGTTCCCAAAAAGTCTAGGAGTAAGTTTTTAACTAAGTAGTCCAAGTCACCGACTGCAGGTAGAATTGAGCTGCGGCTGTTTCTGTGACTGCGGTCACCGTATCTTCGCATGCTTTAGGTAGTAAGTTAGCAGGTAAGATTAAGAAAACAAATATAAATTCTTGGTTACTTATTTATTTAAAATATACAAGAGCTAAATACTTATAAATATATTATGTACAAAATATAAGACCCTGTCTCTTTTCTCAATAAGTCCAGTCTTGGTACAAAATGTTTTCAAACAGTGCAAAAAAGCAAATTCATACCAACAATTTATTCATCAAATAAATGCAATTTCTTTGGTACTGAATTTAGAATTCCGTGGGTCCCACAGCATCCGCGTAGGCCTTGACCTTGGGAATGGAGTACACGTTGTCCACGACCTTCTGGAATGCTGGGTACTTCTTCTCCAGATCAGGTACAACCAACAAGTTCTTGATGTAGTCAAACATACCCGCGAAGACAAAATCTCCCCAAGTCAGCTAAAACAGAATTTTCATTAAGTATGCGTGTGAAAAGTGGCCAAGAGCTGTAGCTATTAGTGTGTTAAAGTGTTGACCATTCTCTTGTGTTACTTGCGGTCGTCATAAAGTTCAAAGTTAGCTAAAATATAAGGTTATTCGGTCATTATTTTACTACCAAAATGCATAAAACCAATCGACATTTTATTACTGGTTTAAGCTAAATTATTCGGCCAATAGTAGTCCTTGGTCCCATCCATCCCATAGTAGGCGGAAGCTATACCATTCACTTCACGAGAATTATAATCTAGAACAATATGTGCGTGCTTTTATGTTTACCTTTCCAAGGGCAATATGGCCGTTGTTCTTAGTGATGATTTCATTCAGATTCTTCAACAAGTTAGGGAAGTCATTCTTGTTGAATTCAGCGTATTTTGTCTTCTTCACTGCCTCGTCTTCTTCATAGTGTGCAATTGCACCTTCTATAAAATGTAAAAATGTATTGAAAACAATGTAAATTGAAAAAGAAATACATGTAACATCACCATCATCATTAGCCTATAAGTGCCCACTGCAAGAGCGTAGGCCTCTTTTTATACGGAGAAAGTTAGAGCATTATTCAACACGCTTGCTCAATGCGGGTTGGCGATTTCAAACTTATAATTAGAAATTATAAGTCCAGGTTTCCTCATGATGTTTACCTTCACCGTATGTATTTAAAACTATCCGAAACTGTCAAGTTTAATCTTTGAAAAAAGAACAGTGTTGTCAATCATTTTTACCCTATTCTCCTTCATAGAAAAAGGCAACAAAGACACTCACTTGAACGAAGGTCGTTGATGAGGTCGACGTTCTGGTCGATCTCCAAGGCATCCTCTAGGGAGTCTCCAGCCAGACCGTACTTCTTGCCAAGGTACCGAGCGATGGACAGACTCTGAGCGTACGTCTTGCCGTCGAACTCCAGCATTGGCATCTGCCCGAATGGAGTTTCTGACAAAGACACCATTATTGTTGTACCACTACTTACAATCGTAATATTTTAAAACTTCGTTGGAAAGGATGGAATTTCTTGCTCGTTCTTCTCCATTCGAATCTACAATTTAGATCTGACTGATGGGCTAATAATCAATATTTCAAAAGTACCTGTCTATTGTTAAGTTGGAATAAATTACGGCGTAACTATCTTGGTAAACCTCATACAAGTACATCAAGATTACTTTGATACCAAATCGAAAAACGCACAAAAGAAAAAAATCTTAAGAATTTCCAAACGTTTTTACTTACTTGGCTGATATTTCGGCCAGTCTTTTTCGGCTACTCGATGGTCTTCAAATCCTTCATCACCGAAAGCCAGCAGCAGACGCGATGGCTCACCCAAACCCTTTCCATTAAAGTAGGTGAATACGTATTTCGGCATGTTTCTAAAACAATATATTCCTATACATTATGAAGAAATATAAGCTGAAGTATTTAGATATTTTGTAGAAGAGAGAGAGTAAGAGCAGTGATCCGGTACTTACAACTGGTTCTACGAGTCTGTGGTGTTACCGGCTTGGTGAACAAACTGACACTGATGGTATTATGGACGCCGGCCGGCAGATATATACCCACCTCAACGATGTGTATAAAGATAAACAATATTAGCGTGTACAAAACGCATATCTTTTAATCTCTTGCACAATCATTGGTAACTAGAATGATAATAACTATAAACAGTTTTATCTACAGCCTATTTTTAAACACCTTAACTAATTACACCTGTTCTAATTAAACACAAATCAATTATACAGATCTATTGGCCATGTAGGAATTGATTTGTTTACTATTTTCAGAATGTTGACAAAGTAATAATAATATGTAATTTAAAATAACGATGTCGAGCAAATATGTTTCTCGTGAATAAGAGTCCCGTTGTGATTTGAAATCAGTAGAGTTTTTTCTCCCAATTAATTCACGTACTGTGGTCATCTAAACTAATATTATTAATGTGACAGTAATTCTGTATGTCTGTCTTTTCTTCACGCCTAAACTATTGAACCAATTTCTGTGAAATTTGGTACAGACATAGTTTGGAACTCGAGAAAGGACGTAGGATAATTTTTATACCAAATAATCTGCAGTAAGTCACTATTCCACTTGAATGGAGTCCGAAAGTTCTAAAAGAGGATTTGATAATTAGAACTTATTTCCTTACATACGAACCTAACTATGCGTAGCTAAATAGCGTAAATGCTATCACAAAAACAGGAAAACCGTAACAAATATCTCTAAAACATAACATACTTATCGCGTCGTATCTAACCGTTACTGAAACGTTCATTAATTTTTACACAAAGTTTTCAGTTATTTCATCATTATTTTCTGTTTTTTATGGGATTGGTCGGTAAACGAGCATACAGATTACCGCGCCGCCCATGGACACCATGTCCATGGCAACAAGGAAAAACAAACGGAATTTTGGGGGTTTAGGAATTGGGGAGGGATTGTGGGGGGAAAGATTGAGCCTCCTATAACCTCATTCACACATCGAAACACAACGCTGTGGTTGTTTCACGCCGGTTTCTGTGAGGCCATGTTACCACTCCAGTTGAGCCGACCCATTCGTGCCGAAGCTTGGCTTTCCCACTATCAGTTGTGACGACGTCACCCGATCTTCGGATCAGTCCATGCAGTGGAGCAATAGAAACTGGGAACCTTTTTCTTTTGCAAAGATTCATACTAAAAGAAGTAGTAAGTACAGTAAGTATACCGCTGAAATAGAATCTCCGGCCATCGTGAGCATGGACAGCTCGCCGCCAGACAGAACCAAACCTAACAAGGCCAGGGCTACGACGCAAGTGCAATTACCCAGCCTGGAGTAGGAGATAGAACGGGGAGTGGGGTTTAGGCAGTAAAAGTCTGACATGCCCTCCGCCTCACCCTGGGCGAGAGAAGTCATTTGGTGACTGCCAAATACCAAAAAAAGCCTGGCTCAAAAAAATTAAAATCATCTTCTAATTTTTCCTGTTAATAAAAATAGTAAAAACCTCCAATAAGTAAATAAAGATGTTACATTGTCATTATGCGAAACGAGTATAATCATGGCGTAATTTTTTACTCCGGGTATCTTGTATATTCAATCTCAATGGTTTTTGTTATCAGCTTAAAACCTATAATGTGCCTTATGTTTATGATGTAAGAATCACTTGTGTATGTCGTCGTAGAATAAACGTAAAAACATCACGTCGTTTGCTATATACAGCACGTGGTATGAGACCCGGCGTGACTTGAAACTGTTCGAGATTTTTCAAATTTGCGTGATTATCTGATACATATTTTGTGGATGTCGGTTACTGCTCTTTTTGTAGGTCCTTCGTTATATGTTTTGAACCTTTTTACATATGTATTTAACCTCTTACTAACTTTCAGACTTTCTCTTCAGTAAAAATATAGATGAATTCACATATACATAGTCTAGCCATAAATACTGTAACAAATAAAAAAAAATATTTTTTCTATTGCAAATAACATTTATTACTTTTACAGTATGTAAGTTTAATACATAAATATAAAACAATTTAAAACTTAAAAAGCTTATTCGAAGTGATCTCCATTGGCTGCAATACAGTCCTTTAAACGTTGAGGCCAGTTATCAATAGAAGCACGCACTCTTTCCATGGGAAAATTCTTCACTGCCAATCGTATGGATTGTTTTAGGGAGTCAAAATTATCATGACGTTTAGAGCAAGCTACTACTACTACCTACTCTCTAAAACTGACCATAAATCATAATCCAGCTGATTAAGATCGGAACTAGACGACGGCCAGTCTTCAGCTCTGATGAAGTCGGAAACGTTCGTTTCCAACCAAGACCGCGTGGACCGAGCTTTATGACCCGGCGCCGAGTCTTGCTGGAAGGACCATTGTTGATTATTGAACATGGTGTTGTTAAGGGGCTTAACTACCTTCTCAAGAATGGTATTTTGATACACTTGTGCCGATATTTTGATACCTTTTTCGCAAAAGTATGGCTCAGTCACTCCTTCATAGCTAACACCCCACCAAACCATCACTTGTTGTACTCTGTTTAGTCAACAGAGTACAACGTGGGCATTATCCGACTTCATTGCGAAGCTTCCTTAGAGCTTTGAGCATAAATACGGTCATTTTGTTTTCTTAAAATGTTGCTAAATTGTAAAAAATGTGTCATCCGTAAACAAAATTTTTCTGTTACCTCCCTTTGCGTACCGCTTCAGTAGTTGTTTAGATTTTATCACCCTATTCTTATTTTAAATTATCATTTAAAAAATGTGCAGTGCGTCTCTTATAGGCTGCAAGTCCTAAGTCGTCTTTTAAAATACGCGACATGGTTCTAGGTGCTATCTTTATCTCCCGAGATAAAATCTTTTGCTTTCGGACAGGATTTCTTCGAATTCTTTCCCTTACTGCTTTGACCACCTTTTTTGTACGAACACTACGTGGATGGCCAGATCTTTTTCTGTCACAAACAGAGGAGGTCTCATTGTACCTTTTAATAGCCCGGTACACAAACATTTATTGCCAAGCGTGTGGAGAGTTTTAAAAATTGCATTTGGCTTCATACCCACTTTGTGTAATGCAATCACAGCGATTCGGTTCTCTTTATCACCCCACTCCATTTTAATATCGCAAAATATTGAACAATTTATTGGCGCCAAAAAAAGAAAACACAATGAAAAATTATATAAAAATGACGGATTCCAAATTCAAATGTAACATTTTGTTTATTTTTAATTGTAACAGTATTTATGGCCAGACTAGGTATAAACATGCATCGAATTCATCTATACCTATTCTATATTTTATATCTATACAATATGTAACACATATCAATATGAAATATAGATGTTGTGATTTGCTATCCCAATGATGCATGATACGTCACGCGTGGTATAGCAGTGATGATCTCCTAATAATTACGTCTACTTACACAATGCTCGGTTCACGGTCACTGGCGGTCGGTGACCGCGTGCTAGCGTCGCCTCGTCTATACATATGCATGCAAATATCTACTAAACTACTGACGATTTAACGATAGTGCTAAGCTCGTAGATTGAAATGTAACTTTATTTTGTAAACCTAATCATTTAGTGGTAGCATACAGTGCGGCCGACGTATCTTGGCGAATCTGAAGTTAGCCGATTAGCTGCGCAGTACACAATTTTGTTCCTAAAAGGTCCATTGCGCAGACAAACGGCTAACTTCAGACTCGCCAAGATACGTCGGCCGCATTGTACATGTATTATTTAGGTTCCTATTTGTTTCCTTTGTTTCCTGGATCCGAAAAACATGTCTGATTTCTGCGTTGTAACGTCTGCATGAGGGTAAAGAACAGCTTGAAGGTAAATGGGCTAAATGTATAGTAGCTTCGACGAACATGAGATCAGAACAAGGATTTGTAAGAAAAATAAAGACACAAAACTTTAAATAGGTAACATTTATTTATCATTTAAACACATCCTTATAATCTAAAAGTTATAGGAAAATATCCATAACATATTTCGACGAGTGTATAAATATTTAAATTTTATGTATAAAGATAAAATATTTAACATGCATTCTAGATATTTCAAACATTCGATTTCAAAATAGACTCTTGTTATTTTGTACGTGTTGTTTCCAGAATTTAAATTTAGAAGTCGCAGGGCGGCGCGGCGTCCGCGTACGCCTTCACTTTAGGAATGGAGTAAACGTTGTCAATGATCTTCTGGAACACGGGGTACTTCTTCTCAAGGTCAGGCATGCGCAACATCATCTTCAGGTAGTCAAACATACCCGCGAACACGAAATCACCCCAGGTCAGCTGCAACAAAGATAAGAACTATGTTGAAATCTTTCTTTTTCAACACTAGACGTCAATAAATGAACTAAAGACTTCAGATCAACGAATTGGAAGACTGATCGTCCTTATGACATTGCGGCATTTAATAGTAATGTTCTGGATTTCTACCAAGTACAAGAACTTCCCGAGACCACTAAAAAGTTCACCGGAGACAGGTACACTCCAACTACGTTTATCCTTTGCCAATAAGCAAAGGGTAAACGTTAAGCAACCTACCTATAGTAGGCATACCCATATTATATTTGTAAAACCTTATTTTATGCAACCTCAATTAAGATAGATTCATGATAGCAAAAGTCTAAACCAGAGGTTCCCAAACTTTTTTTTCTCATAGACCACTTTAAACATTTTGCTGGATCTGGTGGACCCCTGCAGCTATTACATTTACTAACTTACTTCCAAAACCCGAAAAAAGTATATGTCTATGTAAATCTGTGTTGTGGCTATTTTTTTTTCAGTTTTCGAAAAAAAAGGTGAGAATTTATATTGCTTTGACTATGCTGTGAGTTCAAGTTCAGTCTAAAAAGCGTCTTCATCCAACAGATTCCTACTTTACTTTTTTGTATTCTAAGATTGACTTACAGTACAAGAAACCAATAAGCACCCACTTTGGAGTGGTAAAAAGTAAAAATAAATATTTTCTTGTTTTGTAGCTATTTATTCAAACACAAAAATTACTACACTTGTAAGTATGTTGTTATAACAGTCTTAGTAGAATCAAAATTTAACATCACAACTAATAATCATAAGTATTTTAAAAACAGTCGCCATATAATCAACATTTTGAAATTGTAATATTGCGACTGTTTTTAAAATAATAATCATTATTAGTTTGATGTTAACTTTTATTTCTCGTAATCTGAGATCAAGATCCAAGACTTTGTTGCGTAAAAGACACATGGACAATCGCTTGTCTTGCAAATTTCAAATATTCAACACTCTACTGTCGACACTTCTTCTTAGATTCAGCCATGTTTCGTCTCCATTACACTTTCTTTTTTGAAATTCCGGAATCAACTGAGTGATGTTTATCATTTGTATTCCTATTTATATTAGGGAAAAATCCAACAAGTTCATGCAAGGTTAGATACGACTTTGACTAGGCAAGCGGTCGGCGCGGAATGACACGCTCTTTCTGAATATGGAATATGCAAGTTCTTACAAAACCAATTACTGAGCTTCTTATAATGTTGTGCAGACATATTGTCTCCCTATATTCATAGAAGAAGTCAAGTCGGGTCACCTAATACATTTTTATAGACCCCTGTTAACGCTTTGTGGACCCCCATTCTTTTTCCAAGCAAACGTAGACCCCTGTCGGGCTGCCGTGAACCCTGGGGGTCCACCTGGACCACTTTGGGAATCTATGGTCTAAACCTTAGTGGTTTTTGGTTACAATTTTGAGTGATAAGCCTGTGTTAATGTGATAAATAATTTTTAAAAAAGGTTTAATTTAATATATATATGTATTCGGCAATTATTAACATCTCTTTAATTCTATATAATCTACGTCGTCATGTTACCAGAACCATGGCGTCACGCTAGTTGATTAGGATTACCTACTTTTTGTCAACTACAGCGCGGATTAATCAAGATATTTTTACATGACATAGCATAATAGATAATTTAATAGATGATGCCAACTGAGTGATGACATATACATGACACATGATACAGAGATATTGACGATAATGCCAGTAGCAAATGAGACGGCAGATCAATAACACATCGAATATTGAGGTAGGACCTTCGTCAATAGTGGCGAAAGACACACACATGACCTCATCGGCGCCACGATTGCGATAAAAACAAGTTAAACATTGGGGCATTTTAAATAACATGGTGGGTATAGATGGGTTTTTACTAATCCCTCGATTATTCCCCTTACAACTTGAACGTCAAATAATATTTTTAACCGACTTCCAAAAAAAGGAGAAGGTTCTCAATTCGACCGTATATACGCTTTTTTTATGTTTGTTCGCCGATATCTCCGTTATTTATGAACCGATTTTGATAATTCTTTTTTTATTGGAAAGGAGATAGTCCCAGAATGGTCCCATGATAAGGAAATCAGGATCTGATGATGGAAGACCAGAGAATTAGTTTACTTTTTGAAGTCGTTTTTTTTAAGATATAGTGTCAGTCTGTCGGTCAGTAAGCTTAGTGAAGCTATTTAACAGACAATAACATTCCCCAGATTCAAGGTTATAAGGCTCGCTAAAAAACAGCTATTCAAAATTAATAAACGTCCATAATCCATGTAAATAGACATTTAAAAAAAAGAATCTACCTATTAGGAAAAAGACGTCGTAAAACTTAACTTAGCAAACGGACATTCATTTTGTAAGTAATTGTGTCATCGTAAAAACAGTTTAAATCTAAATATTTTCACTAGGTCATTCTAAAATATCGTAATAATAACAGAACTTAGATGCAGTAGTAAAGTTTTTTACCTTTCCCAAAGCGACATGGCCGTTGTTCTTGACAAAGATGGCGTTCAATCTTTCCAAAAGGTCTGGGAATACGTTCTTAACGAAGTCTGCATACTTGGCTTCCTTCACAGCCTCATCAGGCTCATACTGGACTACTGCAGCCTCTGTAAATAAAACCAAAATTAATTTTTGTTTATGACCAACTAGCTGCCGTCCGCGGAGTATCCAGTAGAGTAGCATTTTAAAAACAACAGCGTTTAAAGCGTTAGTACAACTAAAATACTCAAATCAAGTATAATTTATAGCCTAAAAGCACTTAGGAACATCGTAGAAATCTATAAGTAAAAGAATTTAGGAAATTCGACCAGAGGTTCCAAAGATTGCCCCCTACATACAAACTTACATCTTTATAATATAAGTACATAAATGTTTGATTATGTAACTCGACAAGTTTCAAGCCCTACTAAGAGTTCATAGTGACGCGAGCGCGAGAAACGACGAGGCGCGCGCCGCGTTGGAGGATAATATAAAAACAGACTTGTTAGAATAATTTCATAATCTTGCGCAATGTTTTAACATAAGAACATAACAGCTGTGGATATAAATAGATTTTTATTTTTCACAACATTGTTTTTGCATTGGTATTGTCATTTAATACTAGATATATTAATTACATGGCAACGCGATTGTGACCATGATAAAAAATAACCAAAGTATAAATCCAGACAGCAAATGAATACCACGTATAAATTAGTTTTTACTTAAAAGAACAGAACAAATGCGTCCATCCTCACAAGCCTATAGTGAAATTACAAACTTTTTAAAAGCGATACTCACTCGCTCGCAGATCGTTGATGAGGTCGACGTTCTGGTCGATTTCCAGTGCATCCTCGGGGGTGGCGCCAGCGATTCCGTACTTGTTGCCGAGGTAGCGGCTGATGGCCAGACTTTGAGCGTACTCCTTGCCGTCAATCACCAAAACTGGCATCTGACCGAATGGGGTCTCTGGAAAAATACGATTAGGAGGTATCGTTAGCTTTCGTATTTTAAATATCGGCTTTATTTTTGCTTCATATGCATGTGGAGAATTCGAAACCTGGCAAGTACCAATGTGGCATTTTCCGAGCCATATACCTATATACTTTCCAAGTTCATTAAAACACCACAGACATACGGTGAAGAAAAACATCGTTACGAATCCTGAACTTTTCTAATTATAAGTTTAAATCGCAAATCCGCGTTGAGCAAGGGTGGTGACTAATGCTCAAACCTTCTCCGTTTTTCAAGAGGCATTTGCTCAGCAGTGGGCACTTATAGGCTGATGATGATGATAATGAGATTTTGTATTAAGAAGATAAAACAGTATGACATGATCAGTTACACAAGTGTCCAAAAAAGACTGCGGTGTGTGAAGAGTTGTGACGTTTTGTCGAGTTTGCAATTACACCAGACGTGAAGAACATGACCATTCTGTCAAGTCGGAGTCCAATCCAAATATCCCCTAAATCCCCAATATATGTATAGTCTTTTTATAGTATAATTAGTCCCTCGTTGGACATCAGTTCAGTAGGTAAACATTGACCGAAAATAAACAGATAGCAAGCATATAAAATCTAGTGTTACGCTAACATATATACATACATACATAGTTACATAATGTAACTGCCGCGGCCAAGGTCAGAATGTGTGCCGAAACGAATCGTTATCAAACATGTTTTTATAGGCATGTACACAGTAAGAGGAGAAGCGGATAAATACAGGCGCGGCGGGAGCGATTTAGTGATGAGTAAGTATTCCAGAATTGGTTATTAAAAACGGTTTCGTGCTTCAGTACTTTTATTATCTCTTCCTTATTCGTAGATTGATGGAACACGTAGTAAATATTTTTTATATCATTCGATATAATATCATTTTATATCATCGTTACGACAAACTTCCATAAAACAATTTGTTATTCCTGACACGACCATGAAATATTTATAAATAATTGCAAAATTATACCCATACTAGTGTGGGATGCGAATGTTTCCGAACGAGTGAGATGTGTGTAAGGTGATGCCTGTTTCTGAACGAAAGTGTGGAAGTAAGAGGAAATGAATGGGTGAGTGAGATAGGGTGACTTTCGAAAAAAAGATGGTGATTGGACCAATAACAGGACAAACACGATTTCTTGGTTAACCACGACGAATTGGCAAATATACGATTTCTCCTTTTCAAATCAGAGTATTTCTGATATCCTTGATCCCCACGCTAATTGTACTCTTATTACTCAAAAACTACAAGGCATAAATTCCTAACATAACTGGCACAAGAAAACTTAAATTAAATAACCAATATATTGTATACCTTAGTAAAATCTCCATTCCAAGTCAAGTTCAGGTAGAGAATCACAACACAACTGCTTGCTATCCCAATATTTTTATGGAATACCGAATAGGAGACAAACATGGGTACCCGCAACAAAAATCGAAAATAATAGTTACCTACATGAAAAACAAAAAACATAGGCACATACACTATGCAAGTTTTTCTAATCACTTTTTTTCGCCAGTGCGAGGCAAGGAATTGTCAGACTCTTAAAGACTAAAATCTACCCCGTTCCTTCGCCTAGGCCGCGGCACCTTATTGCCTTACACTGTGCACTTTTATGTGGACAATATGTGCTTGTGTAAGTACACATATTGTCAACAAATCCGTGACCATACATACATACATAAGTACGTATACATAAGTAACTGTGTTGCAAGTCACAAAAGCGATAAACTAGTAATTCATTTCCTCATAAAGTCGCTTCCGCTTAACAATGTATCCTAGACCGAAGCAGATGGCCTTGACGCGAATGACTGTGCAAATATCGTGAGAAGAGACGGTCAAATACAATTGGCCGCACAGTGGCGTCACATAGCGGGCAGTGGGACTATTGTAGCGTTTCCTATTGAACCTGCATGCACTTACTGAACGATTTCAACCAATTTGCTGCCATTCTGTGACCATGTAGGTGTGTTGTGAACCCATTGTGGTAGTCGATTACCTACCTAGTTTGATTTATAATAGTAACGTTGCATGGCTTTCAAGGGGGATTCTTTAGAAAATACCTATAATAATATTTTTAAGTGTGGGAGACCTATGCTTCGGCACGAATGGGTCGGCTCAACCCGAATGACACCACGGCCGTACAGAAAACCGGCGTGAAACAACCACAGCGTTGTTTTGCCATGTGGGAGGCCTGTCCAATTTCTTAATCTCAAAATCCCTAATCCCCAAAAGTTCGGCAACGCACTCGGAACTCCTCTGTTGTTGCGGGTGTCTATGGGCAACGCTGATTGCCATGCCATCACTATAGGTACACATTTATAACTGGTGAAAATTAAGTATTTTTTTACACCCTTAAACTGGACTGATGCAGACAATTCAGTGGATAGTACCTATTTTTTGTTTGTTTTATTATTTATATACAATTACATATCAGAAGACTTAATGTTAAAATCATTTTTGCCAGTCATATCTGGTAGGTGGTATGCAGCAATTTAGGAAGTTATGAAAATTTTGGTGCTATTAAAACGATGCATTTCAATATATGTATTTGTATGTATAAATGTATAACTAACGACAAAATACTGCCTAGATTCCAACTTATGAAAATGTTTATTCGCAGATCAACCAGTGACAGATCCGGGAAACAAATTAAACCTTCTCGAAATACAAATAGTAACGACTTCAATACAACGATAATACTATTTTTGGTATGCGAGCGACCTTGTCTATCAATTGTTATCAACTACCTAAATACGTTGCCTCGAATCAATAACAAAACTATATTTCTGAACGTTTCTACAACACGTCGGTTCTTCGGCTCATTCAAAAAGATTTTATCAATTTGTACTTATTAGTTACAGAAATTAATGCCTTCAAACGAACTGACACTACGAGGAAAAACTTTCCTTGTAAATTATTTATTTATCTATCCATTAATCCCAATCCAAACTAATATTATAAAGGCGAAAGTAACTCTGTCCGTCTGTCTGTCTTTTTTTACGCCTAAACTACTGGACTGATTTGTGTAAAATTTGGTACGGACATAGTTTGCAACTCGAGAAAGGAGATAGGATAGTTTATCCCGAAAATCTCGAGAGATCGCGAACTTTGTGAGTTAAACCAAAAATCTGGAGAAGTCACTATTTCACGCGAACGAAGCTGCGAGCAAAAGCTAGTTCTTTATATACGCTTGCACATCATAATTATTAACATCAAAATTATGATGTAAATCGCTGAATAATTTTGCGTATTATTCAATTTTTTTAGGAAACAAAGATATTAAGAAAATTTACAACAAACTCATAAATTGATATAGCCATTAAAAGGATTTGGGGTTCGACTGCAAAAATAATGTCTTGTTTTACAAAATACAAGTTCCGCACAAAGAAAAATTTCCACCTTGTCTTTGTGCCACTTCAGTCTCTCGCTCATGATGAGGAGAGACGTATTATCCTACTGACTAAAAACCCCCTCGTTCCTTCTCCTTCTGCAGGCCCAGACCGCGGTACCTTATAGCTTTAACACCGCAATCCCGGCTGGTGGGTGGTATACTGGTACCTGAGTCTCGCTAGGGCATTAAAGTCATATCATGGAACTAAAAAGCTTTAATTTTTTTAAATCTACAGGTTTTGACTTCACGGTTGGCGCAGTGGCTGTGCAACGTGTCGCGGGTTTGATTCCCGCACGGAACAACACTTTGTGTGATCCACAAATTAATGTTTCGGGTCTGGGTGTGTTGTGTAGGTGAATTTGTATGTTTGTCAACGCACCCCACGACACAGGAGTAAATCCTAATGTAGGGCAAAGTTAAAAAAAAATAGTTCTGTAAAAATTCTAACATACATGAAAGTACGTTTAAAAGTACTAAGTTCCTACTTTAAGTACTTAGAAAGAAAACTTTAGCCAATACTAATCTTAGACCTTAGAAACCTATAAGAAAGGCACAGAATAATTAACAAGAAAAATATTGAGTTAGAGGAATCGTATAGGTAATGTTGTTCTAGCAAAATGAAACATCTGTCGATCATTCAAGTGTCATTGTCATGATAAGAAAGACAAACAGTTCTTTTTATCGCTGTTGTCAACCAAGATAACAAAAAAAAAACATGCCAATCATGTGATATATTTTATTACATCTTTATACAAACTATCTGAAATCATTTTTGTATTTAAACAATGACTCAAGTAATTTATTATCAATGCATTTATGTTCACATTTTTTCCGGGGCGATCAAATTACTTCTGTCTGCTTGGGTGAGTTGAGAGGGAGTTTCAGACTCTTACTATTTTATTTGATGACATCTTGTCCGGTCCACCATTATATCATACATAAAAAGACGTCATAGACAGATCGCTCCACGAAATAAGCTTTCATTTATATCAGCAATTATTCAATTATGTAAACAGCCATCAAGACAAGAATGTAAAAGTCAAATATACCTAATAATAAAAATGCCTTAAATTGGTGCAATAGTCCCAACATAAACTACACAAGTATATAGATTTGATGTTTCACACCCACTTCTCGTCAATTACCTTGTACCATTTACGTAATTGGACAACACTGGAGGGTGAGACTCCTGGCTACAGTACATTGGACTAGAAATTGGTCAACGAGCAAACAGACATTACTTAACTAAATTGGAAATACCAAACTACTTATTTAGCTGGCCTATTTTTACCGTGAATACAATATAGTCCACCGGGTGATCCACTAAGCTCCAACTACAGTTCTTAATTTAAAAAACCAATGTAAAAAAAATAGCCGAGGGTTCCACCCAGCTCATGTTTTTTTATTACGGATTGAGGGATTGACGGATTACCTGATGGTAAATAATCAGCACCGCCCGTGGACACCCGTAAAATAGGAGTTCGGGATTTGGAGATTTAGGGATTGAGGAGGGACTGGGGGTGGGGAAGGACTGGGCCTCCGGTAACCTCACTCACACGGCGAAACACAACGCTGTGGTTGTTTCACGCCGGTTTTCTGTGAGGACCCCGGCCATGTATAAGGACCCCGGTTTGTCTCGAAACCAGTCAGCTTAACACGAATAAATTAAGACGGCAAGTATGCCCGTAAAACTACACGTCCACGGTCAGGGGAAGTTGCATTATGGCATTTAAAACAACGAAGCCGCTTCAAAGATAAAAAAAAAACATAAAAGTCTTTCTTAACAACTAAACTTTATGTGCCAAGTCTTATCTTTGGGGAGTCAAAGGATAACTTTTGTACATCAATATCTTTAATTAATACTCTCTTTATGCCGATGGAGGATGTTGATACACCAACTTGAACCTGATAAACCGACTACAATAGACGTTTTTGTCTTCACTCTTTCACATCATTCAGCCATTATTTGTCTTTCCCTTTCATTTGTTTTATAAACTCTTCGCAGTATGTCCAGGAAGGTGAATGTTCCGTCAATTACTGTCATTTAAGGATAGTTATGTATTATGGGATTCATACCCATATAGTATATTCAGGTGGGGTCGCGGGTCAAGCGCTATAAGTTGCTGGGGCCTTTGCCTCGAACAGGAGAAGGAACAGGGGATCTTTGTGACAAGAGTCTGACACGCTCTTGCCATAATATGGGCGACAAAAGCCATTGTATCACTTTCCCCTTACAAAATGAGGATAGTGAAGTGTAATAAGGGTTTGTTTTTTTAGTTTATTACTACTTTGTGTACAAAAAGAAAACCCTTTGACTAAGATCCGCGGTTCATGGAAACGAGTGGATGGAACGTTGGATAGTAAACAATAGACAAGAGACGCATATTATTAGGGTACTAGCGGCCCATCCCCGCTTCGCACGGGTCCTACTATGTATCTCGCTAACAACGAAGGGGTCCCTTTTTCCCTTTAATTTTTAATACTTCCTTTCCTACACTTACACCCGGTTTCTGAAAGGCTTGTCAACGCTAAAATTAACTAATCTACTGTTAAATCTCTTGTCAAGTCATCTGATTGGTTGTTGATAATTCAGTCAACCAATCAGATGACTTGACAAGAGATTAAATTGATTTTAACATTGATCGGCTTTTCGGAAACCGGGCGTTAGTAAAAGATAGCTTGATCTCTGGGACAGCTGTCAGTAAAATCGCGCCTATGAAGTTCTGAATTTAACAGTACGGAGAAACGTACCTGTCAATGTCATACTTTATGGGCATGCTGACCTAATTAGTGATGAGTGATGAATCATCGTGACCACAAACTATAAACTATCGATATTTTTTCTTAATTCAAAATTAATTTATCATTTCATTTTATTGTATATTTTAAAATAATATCATTATTTACAATAGTGAGTAAATAAAATTTAAATAGTAACCTACTCATGTAAAATTCTTTCGACAACTTTGGGTTTCGAGACATTCTGAAAGTGATTCGGATATAGATTTGGGGTTTACTCCTTTGGAATAAATTTATCTTAGATTAAAATATTCGTTTCATTTCAGTACCCAAATTATATTCCAATTAAACATATAATTTTAGCATCGATAAGTAAGAAACGTCGAAAATTACTATCGATATTTTTTTGTACCATGACAACCCTAGAAATGTCAGTTTGACGCATGTCGCAGAGATCAAGCTATCTTTTATAAGGTAGGTATAAGAACCTTCTGCTGACATTAATAAATACAAAACAAAGGGATTTGGCAAAATTGGTCCAGGCGTTTTTCAATTTTGCGCTTACCAACACATTTTGCGATTCATTTTTATATTATAGATTTAAAGAGAGGGGATTTGGGGATAAGGGGGAGGAAGAAGTTGGATCTTCCGTACTCACACATGGTTATAGAAGTATCTATCTAGATCCAGGCATTACATAATTACGTGAACCGTGGAAGCTATTCAGTATTTTTTACAGATGATGGTGTTATATTATGATGTAACAATTACATCATTATAAAACACCGGGCTTTATCATACAACAAACGTTATTTTTCCCATTTTTCAACCTTCAAGCGCAACTCCGATTCGTATGTGCCAGTTTTTTATATACCTAAATAAAAATTGCAAATTTTTTTAGAAACTTTTAATCCTTTTGTTCTTCATATGAAGACAGACATTATTGAGTAATTATAATAAAACAAAACCTACGCTGTGTGAGCTTAAGAAAACATTATAGAAATGTTATCGTAAAGAAAATCCGTGAAAGTACACATTCAACGTACGATAAGCTGACCTACTTTGCTAACATAACATTTCTAATATACAGTGTGTTTGACATTCTTTTCTAGGATACCTATGGTGATAATCGACCAGAATTTTTAACTGATGGTAAGCATTGAGCATCACCTACATTTACCCGCAAAACTAGAGGACTTACAAGACTAGTTGTGTAGTAACAGTAGCCAGTAGGTTCTGACTTATAGAGTACAAACGTTGTTTCACGCTTGCTTTCTGCGAGGACGTGGTGGTACTTCTATGTCAGACGTTTGTGTCAAAGTATTATTTAATTTTTCACTAGCGGCAGGCCCCCGCTGCGCACGAGTCCATCTATCTCGCTATCAAAGTGTCACTTTTTCCTAATCTTCCCCTCTACTTTTCTAATATTGTCTTTGATAAGAACTTTCTCCTGACAATAACAAACACAACAAAAAATAAATAGCAAAATTGGTCCAGGCGTTATTGAGTTATGCGCTTACCAACACATTTTGCGATCCATTTTTATATATAAAGATTATTTTATTATGTCGAAGGTTGATGTTTGGTATTTCGCTAAACCTAAGCACACTGTTTAAAACCTCAAGTCATAACAACAGATTATGGCGGTTAGATTACATTATGAATTACTTGTCTATTATTGTGAGTGTTATATTACCTGCATGCTAGAAGAAGTAAACTTAGGATTGCTAATCAGAGACTTTGTACGTACTAGTGAGGATTAGCGGCTAATATCAGTCATAAGATTTAAACATTTTATTTATTTATTATTATTTATTTATAAACTCCTAGTCTTAAGATGATGGTTCCTAAGCATTTTTTGGTCGGGGTAAATCATCTGATGACTCCTCTCGACCAGGGTAAGGCGAGAGAGAGTGTCAGACTCTTACTGACTAAAAATCCCCCGTTCCTTCTCCTGCTCTGGGCCGAGGTCGCTGTGCCTCATTGCGCTTACCCCGCAACCACGGCTGAATGGTTCCAAGGCTCTGCGGGTTCAAGAGGAATAATGTACCGCAGCCCAAGCCTGGAGCAGAAGAAGGAGCGGTGCAGTATTTCATCATTAAGAGTCAGACAATCCCTCTGGCCTCTCGGCTATAAAAATCATTTGATATGCCCTTTTAACCAAACAAACCATTAAATGGTGTTTAAAAACGTGTCTGTGGACGAGCTGGTACATCATCAGCCTAAAAGTGCCCACCGCATAAGAAAGAGCTTCTTCTCACTTAAAGAAGGTTTAAGCATTAATCACCACGACTGCTCAAGGCAGATAGGCGATTTTTAACCTATAATTAGAAGTTATAAGTCCAGGTTTCCTCACTATTTTTATCTTTATTACAAGTCAGCGGTGTCTAAATATGTATATAGGTAATCATAGAAAGTACATATGACTCGGATAAAGTCAAATTAGTAGTAGCCAGGTTTTAGATCCGAGCCCACATGTACGAGAAGGGGGCGCCATAAACTCCAGGCCACCACGACAGATACTAGCTTCTAAGACATGTTTTAACCAGTTAATAATGGAGTTTTTGTCATTGTTCTTCATAACAAAAAACCTATCTCCAATCTACAAGTTTTCCAGGTCAATTTTGTCACGACGAATATTTCAGAAACATCTTCAGTTGATTAAAAGATTGGTCGTTTTACGTTCTTCTTCACAAAAATGAGGACTTAAAGAGTACTGAGACTTAAAGAACATCATAAAACAAAAATTTCATAACAATAGTTATGTGTACCTAATGTTTTATAGGAATATTTGCTGTATGTAGGATTATTGGCAAACTTACTTGGTTTGAATGCAGGCCATTCCGACTGTGGAATACGACGGTCATCGAACTCCTGGCCGCCATATGCCAGCAGCAAACGGATGGACTCGCCCAGAGCCTTCACGGGAAAGTAGTAGAACACGACTTCAGGCATGTTTCTGGAAGAAAAACGTAAATTTTAGAAATAAAGATAGCTAATGATCAATATAAAAAAATGGGTACATTTATTCGTCACCATCCACTATCGATGTGGTGCCGGTAGAAGGAAATAAATTTGTCACCAGACTTAGTGTTAATGAGCCATGCTTCGGCACAAATGGGACTGCTGGACTAGATTGATAGCACGGGCTCATATCAAACCGGCGTGAAATAACCACAGCGTTGGAAGTGTGAGTGAGGTTACCAGACGCCCAATCCTTACTCAATCCCTAAATATCCTGAATCCTAATCCTCAAAAGGTAAGCAACGCATTCGTATCTTCTCCAATGTGGTGGTTGTCCATGGGCGGCGCCGACTGCTTACCATCAGGTAATCCGTCTGCTCGTTTGCCGTCCTATCACATAGGTACATAAAAAACCACATACTCTTATACTAGTTACTGCCTGCTATTTCGCTTGGATTACATAAAAGGCCTGTGTAATAATAGATAGGATTCATATACAATTAGAGGCTAGAAACTATCTCTATGCCAAATTTCATTCAAATCCATTCAGCTGTTTTTACATCGAAGAGTAACAAACACACTTAATTACAATATACCTACTTATAAAATTTTCATGTTTATAGTAAAAAAATATCTTGTTTGTACCCATGTATACATATGTAAGAGAAATAAACGAGAAAAAATAATGTCAATGATAAATGTTGTGGTGATAATAATAAAGATTATGAGTAGCGTGTGGTCGGAGATACGTCGCGCATCGACCGGGCTTCCGATAGATATTGAATTAAAAATTATATTACTAGCATTTGCTTGCGACTCCGTTCGCGTTGAATAGTGACTTCCTGCAGATTTTTGGTATAAAATCTATCCTATGTCCTTTCTAGAGTTCCAAATTATGTCTGTTCCAAATTTCACAGAAATCGGTTTAGTAGTTTAGGCGTGAAGAAAAGACAGACACACAGACAGAGTTACTTTTGCATTTATAATATTAGTTTGGATAATATTGTATCCTACCAATATTACCTACAAACTTTTAATCCTTTAACGACAAAACTTCTGAAAATCACATAATCAGCCTTAAAATGCCCACTGCTAAGTAAAAGCCTCTTTTCACTCGGAGAAGGTTTGAACATTAATCACCACGCTTGCTCAAGGCGGATAGGCGATTTCAACCTTATAATTAGAAATTACAAGTCCAAGTTTCCTCACGATGTTTTCCTTCACCGTATGTCAGTGGTGTCTAAATAATCATAGAAAGTACATATAACTCTGTAAAAGTCACATTGGTACTTGGCAGGTTTCAAGCCCGCATCCTCATGCATGAGAAGCGGGCACCTTATCCGCCAGGCCACCTCGACATTTTCTACTGATTATATATATTTTATACTAGCTACTCTCGCGGGGTTCTACCCACTGCTCGGCTCCATTTTATCGTAGCGTGATGTTTTATAGCCTGTAGCACTCAGGAACATAATAGCTACCTATCAATGAAAGAATTTTGGCAATCCGACCAGCGGTTCCAGAGATTACCCCCTACATACAAACTTACAAATTTTATCTCTTTATAATATTAGTAAGTATAGATAGATAATATTTGGAAGAGATATAGATTATTCTGGAATAACATATAGGCTAGTTTTTGCCAGTTTATTACAATAAATACGTTCAGTAGATAGTTTTTACCTGAAAGAGTTATGCTTGGGCCACACAAATGAGAAATGCCATTAATTATCGCGAAAATAGACGTTTATCATATGTGTAATTTGATCACTAATCTATACAAATGATTTAAGGTATATTTTTCATTGTTTAACATCATCCATTATCTCGATAATCTATACATAATTAAAATTTAAAAAAAGTTTGTAATACTACCAGGACTATTCCACAAGCCATATTAGGCTATTTTTCCGACAGACATGACATCGGATCGATGTTTTAATTTATGAAAAAACCTCTTCAACTTCAATATGCAACTATAAGTATAAAAATTAACAAACAATAGCTAATTAAAATTAGTTTTTTATGGAAATACAACATTATGTCACACCTCAAAGATTTCGTGGCATCACGATAATAACACCTAAGTATTATTTATTTATTATTTTGTTATTATATTATTAGGGTGTCGTTGGCTAATTCAGAAACTGATTTATTTATTTATTTATTTATTTAAACTTTATGCAACAAAACATTACATAGGCGGACTGATCTATGCGGATTTGCCATGTCTTCCTGCTCGCGTTTGTCCTTATGTCATAGGCACTTCACTCCGAAACATAAATAATACCTAAAACTTGGTGGTAAGTTAGGTAATGTAGAACAGGTATATACATCTAGTTATAGTAAACCGAATTCAGATTACCTAAATTCCATCAATGGTTTGAAGATCTGATTCAGTTCAGTAAGTGGGTATCTAAACAATTTTTTTTATAAGTCATCAATTCTAGAGTTATTTTAATTACTTCTACCTTCATTTTATGGATCCGTGTACTCGCACTTAGCTCGAAAATGTCTTCACTTAAATTAGAATTACAATTAGGTACATTGTGTAGCAGAAAGTACAGTCATTTTTTTTTCAAAACCTACAATTTGACGTAATTAGTACTTAATCTACGTATAAGCAGATGTGCTTTTCATCAGCGTTTTTTTATTAATTGTTTTAGTAGAAATATTTACACAGCTATGTAATAAAAATATCTACAAAATATTTTAAATCTACTTATACCCTATAATCTATCATTAAACTTTTACCTGTATTACCTATACACATGAAAAAAACACTAAGCATCCCCCCTAAGACGACCCACTAACTATATTTAATAAAAATTATCTAATAGGTACTACCTACTAACCTAACAGTGAAATAACCTATCCACTTTAAATCAATCATTAATCATTAAATTCCGAAAATGGCGACAAAAATAAATTAAATATTTAATCAATACAAAACATTCTGTATATAAACGCCACCCGACCTAGAGACAATCGATCCAACAATGTTTTACTTTTAAAATTTATTTCGTACGATCTAACCTAACCTCTTTACAACATCGTAAAAAAACGTTCAATTTATCTAATATTGCACTGACATTCTGTTATAATATCGTAAGAATAATTTAAAATTGTTATTTGTGTTGTTAAATTTTATAAATTTTAAGCTACTTACAGTTGTTTTATTATTTATTGGAGCACGGAAGCGGTGTTGACTGGAACGCGTTCTTCCCAATACTAAAGCGTACACAGCACAGTAGCCGACCGGCAGAAATAGACAGAAGTTAGCCGCTATAAACAAACACAGTTTCTATACGAACGCAGGTATTGATTATAATATGAATACGCCTCGCAATTTTTACTGCTGGAAACTGTAAAAATCGATGTGTGTGTGATGTGCTTGTGGTAATTATTAACAACTTGGTGCGTAATGTTATTAGTAAGTACTTAAATACTTACAAAATAAATCGTTGAAATTTTCTAATAGGTACAACAAAATACTCAATAATAATATGTGAGTAGTTTAGGTTTAATCATCAAATCAAGTAGCTTATTACTCGGTTGGGTACTCGACAATTATTATTAGGTAAGTAAGTACTTAAGTAGTTACATAGCAAAACTTTCCATTAATTTCGCGCGGTGTTGTTGATTACCTACGATTACGACGTCATATATTTTCAGAGTAAATGGTAAAATTAATTAATGAAAGTGAACCTCACCTCGTAAAGTTGATACTTATATTTTTTTCAAACTAAGTCAAAAAGAAAAGTAGGTGTTATGAAGCGAAAAAGAGGTTGTTGTAGGATGTCGTAGGGGTATTTAAAAAAACGCCACTTTAAAAGGCTGCCAAAGGACTTGTGCCTCTTCAGCCATTGTGACTATATTGGAATTTTAAGAGATTGTCAACAAATCAATCTTTTTTTTAAGTATTTATACATATATGATGAACTATCAGACATGTCGGTTTTCTGTGAGGCCGTAGTATTGCTCCGGTCGAACCGACCCATTCGTGCCGGAACTTGACTCTCTCATACTTAACATACTCCTTCTCGTGAGACCACGATGCATCATCACCACGTCCACAACCCCCAAACATCGATTTTATTGGACCCGGTCTATGGTGGTCTAATTGCTTTTACAGGCGCTCGCGGTACGCTACCGCGCCGTACGCTCAGGGCTGGTTTTGGTTTGCCCTTGCAAGCCGTCCGCAAACCCGTGCTTACAGCTGGCGGAAGATCATCACACAATATTTATTGGTTCCCTGTGGTCACATTTAGATTGTCTTTCTACTACATGGGTGAACATCTTTTTTATATTGTATTTGTATTCTCTATCCGCAGAGCTGCGTTCTATGTCCAGTCCGTTGCTACATTAGCTTGATGGGCTATTTCAACGACTTTCATTTGTTTTCAGATCTCCTCATACCTGATTCGATCTTTCTTGATTTTTACCTATTACCAAAACATAAAGATTTAAATCCAAACTTCCAAACTAATATTATAAATTCGAATGTAACTCTGTCTGTCTGTCTTTTCTTCACGCCTAAACCAATGAACCGATTTCTGTGTTTGATACAGACATAGCTTGGAACTCGAGAAAGGACATAGCATAGTTTTTATACCAAAAATCTGCAGGAAGTCACTATTCCACGCGAACGAAGTCGCGGGCAAAAGCTTGTATCTACAAGATAAAGATCTTTTAATTCGAGTACACATACCATTAGGCATGTAAGATATAAATACATTAGTACAGTAATGTTTGGCCCTCACGGCAAACCAATATATTGAGAAAAATGTTGTACATCTAACAAAATTAGGTAGGTATTTAATTACTTCTTAATAACTATAAATAATTGCCAACACACATAATACTCATATAACACAATGAAAACAAATAAGAAAGAAAACACAATCGTGAAAATAAGTTATCAGTTATATTTTCAACTATAACAAGCTCTTAAACCTTATGTAGGTACTTCACTTACTTTTTTCAGAGATAATGGAACTACTCACTCAACCTCTTTTTTAATTTCCAGAAAAATCTGGTTCATTTTTATTGTTATATTTCTAGGCCGAGCACTATAGAGGTTGGATTAATACAAGTAGGTAGGTACTGTTATGAAATTATCTTTGCCAAAGATATTTTTTGCAATAAAAATAAGGTTATCGTTTATCAATGACTTTTATGTTAAATACGATAATTGTGATGGTTAATTTGGTAAATTTAACAATATGATATATGTCAATAAAAAGTGTAGGTAGGACGAAGTCCACACAGGCAGTCAGCACAACATGGTACCATCTCATCTGGCAAATTTCTTTTCGGTACGCTTCCAACATCCATTTTTTGGTATCGCGTTGGAAAATCAAAATAAGTTACCTGGATAGATTCTTTATGATACTAATCCATTCAAAACTGCTTTTGCTGTGAAATCCACGTGAAAGATTGGAGGGCTTACGTGCTACCTGACTAGGCCTCTGGCAGTGGTCTCATCTCGCTGATCGTCATTATATAGAATATTGAATGCAGATGTAGCCAGGAAAAAAAACGTTTTTAACTTACATGTAATTTAACCAACATATACCTTCTTGTATGGCCACAAGCTACATGAGCGCCATCTATTGACCAATCAAATTTGACCCCTTATTAAACCGTTGTACCGGTACTCCCGGATCACCCTAGCACGCCCTCGCTCGATATTAGTATCTATACTATACAAACGGATAACGTACTAAATACCTACTAATACTATTAGTATTCAGTACCGTACCTACCTATATAGGTAATTATCATATGAAACCAGACAGGGATTTTCGATCCAACTAGACCAATAACTGAATTAAGTGATAATTAAAAATAACAATTCACTTCATAACTAAACATTTATTAAACACAAATAAGTACCTACAAAAGTTATGCATTTACCGAAAGTTAAATCTTAGAATTATATCCTACATGGTTTTGTCTAAAAACAAATTATTTAGCTGCCATAGTGAGTTTCAAATGGGCACCTGTTCATGTAGATTGTATGTAAACATTAGGATAGTTCACCATTGCAAAGAACATTATATACTTGACGAATGTTACGAAAATATCAAAATACTCCCGAGAAAATGAGACGGAGTTCAGCAAATTCATAATTCGACATACGTTTTCATAAACGTCTTTAGTGTTCACATGAAAATCATCTGACGTAGGCCGTCCTAAGACGGCTATCAGCTGTTTCAAATCCAGTGATTGGTGACGTGGAATATTATCTTCACAGACAACACAGTCTTTGCATACAATCCCATAACTGATTAATAATTCCATCACTCGCTCTCTTCCAGGTACAGTCGTCAAATAATGCCCTCTGTAAAATTAAAATAAAATTAAAAACTATGTAACAATTTATTTATTGGAAAATTTACTATTGGATAGACATAGACACCTACGTGTAACTAAATGTCAGTTGCTCTCCTTTCTTTATTGGCTGTAAAGCTAATAGTGCTACACTATTTCGGAGCCCAATCACGAATGTGTTTGGTGTACAGGAATGTTCCAAATTTCCGATCAATGGAAAGTATCCTCGATTCGTGTAATCGTGCAATTGCATCTCGCCGAGACTAATTACATGCAACATTCGTACTGGTGTACAATAGAGAGACAGATACAGAAATATTCGAGCCACAGCGCGTATAACTGCTTCCCTCTCTTCCGCACATTCTGGTAAGAATGACGTTCTCAATTCCAAATAATGAATTATATTAACAATGCACATACAGCTGTTAAACATTTTTCCATGAATAAAACGCTTGTCAGCGCGTGATTTCAACACAGAAAACTTATTAGAACCGAATATCCTCTCTGTAAATTCATTGTTCATTTCATCAGTCCCCAAAATATTGGACACGGCAATAAATTCGTCCCAAGAGTTACATAACCGACGTATTTTAAGGAGAGCTTTGAAAGGTAATTTTACATCATCGACTATGATATCTATAATTTTACATTCAACATCGTGACCCTCCAACATGGATTTTTCTTTGCAATTTTCATCACAAAACAAAGCTTTACAGCATCCATCACAAGGCTTTAAATCGGGTGATATACGAAGACAATAATGGCATGAGAAAAACTTATTTTTTGAATGAGTCGCAGTCATAAATGCAGTTTCATTTGCCAGTAGCGTGCCCACTGTGATATCTGTAGCAGCAACTACTTTTACTCGTCCTGATTCGACTTTTACATCTACATCTGGAGTAGCACACGGTACCTCAACATTGTTGCCCTTAACCTTGAAGAAATTGTCCGTAAACGAAGAAGATCTGAAATTAAAAATAGGTTTAAAATCCTCATGGTGTATTGAAAATATGTCCGTATTCATATGACTAACAAAAAATTAATTAAATATTCTAAGAAAGCCTATTAAAATGTATTATTTAGATTTATTCATATATGTTCATAAAATCCATCACGATTCCTCTTAGTCATAGCATCACGCGTGAACGGCTGAACCGATTCTGATATCTCGGTATCTCCATGCACAGTCCATAACGACCTGGTGATAACTCGGATGTAAGACGAAGATGGGCTTCTAGGTTACAGCGGCCGCTTACCATCAGACGAACCCTGGGCCTTATTGCTACCAATAGAAGCCAAAACAACAAGACATATCCGCAAAAGGTGCCTTTTCTGCAATGCACTTGAAACTTAACAAGGTTGTGACATACATCATCAGATTTTAAGCACTTACTTATTGTATCTTATCTTTTTCATTGTAATGTTATAAATCAACAATGCCATTACCGATTTGGCTAATTTTGGTCTTGAATTATTCGTGTCCAGGGAAGTCCAGGGAAGGTTTAAAAAGTCAGACAACTTAAGTTAATTTTGAGGCGGAACGAAGTTTGCCAGGTCGGCTTGTCTTAACATATAGAGCGTAAAAAGTCGTAGCATACAATTAATTACTTACAGTATGTCCGATGCTTGTTTCTCTATGTAAACTAACTGTTCGGCTTTACTCTTCATCTCCATTAATTCGTCAACTAAATCTAGTGAACAATTCAATGCAAGGCATGTATTAATATTATTTATACATGAATTACATTGAAGAAAACATAATGAAATGTCAGCTCTGGCACGATATGCTAGCTTCATGGTTTCAGAATCAAACGGTGCTAACAAAAGTGCTGTATTATATTTCAACAATGCTTGCTCGGGGTCTCTTTCGGACATAAGGGAACCGTGTTTCAGGTAGTATTCAGATATCAATGTTGATTTTTCATTGAACAAGAACTTTATCCAATTGTTAGTTTTACTTAACACGCTTCTAGCATGCATTACGCAATCCGATAAGTCCTTACTCAACAATGTTTCGTAGATGTCTTTTAATGACGGATCCTTGTAATATTTATCCAGACCTGTCCAGTCGTTTTCCATTTTTACTTGTTCGTAGTAACTTTCACTGAATTTATATATCTGACCCACTCACCAAGTTGATTCTTTAGGGGAGAAGTCACAACTAGTATGGAATCCTTACTTACCGCTATTTAAACTTTTGAGATAACAAATATAATCTAGGTACTTATAAATGTTACCTATCTGATATACCTAATGTAATGACACTCTATGAAACTATGCATAATACTACAATTATTGAACTACTCCAATCAATATACATGGACATGGTACTTGTTCGAGGTGAAGGAGCGGAAATAAAACGTTGCAAACTAACAAACACAAAGAGTTGTTTGGTGCGGGAATAGAACCCGCGACACGCTACGCGGCAGCCAGGTGCCAGCAAGTCAAGGCATTATTCAGTAAGTACCAATTATTGAAAATACTACTTTTTATATTTACATGTTTTAACTGATTCAGCATCACTTAAACCTCTCGGGTTTGTGTGTGATACTATATTATTCTATTCGTCTCACATGGAACGTGTTTTCGAGTATTTACAAAGAATTTGCTCTGAGTGACCAAACGTGACATCCAACCTTGTGATTTTTTATACTTAGCACCATTGAGATAGAAAATATATAGAGGCGCCGTGTTACTATAGAAGTATACATGCTTATACAAATATGAGGGAAATATGAAACAAACTATGAAATATCATTTTTTCTCACTCTTTCTAAGGCAATAATTGTATTAGACGAAAGGGTCAACAATATTTAAGTTGTTGCTTAATATGGAAACAAATCATTTTGACATTAGCAAAATTGTAGGTAAGTGCCATGTCCGCCATCTTAAGCGCTCAGAGTACCTGAGTTTCATGGTAGTTGTGCTGTCAAACGGTTGTTTATGTTTTAAATTATTGCGGTTTTTCAGTAAATTACAAAGAACCACTTTTTTAAACTTCAAATATATATAGTGAAATAAAAAAAACAATATGCCTGTGTGTTGTATTGTGCAGTGTGGTGCAAAAAAGATCGAAAATCAACCTCAATTGTCTTTGTATAGGTTAGTAAACAGTTTTCATCAAATATTACTTAGAATAATCCACATAGATAGAAAAAAATGTCACGGATACTTTAATCTATTGCCAAAGTATATATATTTACTTTTATTTCTGTCTGTGAGACAGTTTTAGTAAAAAATTGTTGTTTACAATAATATGTCAATATGGCATAGTTACGTACCATTTCACAAAAGTATCGATATAATCTCCCATTTAAAATTCAACATATACTAAATAATCTATTTTAACAATGGATGTCTCCGCAGTTTTGTGTAACGCTAAAATAAGACGTCAGTATTTTGGTATTGGTTTTAGTTACATAAGTAGAAGTTCAAAATAACATGTTTTATAATTATACGGGCGCGATTGACAGAGCGGCGTTGGCGACGATCCCAGTGCGACCACCAAGCGTAATAATAAAAAGTGAGATACATACAATAAGATTGACTTCACTACATATCTATTTTGTGCTAACGTAGTTTCGAAGATATCATCGCTTAATCAGACGCGCCGAAATTGTGCGCGAGCACTTCACAAATACCCACAGGTTTTCCACATATATAAAGATAAACATTTAACAAACCCTATCTTTTTCTATTTCACCATTCCATTAAACGCTGTTCATAAACACAGTCCTATTTTTTAAAAGACGCTTTACGTAGAATTATATGAATACAAATTCGACTTGAGAAAATCATTAGCCAATCAAGAGACCAAGTTAACCCCGGGTTCCGGGCTCTAGCTAGGCCGACGGCAAAGTAGGAACAGGAGTTGATTTTAGTCAGTAACGGTCTGTCCCGAAAAAGGCCGGAGATGAAATTAGATGATTTCCCATAAAAAATACCGTTAATCAGCTGGCTAATCCCTAAAACTATACCTACGTAGAACTTTTACTCAAATTGTATCGATACTCGTTAAATACTTAGTCGGCACAACCCTAGCAACGGCAGCCATCTTATGCGACATTTTGGATTGTAGGTAGGCACCTTTTTTTCGTAGGTATTTCAAGTCCATATATTTCCTATGTCAATGCTTAGCACACTAAGTATAAAACGAAAGGGTCAATTTGGCTTAAAAGACTTGTATCCAGGCCATAAACTCAAAAAAAAGAGGGTCAATAGATGTTGGCGAATTTTCCTAGTATCTATTCACCCCTCTTCCGTTTTTATTCGCACCTCGAATTCTATTCACCCCCGTTTTACCGTTACTTTTCTTACAATAGATGCTATATAAATTCTTGTCTAAAGTGATTTTATTGCCAGTAAAAAGCGTTATGATTCCTTACAAGACATTTTTATTCAAAAAAAAACCCTATTTACGAGTAACATAAGAAGATGCGTAAATATATATGATAAAAATGACCAAATTACAAACTACTTGTACAGAGGAAACTAATTCCACATAATTCCCACATTGTGTCGATTTAATTCCTTCATGCCATGCGTTTCTGTAAAATTCATCGATTTTAGGTCTGTGGTAAAATAGCGCAGAGTAGCCAGCCTTGCGGTGTTCTACAGGATGCATTTTGGAGAGTGTGCGCAGGAATTGCACGATTTGATTCCGCCATCCCCATTTCACCTTCGGACATCCCGGCGTACGGCAAGTATCCACCCTTACGTGATTGAGACACCTGCGGTCCGGACTAAGCGCTTTGCCTCGTCATTTATACCGCGTACATCGAGGAGCGAGTTTGCCGGCTGCAGTCTTTCCGTCCAAATATAATTTAGGTGTCTTCAAGGCTAGAGTGAATAGGCTCTTAATAAACTAGTGCGCCTTACCATCAACGATTGCATCACTGCTTACCGTCAGGTAGGATCGCAGTCAAGCACGAGTTTATAGCAAGTAAAAAAAAAATGTAATCTGTTCAATGTCAACTGTCAAAAGTTAAATTGCTTAACTGTCAAATGTTGACGCGAAAGCGCGAAACGGAATTTTGTGATGAAGATAGCTAAAGCACCATCAAAAATACTACGTTCTAAGCATTAGTCATAGTATTATTATTAATTACTGTTTTTGATTGGCACCTGTGAACAATCCTGAGTATATTGCCATTATTAATATTTTTTGTTATATAGTTGTGAACTTTTCTTTGTGCTGTATTAAGATTGGTAAGGTTTTAACAGTTTCGTTAGTATTTCGTGTCCTAGTTATCATTTATATGTATCAATTGGCACATTATAATATAAATAATATAATTAGAAATTCGACGACGTTAATGTGGATAAAATAATTTGTTGTTTTGCAGAACTTTACAATGAGTCAAAGGCGCACCAGACAATCCAATGCAGAAGTTGATGTATCAGAACTTGAAGATGCTATTAAAGAATGTGTTCGGTACATTATTTGTCGAGAAGGCAGCAAAATACCAATTAAAAAAGGTGATGTTTCTAAACACCTTAGCGCAACATGCCAAACTCCTTCCAATCACGTAAACACTGTTTTAATTGAAGCTAACAAGATATTGAAAAGGGTGAGTGTATATTGGGTATTTTTCTCTGAATACAATAAGATTTTTACTTAAGCACAATAAAAAAAATTTAATCTATTCAATTACATTTCATGATGAAGGTACTTCATTTTAGAAATTCCTATGATGATGTCATAGGTTTGTATCGTATAGAAATCCTAAAAGTATTGAATATGACAGGAATAATATACTTCACTTAAAAAACAACATTCCATATTAATAAAGTTTAAAACTAAAGGCCTGATTCACAATAACCATACATTAGTATGTATGGTTATTGAGAATCAGGCAATATATTGATTCACAATAACCATACATTAGTATGTATGGTTATTGAGAATCAGGCCTTTATAATACTACTACATACATAGAACAGATATTATAATACTACTACATAGGTAGATACTACCACATAAATTTAACTAAAGAATATAATTTCAGGGAAGAAGGCTGCAGAAAGATATTCCAAATAGGAATATACTGTAGTAGTCCCTCTGTTTCTGTATTTGTTTTCCTTTTTACTATATGTGTGGTGTGCATCAATAATAAATAAACAAATAAAGATACCACACAGACACACCACATATTATCAGCTCTAAATCTGGCTGCCCCATTGACATGTTCAAGTAAGCAAATGTCATCATTAATGTTTCCAGGTTTATGGCTACAAATTAGTTCAAGTGGATGCCCAAAGTGGTGTCCCGTACATAGTAGTGCTAACAGAAGAATGTGAATCTCTGCCGTCGCCTGTCATAGATGTTCAACACAGAACTATACTGATTGCTGCACTCACACATATCTTTATGACTGGGGCTCCAATAAAAGAAGGTTTTTATACTTTACATGTTAATAGATAGCTACATCTGCATGAATTAAACTGTTGACTGCCTCCTTTTGGTTGTAGCATAATTTTTAAAGACTATTTTAATATCACTCAATTAGTGGTCTATCCAACACAAAAATAATTATTCCATTCAAACTAGTAGTTTCAGAAATTAGTCAGTCGCATTCAAACTCTTCAATTATTAAACATTAGTTGTGTTATACCAAATATTTATTATGTTAGTTTAACCCATCATTATGATCTGATTTCAAGTTATTTAAAAATTAAACTACATACTTAACAATTATTTTTAAATTATTTGCAGATGACATGTGGAGATTCCTAACTGAAGCAGGCCTTATGGAGAATGAGAATGACCAAACAGTAAGGAAATTACTGACCCATACATTCACCCGGCAAATGTACTTGCAATATACCAAGGTATGTTTTCTAACACTTTCCTAAGACTTTTATTATGATATAGAGTGCAACCCAACCAAGAGCAACCAGCACTGCCCATGGATACCTGCAATAAGGGTAACATTAAGTGGTTGCAGTATAAACATATAACATTCCATTGTAATCACAACATTCGGTCATAGTATCCAATGTATTGCTACTTGGTGTATGTGTGCAATAAAGTATATATAAATAAATTCCAGAATCAATTTTTTTATGAGTGTAATAAATTATCTGTTTGGCAATAGAATCTTGTTTTCTGTATATGTTAATTGTAATTTTAAGACTAAAAAATTTAAATTTAATCCTAGTGTCGGCCTATTGCTCCAGATTTACAATGCGACAATCAAATCCACTTAACCAAAGAAACTGTAATAATAATAATTATGTCAAGATACGAAAGTGTCCAATATTTTTTTTATATTTTACAGGAAGGTGAGGATGATCTTGCTAGGAATGTCTTCCAATGGGGAGCACGCGCTGTCGAAGAAGTGCCAAAACCATTTCTTCTGGGCAAAATGGCAGAGGTAAGGTTTCAAACATCACAAAAATTGCCCATTGCAGTACTAAGCCTCTTTGCACATGGGGAAGGAATGAGCGTTTATCACCACAATTGGTCAATGCGGATTGGTACTTTCAAACTTATTATTAGGAATGAAAATGATAAGTTCATGTTTCTTCACGATGTTTTTCTTCACCATATGTCAGCGATGTCTAAATAATCTTGTACAACACTCGAAAAAAGTCATATTAGTACTTGTCAGGTCTCGAAAACGTAAAAAAAGGCGCCCGCTTCTCATGCATGAGAGAATTTGAAAAAGATCAATATGATTTTTATTGTTTGGCATTCCATATTTCGACAGGTATTTGTTGCACCTTTCTACGCCATGTAGGTACATACTACAGTTTATTGTTAATTTGTCGTCATGAATACCCTTTTTCCTTACCAAGTACTTTGTTTAATAAACTAAAATCTAATATCAGTAACCGTCACTTCCGAAACTAACGGATAATTCGAAGTAATAATATATCTCCGAAACCGATATAATTTTATTCCTATTTCCAAATCCAGATCCGAAATATTAAATAGCAAGGCTAATATAATCTTTCTTGTACTTTTCAGGCGTTTCAGAGAGAACCTGAGTATTGGAGTGAGCAATACAAAAATGCACATCAAGATACAGAAGTCTGAATATGTTGTTAAAGTAATTTGATCGAAGTGATGATACTACTGAAAAAATGTGATAAAAAACGATTTATTAGTTTTAACCTGAGATGCCTAAAAAACCTATTCTTACACTTTCTAAGGACATATATCTTGCGGGGGTTCAAGCGCAATAATGTACCACTACTGCGGCCTGGAGCAAAAAAGAAAGATTCAATTTATTTCTTTTTTGATTCAATGTCAAAGACATTGAATCTTGGCAGGAAACAAGATTCCCTTATTTTATTTTTATAAGTAATTGTAAATATACATATATTATGCATTAAAATTGTTCATAAGGTTATAATAATAAATAATAAATAAATTAAATCAATGAAAGATTTTCTTTTATAATAGTCGCTGGTGATGTTCTAAATAAATCAAGTATAATTTCTATCGTTAATGTTGTGTAATCCAATATTAATATCGTTAGTTGCCGAGCAAAACTAGTTGTATATCTAACTAACCATGTTGAACTTCAGTAAATACAGTTGAATACCTAACTTCTCCGCTAAACCAATGTCCAGGACTAATCAAATATTCATATTTATAATATTTATACTTCCTCACAATACACAAAAGTTATGGGACAGTCCTCGTAATATAGATTTTAATTGAAAAACGCAATTTTTTAACAATCCGTTTGTAAAAAATTCTTCGTTTTTACTTAAAAGCCTCATATCTAACAAAATATTTTTTACGATTGCCAATATTTCTGTGTCAGGTGTCAGTACCTACGACAACGACATTCGCAGAACTGTCACCTCACAGTATACAGTAGTTTAGTGTCAAATACAGCTGGAATGTACTGTGCGGTGCACACGTTTTAAAAAATCTCTCATATATATTTTGTATGTCCACTTTTACTAAGTATAACGAGAAGTGTATATAAATTGTGTGTGTTAAAAGTGTTGATCAGTGAACATGTCGCAATCACCAGCAGCTGTAGCTCCCAAAGAGCGCTACGTTCCGAACGCGCTTAAATTCGCTTTCGGCGGCCTTGCCGGGTACAAATCTTGCATTTATTTTAAGAATACAAACATGTCCTTAGAATAAGATCAATGTCATTAACATGGTTTTAGAGAAAGGCTATCGTGTTTATTTCATACGAACAAAATTATTGACAGGCGACGTTTTTAATTAGAGCGTTGTTTAGCAATATAGAACCTTGTCCTCGTTAACAACTGGATGCTAAATATTACTCTAACAAATTAAACTGGTAATTAGATCCTCAGGTTAATAATTCAGTTGATATCGATAGCCCAGTGGTGGTTATGTAACAAGTAGAAGGTACAAGCTAGCAGATATCACAAAGTTTCTCATTAATGTCTTATCAGGTTTCGTATTCTTATTTACGCGGACAATGTTGTAATGTAAGATGGAATTTGATAAATTTGAATAGTTCATATGAATAAATTAAAAGCTCAATATTAAATAAAATAGTTAGAAAACCCAACAACTTTGATCAACACATACTTAATTAACTATTTAGATCTCTGAATATTCCACTACATTGTTGGCTTGCAAAGCTACAACTATCAGTATAGTTGCTGCCAGTATTTATAATTTCTACTTGGAGTAATCAAAACTCTTTTGAGACTTAGTTACCATAAAAAAAATCTTACAGAGATTTGGATCCTTATGGCTTAGGTTCTACATAATAATAAAAATATAATATGCTTCTACATCTTTCGGCTTAGATTATCACATAGAAACTTGAGCCTTCCTCCACATAATCATGATGTCAAATTATTTACTTTCAGTTTTCAAAAACATAAACCAATTTCTTATTTCCTCAAAAGTACTAAGTGGGGAAAAAAAATAATGTAGCCATTCCATTTAAAACTACATGAGTTTAAGTTAAGATACAAATGTTTTTTTTTTTAGTATGGCAGCAACATGCGTTGTTCAGCCTCTGGACTTGATCAAAACTCGGATGCAACTGAGTGGAGGTAGTCGAACCTCTTTTGCTGTTGCCGGAGAGATTGTAGCCCGAGAAGGGTTTGTGGCACTGTACACTGGACTGTCAGCGGGCTTGTTGAGGCAGGCAACTTACACAACAACTCGTCTTGGAGTCTACAACTATCTATTTGATGCATACAAAGAGTGAGTACTGACTTACATATTTAATACCTCAAAGAAATTTTGTTGACTGCATGTTTGGCGTGGTGGCTGGGCAACTGGCTGCCGCGCAACGTGTCGCGGGTTCGGTTCCCGCACTGTTGCGGGTCTGGGTGTGATGTGCATGTGAATTTGTATGTTTGTAAACGCACCCACGATACAAGAGAAAAACCCTAGTGTAGGGGGCAACGTTTTTTAAAAAGAAAAAAAATGTATATAAGCAAGTCAGCTTGAATAGAATGAATTTTTAGTGTGGGAGAGCCAAGCTTCGGCACGAATGGGTCGGCTCGACCGGAGTGATACCACGGCCTCATAGAATACCGGCGTGAAACAACCCACAGCGTTGTGTTTCACCGTGTGAGTGTGGCTACCGGGGGCCCAATCCCTGCCCCTCCCCCATCCCTTCCCAATACTTAACTATCCGAAACCTTTATCCCTAAGAGGCCGACAACGCACTCGTAACTCCTTTGGTGTTGCGGGTGTCCATGGGCGGCGCTGATTGCTTAACATCAGGTAATCCGTCTGCTAGTTTGCCGTCCTATATAATACAATAATAAAAAAAGAAGCAGTTGCGGTATTTTGCTGGGGCATGTACGTCGTATCGGCTTACAATTATCGCAGACGACAGCATGCTTCATTGAAACACTTAATATGTGCAAAGTCTAACGAACGATGCGAGGCACAAGACGCGTCGCTGTTGTCCCTAAAATTACTCAGCACTACTTACTTAGTAGACTGACTACTGACCTTACCCGGTAATCTATTTAGTTTTAAGAGTACTTTTGCTCTTAAAACTAAATAGATTACCGGGTAAGTTCGGGTTACTTTGACCCTGCGCGGTAACTTTGATCCAAACCCTTTAACCAATAATAATTGAGAACCAAACATATTCGTTTTTCATTGGTTCGAAAATTTGGATCAAAGTTACCTTCCAGGGTCAAAGTAACCCGAACTTACGGTACCCATATCCAGATACTAACTGACGAATTTGTTGCAGCCAAATATCGCAATTAGACGACTAACATTTTTTTTATTCGGATATTATGCAGATTTAAATGCAGTTGCTAGTCTATCTATACCTACCTTGTTTAAAAATAAGTCACTCATTTTGTATTTTTCATTTAATTTATTAAAAAAAAAACACGGAATTAGAACCGGACAGATTCGATTGAAACTTTTTTGTTATAGTTTTTACTAACAAAAAGCCTGGGTAAAATATAGAGAATTCGGCCCAACGTCAAAATTTTATGCTGACGAAATTGCAGGAACGAGCTGTAGTCATAAAAAATTAACTTTAAACTTTTGTGTAGCTTATATTTGTATAATAACAGATGATTCATTATATTCATATTCAACATAGAGACAAATTTGCATCCCATCACATTGATAGGTTTTAATTGAAATTGATTTGCAGACAATGTAGCAATTTCTAGGCAACCCACTATCTCTCTAGACCTTAGAAACTGAACGTAAGTAATACTTAAGTACAACGTTAGTTTATTTATAAACAGCTTTAGTAACAAGCACAGTAAGTGACCTGCCGACCCCACACTCGCACTGCTCAGTGCATTGTGCCCGATAATTAATTTATTGACATTGCACATCTACATACCCCTTTAGTATCAGCAAAATAAACATAAAATATACCTTACATCCTGACTTTATTCTGCTGTTCACGATAACACCTTGTAAAATTATGAAAATTCACATAACATTCCCAGTGATCAGCTATGGACTCGCCTCTCCCCCATTACGAAGATATTATTAGTTCGATAAATGTGCATCCTTTTTGAGAGAGCAAAACCATCCAGTGAATTCTCTTGCCTGGTCGAGAGAGGGAGTGTCAGACTCTTATTGGATGATCGCTTCCCCGTTACTTCTCCTAGATCCGAGCTGGGTCCCGGTACATACCTCATTGGCCTGAGTGGGCCTTATTTGTGACTCTTGGAGAATTGATGTGTAGCTTTGTCTGACGTTTTTAAAGGCCGGCGAAAAGACTGTGACCTTCTCTTGTCGCGGGTATCCATAGACAGTTATCGCTTACCTTCAGTTGAACCATCTACACGTTTGCCATCTATAACATAACAAACCTCTTCAAAGCATAACAGACGCCATGTTAATTAAAGCATCTTCGGGAGTTCGGGGCACTCCATATTCGATACACAAGCACAATCAAAGTGAAAACCTGTGAATTAAAACCAGATATCAGCTTTAACTAGTTGTTGCAGAAATTTGGTGCTTTACTGATAACTATGAAAATATTTTCTTCATCGACGTTAGAAAAAAGTAAACTAAAAAAATGGTCGATAATAATTTCTGATTTTTTAGAAATCTCGACCTTGGTGAGTAAATTCTATTGTTATTGTCTAATTATTCATTTCTATTGGTATTTAGAAACCGCCTCAAGGTCCCTTACCTATTAGATTCGCCACGCCAGCATTTCGCTCTATGTTTAACCTAGTTCAACCGCAATGATGTACCTATGTACGGCCCCGGTCTGAAACTAGAGACAGAACGGGATAGTTTTAGTCAGTAAGAGTCAGAGTCAAAGTCAAAATCGGTTAATCCAACTAAATCTAGAATAGGTAATGAAAACTGGTGTGTAATTAGTCTGATTAAGATGAGATGCTAATTATCTAGGAGTAGACTAAATGAAAAATAGACACGTGCGATGACTTTAAGTATTTAATTACAAAAACGGAAAAGACAGAGAACATGATGGCGACATCTATAATATTTTGGATGCGTTCGTGTTAAATAAATTTCTCGACGAATAAGTCGCGTTCATATTTTCTACATTTTGAAACGTCAATACAGAATAAGTCTGTCACATCACATTAAAGACCTGTTCCTTGCGGACATAGGACCCTACGTTATGTACGCCAAGCAACCACATGAAGCGTGCACTAATACAACTAAAGGCATTTCAATTCCATGAAAATGAAATTAACGTATTTAAATATGGTCATGAAGTCATGAACGTGTCAATGAGTTTTCTTTTCCCTTTCTGCTTCTTTACTTTTTAATGGCGGTTTCGTAAGTAAACAATGAAATATCGATAACGAATAAGTACGATTGTCAACTGGTTTATGTGTTTCAATTTCGTGTGATACAGTTGAAGGCCTCAGACCTACTTCACTCGTGAATTTTGATAAGACTCTGCAATAAGTAAGCACGTAATTATGTAATCAAAGGTCATTAACCTTTCCTCTGTATAATTATACTCTTTATAGCTTCGTTGTACAGTTACTATCGTGAGATATATTAAATTGATTAAAATAAAGTCTTTCTCACGCGAATTAACTGTGAAAAGCTCTTCTAGTTTCCAAGTCATTATGGGACTCTTTCTACTCGTAACTTTCTACCACGCACAGCGAAACTTTGGAATGATCTTCCGGAGGCGGTATTTCCAAACCGATACGACCTTCAAATCTTCAAGAAACGTTCGTACTCCTTAAAAGGCCGGCAACGCACCTGTGACTCCTCTGGTGTTGCAGGTGTCCATGGGCGGCGCCGATCGCTTACCATCAGGTGATCCGTCTGATCGTTTGCCTCCTATTCCATAAAAAAACCTCTTATTCGTCGCGGCGACGTCTTGCAGCCGACTTGCTCCTGTTGTTACTTGAGACTAGTCGAGCTTTTCCCAGTTGATTCGCATAAGCAAGTCCTCATATTTTAATATATTTTTTAGGTACAGCTTATTTATTTTGTATTGTATTGTTTTTCGAAGACATTAATTTCTGGGCAAATATTGTCTCAAATACAATAAGACAGAGCGTATCGATCAAAGCAACTTTTCACGCAAGCAGAATACTGCTGGATTGTGGGTTCACCACCCACGTTCCGGAGCCACGAATTTTAGGAGTGTGCCTTGGAGAACACGTAAAACCGTTACCGTCCTGCGCCTGGCCCTCTCCAGTTTTCGGTCTGCCGTCTCACCCTATTCAAATAGTAAGGGACACAAAGCAGCTGTATTTGCTCATACACTTGTGCATTATAATATCTCGTGCTTAGTGGGCTAGACTAAACAGACTTGCCACTATGGAAGTAATTGATCAGGAGTCTTTAATTTTTTCGAGTTTTCCATACTGCGCTTGAAAGATACAAACTCAAGATTTTATTTCATTTTCACATAATTAAATCATTCGATTTATGATCGTGGGTATAAAAAAGAGTTTTTGGCAGTCAGGTAAAAATAAGCAAGAATTTTGCGCATTGCAGTGCATTGCAATTTGGCAGAAATTCGCGTGCAAAATAAATTGATTGAGGTATTCATGAGTACTTTTAATTTTTGACATCGGACCTTACTGCATTGCACTCGTTGTTTTAATGGTCATAAACGAAATAAAAAAGATAAAGTAATGTAGAAAAAAAAGTGTAGGAAAAGTTTTCTTTAGTCGAAACTCGACTAATATCGAGTACGACGGATAAGTTTTTTTTGTTTTGTTTCTAGTATTTATTGTTATAGCGGCAAAAGAAATGCATTATCTGTCCAAACTTCAACTATCTTATTATCACAGTTCATGTGATACAGCCAGATGACAGACAAACAGATAGAGACGGAATCTCATTAATAGATTTCTCGTTTTCACTTTTTAACCTTTGGGCACAGAAGCCTTTAAAACGTACTTACGTATTTCAAGCTCAACACAAGTAGACTAATAACTTATTGGGATTTTCTCAATTTTTGTAATGGATGTCAATGTATGAGTTATAATAAACCTTATATTCATTCAGACCAATAAATTCTTTACCATTCAAAATGTATGGACGGTATAAATCATCATGAAAAGTGTAAAATGCAAAACAAATGTCACCTTCAGTATTCGGAATTCAAAGCACGTGCATCTACGTCAGTATTAGAATTCTTTGCCCACCTGATGCAGAAAAAATTGGGCATGAAAATAGCTTGTTTATTTTTCCATCTATCGTGACATCGTAGCGCGTCACTCTTTGATGGATGAACCTTTGTTCTTACTCCGTGGGATGAACCGATCTGTTCTAAAAATTGTTAATAGTTTGATTTTTGGTCTTCGTTAGCTTAACGGTCTCAAAAGATCCAAATGATATCAGAATTTAATTTTCGAATTTAATCCGATAGTTTCGAACTACTCAGATTAACAATAAATTGTGTTTTTGACAGTTCCAAAACAATATTATGAAATAAATGTTTGAAATCGCAACATTTCCTCATAATGATACTACTAACGTCAATTAGCTTGCTTATTTGTGAAAGAATTGCTAGAAATAGTTAAAAAATAATTCATTTTTGACCTTGAAAACTACCTAGCTATACATAATGTACAATAGGAGCAAAATATGCTTAATAACTAAGAAAAATTAGTACTAAGTAAAGGCTATTTTTCTGAATTTCCTAGTTTAAAATTATCAGTCATATTACCGCTCGTTAGGGCAATGTGGGCAAAACATCGATGAAAAACAAGAGGGTGATTCTTGCCATGAACGTGAACTATGACGTTATCGAAGTTCTTAGGAAATTGGCACATTTTCAAAAGAAGTCGTTAACATGCGCTGGCTAGCTAACTAGGCTATTGCATATATGTGCTAGGTCCATAGAACTTACGTAAAGAAACTACACTGCACCGCCAAAACGTCAAATTCTTTTTTTATGGTATAGGAGTCCAATGAGCAGACGGATCACCTGATGGTAAGTGATCCGCGCCTGCAACTCCAGAAATGTCACAGGCGCGTTGCCGGCATTTTCGAAAAGAGTGCGCACGTTTCTTGAATATTTGAAGGTCGTATCAATTCGGAAATACGACCGCCGTGATATCATTCCAAAATTTTGCTGTGCGAGGTAAAAAATTTCACAAAAATCGCACTTTTGTGTACTGCCATCTATATGATGAAGATGATAATGTTTTCGCGTGGGTCGATGGCAAAAGGTTTTGGCGGGAATTAAATCGACCAATTCCAAATTCTTATAACTGATTTTAAACTTTATTGCTTTACAATAAAGAGGAATCTTTTTAAGAAACTGCATAGAAAAGGGTAGCTTGATGTGCTGATCAGTGCAATGATTAATTAAATTCACTAATAAATAACCGTGTCCATGGGAAAACTTCTTGTTTTATCAAATTTCATTCAACTTCAATTTGGAATCAAAGTGCACTTTCAGAAAGTGCCGTTGCTACCTCCTTATCACTTAGTAAAGTAAATAAACTGCATCATCTGTGCTGATAGGTTAAGCAAATCCTTTTAAAGTCCTTGTGTTCACCTTTAATGACTTGTTTATCTGTTGCCCAGCCACCGCACAAACTGTGCGTCGTACGTCATTTGCCTGTAACTCGTAAAAATAAGTGACATTGCGTTCATATTATTTATTAAGGGAAGGCTAACAAACAGACGGTTCACCTGCACTTTTTTTATGTAATAGGTCGGCAAATGAGCAAACGGATTACCTGATGGTAAGCAATCAGCGTCGCCCATGGACACCCGCAACGACGGAGGAGTTACGAGTGCGTTGTCGACCTTTTGGGGATTAGGGATTTGGAGATTTTAAGAAGGGAACGGATTGGGGTAGGGGAAGGATTGGGCCTCCGGTAACCTCACTCACACGGCGAAACACAACTCTTTGGTTATTTCACGCCGGTTTTCTGTGCGGCCGTGGTATCACTCCGGTCGAGCCGATCCATTTGTGCCGAAGCATGGCTCTCCCACACTCCTGCAAGACAGAGGAATTACGGGTGCGTTGCTAGCCTAGGACTTAGAGATTTAAGGATTGAGGAATAGACTCCTGCCATCTGATTGATAGGCCTCCTTTAAACTCGCTCATACGTCGAAATAAAACACAATCGTTGATTTACGCCCGTTTTCTGTGAGGCTTTGGACAACATTCCAATTGACAGCACATTTGTGCCAAAGCAAGGATCTTCCACATTTGAAATTAATCAGTCTACCTATTGACATCGATTTGTTAATAGTCAGTTTCTCTTTTTTTATTTAGTGATGGGCAGGCATTTGACCGCTATCACACCTGATGGTAAGATATGATGCGACATATGATGGGGCATGCCTATTCATAAGCAACCTATTTACTCGGGCCACTATACCCTTCGGGAAACACAGACCCTGGCACATAGAAATAATGTTGAATATAATTGTTGACAGGAAAAACGCCGGTGCAGCACCAGGGTTCGGCACAAAAACCCTGCTCGGTGTAGCAGCGGGTTCAGTCGGTGCCTTCGTCGGTACTCCAGCTGAAGTTGCCCTCATTCGTATGACAGCCGATGGAAGGTTACCCGTAGAACAGCGAAGAAACTACAAGAATGTCGCCGATGCCCTCATAAGGTTAGTTTTATAGAGGATTTTGTGTGTAGATGGCGCTGCTGTCGAAAAAAGACCGGTGAACCTAGACTGTCATTTGTTATGCATCCAATCAAATCGGTACATGCTTACTTTTTAATACAATCCATAACAGAAGGTTTGTAGCCTTGTATATATAGCGACAACAGCGTCGTTCTGTGTTTGTGAACGAGGCCTAATAGTAATTAATAATTATACACTACCTACAAAACTAAACAGTTAAACTTCAAAATTTTTATTTAGACACAAGCTTTTGAGCGTCAATTAGTTATAGAATATAATTCTATTTTACAAAAATAACTATGATTTCGTCTGTAAATAGGTACTTCTATCTTACTTTAAAATAAAAACAAAGATAGAGATAATTGTCAGTCTTGTTCCACCTTATCTCCAGTGACCTTGTAAATGTCAATTCAGTCATTCTGTAATACTGAACTGATTATGATGAAACCACAATGACTTGTATGCACGAAAATAAATTCTCAAGAATTGTTGAGATTACTTAGCTGAATGAGTAAGTGACATAGTTATGACGTTATAAATCATCAGACTCGGAGAAGAAGGCACAGGGTGACTGCAGATTGGATCCTTTTCCCTCTGCAAAAAATAAAAACACCATCAAAATATTACTACATCTTTGTTCGCGAAGAAAAGTATCTAATCCACCTCCATATCCAGAAAACTGGTAGTTTTTCTGAAAAAACATTAAAATCGAGTTAACGATTAAATAAGTCCAAATGACTTTCAAAATAGGTAATAAGAATGCTGTTAATTAATATCAAACAGGCTTAAGTAGACAGGTATAAAATTAACGACAAAAGTCTTTATGTGAAAGGCGTGAAGGTCTAATATAACCTAACGACATGGTTACCAACAGAATAGTGAGAGAGGAAGGTGTTCTCAAGTTATGGCGAGGCGCCACACCCACCGTCGGACGAGCCATGGTGGTCAACGCAGCTCAACTCAGCACATACTCTCAGGTAACTTTCCTTAAGGTTTTTTATGGTATAGATCGGCAAACGAGCATATGGATTACCTGGTGGTAAGCAATCACCGCCAGCCCCACCAAAAAGTTAACGAGTGTGTTGCCGGCCTTAAGGGATAAAGTTTTCGGATATTTAAGGATTGGGAAAGGAGTGGAAGGGATTGAGCCTCCGACCATCTCACACATACGGCGAAACACAACTCTGAAGTTGTTTTCTGTGAGGCCGTGGTATCATTCCATCGAGCCGACCCTTCTGTGCCGAAGCTTGACTCTCCCACACTAAAGTTATAGCAAACGGATCACCTGATGGTAAGCAATTAGCTTCGCCCATGGACATTCGCAAAGGAAAATTTACTTTATTACCATTGCGGTAAAAAATAGGCTTGTTGGAATTTGGAATGGACTCGGTCATGACCAATGACTGCACGGTTGGCGCGGCGGCTGGGCAACTGGCTGCCGCGGGTTCGATTCCCGCACGGAACAACTCTTTGTGTGATCTACAGATTGTTGTTCCGGGTCTGGGTGTGATGTGCATGTGAAATTGTATGTTTGTAAACGCACCCACGACACAGGAGAAAATCCTAACGTGGGGCAAAGTTTTTAAAAAAGACAAAAATGGTCGATCGTTCCATCGCTCCTACTTAATTTAAGACTAACTGTGCCCCGCGGTTTCACTCGCGTAGTTCATAGCCTATGTTCACCAGGATAGTGTTACTTCCTAGAAGTATTTTTCAAATCTGTCAAACAGTTTCAGAGACATGTTTTTGCTTAAAAAATGCTAAGCGGTACTTAATAAAACTTTTTGGGAAAATTCGTTAATCTTTTATACAGACAAAACAACTATCAGAATTGGTATAGTAATTTAAGAGTTATATACGTGCAAACATTTCTGTTATTAACGCTTGTCTTTCCACTAGGCCCGTGAAATGTTCGTTGGCTATGTTCCTGACGGCATCACGCTACATTTCTGTGCGTCCATGGTGTCTGGTCTCATCACCACCATCGCATCCATGCCTGTGGACATTATCAAGACGAGGTAACATTTTTATAAACGCATTTTCTTTCTTCTGTATTTGTTTTACTTTTAGCCTATGGAAGCCAGGACTCAATGCTAGTGGTCTAAGCGTCCCTATCCAACAAGGAATTTTGAATTGGATTCCCAGAACAAGTCACGTAAACTAAATACTTCAATATGTAGGCAGCAACATACCCCTTCAGTCAAGGATCGAAGATGGCATGAAGTATCAGCGTTACCTTTGGGAAAAGACCGGCGTTCATCTATCTAGTTTTTGTTTAGTAATTCCTTCAATGAAACAATGAATTTATATTTGCAAATAGGCCATAAAACAGCACTTTTATATGTCAACATTATATGTAAAAAAATGTAGATTAAGCCGACATTTTTCTATCTGACTAGTCTGAGAAGAAATGCCAAAACAAACTCAGAGGTCTGTCTCCTTTAAAATCCAGACAATGTAAAAAAATATAAATGTAATGTGTGTGAGACCTTCGAACTAAGATACCGATGTAGATAATCTAAAACTGTTTATGGTCTTTCGATTATAATTTTCGCAGTATTATTACTTATTAGTGTGAAGCACGATAGAGTTAGCGTAACTGGTGAATTTTAAAATCGATAAATGCAACGTCACTGGGCATTAAAGTTCTGCGGACTTAGCTTGGAACAAGAAAAGGAACTGGATGGTTTTTCGTCAGTAAGTGTCTTGACACTCCCTCTTGCTTCAACCGGGGCGAGAAAAGCCATTTAAGGATAAACCGCTCACAAAAAAAAAATTACCTGACAACAAACCTTACCTGACTCCACGGTTGGCGTGGTCGCGCTGTGCAACTGGCTGAACTGAAACTGACTGAACTACTATTTGTGTGATCCACAAATTGTTGTTCCGGGTCTGGGTGTGATGTGTATGTAAAATTGTATGGGGGAAATGCAACGAATTTTTTTTTAAGATCCAGACAATTTCAGAAGTAGAATATATAGAAGAATATAAAATAATTTACATAATCTCTCCAATCGTTAACATTAGAATAAAAATAAAATTTTATTTCTAAACGGGTCAATGTCATGTGATTGTGACATCACGAGTTTATTAAATAACCTTCAGGTCGCTTACGTCAGAGTTACAAACATACGGAATCTGACAGTTTCAGACACACATAGATATTATAGTTTTACACAAACAAACATTTAGGCAAATGATGAAACTGACTGTTATGTTTTATGACCAATTATTTTTATTTTCTGTAGAAATCCATCCCTATTCTGTTCTTTTCTATCCTACATCATCTACCAAATTCAAATTCGGTAATCGTTATCGCTTTAAAAACGAATAAAATGTATTGGAATTAATTCCAGTACTTTTTTTTCGTGTATCGTTTACTAAGCATGCCTAGAAGAGCTGGCCTTTTAAAAGTGAGATTGCTTAGCAAACCATACATGAAAGTTATGTAAAATTTAAAGGAGGCCTATAGTCTACGGAGAGCCGTCACCGGTACTTAGTGTAATGTTAAGTGTCTTATCCTTTCTGTCATTTCCTTTTTTTTAAAAAACAATTTCCCATCTTTATCTTTTTTTTCTGTCGTGGGTCCGTTTACAAACATACAATTTTACATATACCTCACACCTAGATCACAAAGATTTGTTCCGTGTGGCAATAGTGAAGTGCTGGTTGTGCAACCGGTTACCCAGCCTGTGAGCGGATCGTGTAGACAACTGTATTACTAGCTTTCTCGCGGGGCTTTGCCCGCGTGGCATGTTGAAAAACGCCTATATATTAATCCAGGGTTTTTTTTTTTTTTTTTTTGTGAGGGGAAAATCATCAAATGACTTCTCCCGCCCAGGGCCGGGCAGGAGGGAGTGTCAGACTCTTACTGACTAAAAACCCCCCTGTTCCTTCTCCTGCTCTGTGCCGAGGTCGCGGTACCTCATTGCGCTTACCCCGCAACCCCGGCTGAACATCAGCCCTTTAGGGCCCCGTCTGTGGTGGTCTATTGGCTCTTTGAGGCGCGCGCGGAACGCTACGCGCCGTACGCTCGGGCCTGGTTCTGGTCGGGCGGCGAGCTGCCCTTACTCGCCGACCGCAGGCCCGTACTTACGGTGGCCGGAGATCGTCCCTCGATCCCCGACGCCCGTAGTGTCGCCAGTTGCGGCTGCTGGGGCGCGAGGAGGAGGATTGCTCCCTCACGCGGGCCGCCTCTCTCTTTGCGAGCATGACCGCTTCACAAAAGGAGGAGACGGCGTCCCAGTTCCTCTCACTCCGCACCATGGCCTCGACTAAGGCCGGGCGCGAGAGGTCGCCGCCGCCGATCACTTCCCTGAGGATACGGCGGTGCTCAGCCCAGGCAGGGCATACCGCTACCGTATGCTCCACCGTATCCTCTAGGTGGTCCTCACAATGACGACACTCGGGCGTTTCCTCCCGCTGAATCCGAAACAGGAACCTACCGAAGCTGCCGTGCCCGGTAAGCACCTGCGTCAGACGGAAGGTGAGGACGCCGTGGCGTCTCTCAAGCCACTCCTCAAAGAGGGGTCTTACCGCTGCTATGGTAGCGTGCCCGGCCCTCGGTTGCGACAGTCGTTGTCTCCACTCTGCCATGAGATCTCGCCGGAGCTCATTCCGCCACGCACTTATTTGGCGCGGCAGAGGATCTTCGCCCCGGCGACGCGCGTCTGCGCGCAAACTGTAGACGCGCGCGAGCGCCTTCGCTTCTAGATCCCACGGCGGTGATCCGGCAAGGAGGTTCGCCGCCTCCCCGGAGATCGTGCGATACCCGCGGATTACTCGTATAGCCATGACCCTCTGGGACGCGACCAGCGTACGAGCCGGCCGCCGCTTCAAGTCCGGCGCCCACACAGGGGCACCGTAGAGGGCCATGGATCGCACAATCCCCATATACAACCTCCGGCAGGAGGCGTTTGGCCCCCCGAGGTTGGGAAGGAGCCGCTTGAGCGCGGCCCCAGACCGTTCCAACTTAGGGGCCAAACGACGAAAATGCTCCGTGAAGTTCCATCGGCTGTCGAGGACGAGACCCAGGTACTTCATCGCCGACTCGACGCCGATGGTAACTCCTCCTGCCGTTACTTGGGACCCACCTGGAGGTGGCGCGCTCCGACGGCCATAGAAGCACATGGCCTCGGACTTGTGGAGCGCCACCTCGAGTCCCAACTGCCGGATCCTTGCAACGACTGTCGCAACCGCTTGTGACATCAGGTCGGCCGCCGCCTGATGCGACCTCCCGTTCGCCAGCACCAGCGTGTCGTCAGCATAGCAGACAATGCTGACGCCGCTCGGGAGGTCGGTGCGTAGCACCCAATCGTACCCGATGTTCCACAGGAGAGGTCCCAGGACCGATCCCTGTGGGACACCGCGCGACACCTCTCGCCGATTCCACACGCCCCGGTGACCGGGGTAGATGACGCATCTGTCCGTCAAGTAAGCCTCGACTACACGACGGAGATAGGCAGGCACCCGGTGATACCGGAGTGCCTCCAAAATGCAGCTCCAGGGCAGCGAGTTAAAGGCGTTGGCGATGTCCAGAGACACCGCCACGACGACTCGCCTCCCGGCCAACGCTGTCCCCGTCGTGAGGTCCCTCACGCGCATGATGGCGTCCACCGTGGAGCGCCCTCTGCGGAAGCCGAACTGGCCGTCCGCTAAATCCGGCCCCCTTCCAGACAGGTGCCCGACGAGGCGGTCTGAGATTATCCTCTCGAACAGCTTTCCCACCTCGTCGAGCAGCACAATGGGCCGGTACGCGGACGGAGAGTCCGCAGGACGCCCCGGCTTCTTCACGAGGACCAGTTTACCCGTCTTCCACGACAGCGGAAACTGGCCTCTCTCCAAACATGCGCTGAACAGACCAAGTAGTCGAGGCCTGAGAGCCTCCGAGGCCAGGACCCAGACCTTGGCATGCAGCCCGTCAGGTCCTGGGGCGGTATTCTTGCCGCTCAGCCGGCGCACCGCCACTCTCAAATCTACCTCGGTCACTTCCGGAGCGGATTCGTCGTCGTCGTCGATGTAGCCCGCATTGGGCACCGCAGGGGGCGGGGGCATAGCCGGAGGCGTGTAACCCATCTGTGGTCGGGGGAATAGCGCCCCAACCACTTCGTCCACGACCTCCGGCCGGAGACTCTGAGTCAGTGGGGGCGCCCAGGTGCGGAGCTTATCACGCACCATCCGGTAGGGGCGTCCCCACGGGTCTCTGTTCAGAGTCTCCAACATCTCCTCGCGGGCCCGATCTTTGGCCCGCCGGATCTCCACCCTGAGCGTGGCCTTCGCCGCCCTGTACTCCTCGTATAGCTCCGCCTCTCTGGTTTCAGCGTCCAGAGGGCGGAGACGGAGCCTGCGGTGCCTGGTGTATCGGCGTCGCGCTGCGGTGCACTCACCGCGCAGGTCTGCCAATTCCTGCGACCACCAATACACCTGGCGCTTGCGTTGGCACGGTCGGATCCGGGGCATCGCCACGTCGCACATCCTTGACATGGCGTCCTGGAGCCATCTCGCCTCCTCGTCAATGTCGGCTGGCCTGACCGGTGGTATCACCCAGGCCTGCACGACTGCGGCTTCCAGGAAAAGCTCCCGGTCCAGTTGCCTAAGCGCCCAACGCGGGCCACACGGGGCCTGTCTGACCGGCGGGTCTGCGGACTCGGCGGAGACGTCGAACCGTATATACCGGTGGTCCGAAAACGTCTCCACCTCCTCCATGACGCGCCAGTCAACAACGCGCGATGACAGAGCGGGGCTAGCAAACGAAATGTCCACCACTGACTCGCCCCGCATCCGTACGCACGTGGGGACAGAACCCCGGTTCAGCACGACTAGGCCTGTCTCCAGAGCCCAGTCTTCGACCATCCTTCCCCGGACATCAGTGAGCCGGGAACCCCAAGCCAAATTCTTGGCATTGAAGTCCCCGAGGACCAACACGGGGAGGGGACGGAACCCGACGACGACGGTGACTAACTCCCTGAGGGAGTTGTGGAACTCGACGAGAGTTCGGTTCGGAGAGAAGTACACGCCCACCACGGCGATCTCTCCGAACCGAGCCGCGACGCAACCCCTGCCTCGCTGAGGCCCTTCGGGGGTTGGGGTACCGGCGGCGGCCGACGAGATGATGGTCACCGAGCCGTCCAGGTCTGACACCCAGTGTTCCCTGGCTGGAACGAAGTACGGCTCGGAGACCACAGCAACATTGATCGACCACTGCGCCATGCTCTGGAGCAGGAGATCCTGAGCAGCGACGCAGTGGTTGATGTTCGCCTGGAGGAGGCGTAATGGAGCCATTATTGGGTATCCATCACGACCTCCTCTCTGACGGCAGCGGCGACAGCAGCAGTCGCAGGGGTGTTGGCGACTGCGGCGGCAGCGGGAGCGACGGTGGGAGCGGTGGAGGTGGCTACGGGCCTACCTTTGCTCCTGGGCTTGGTGGGGGGGGAGCAGGTTTTGCCCCCAGCCCGGTGATCGGCCGGCTTGCCAGCCGCCGCACATACTACGCAGTGCGGCGGGGCGGTACAAGCGCCGGCCCTGTGACCGGGCTGACCGCAGCGGAAGCAGCGGTCGCTGCGGTCCACCTCTGAGGTGCACTTGGCACCCACATGGTGACCAATGAGGCAGCGGAAGCACCTCAAAGGTCGGGGTTCCAGCAGCTTCACCTGCGCCGAAACCCAGCCCACCAGGAGCCTTTTGCCCTCCGACAGTTTTTTGGCCGCTGTGACGGGGCAGCTCACTACCACGGTCCGCAGCCCCGTATTGTCCGGGCGGATGGTGCCTGCCTTCACCTGATCAGCAGGGCACCCCCCCGTCCTTGCGACAGCGGCCGCATATTAATCCAGGGTATTACCTACATATGGACCTATCTACATACTTAATTACAACCAAATCAGTCCAGCAATTTCTGCGTGAAAGGATAAGAAACATTCATCTACACATTCTCACAAATCAAATTTTCGCATTCATAATATGAACAGGATTAATTCCCCCATTTATAAATTACAGGATACAAAACGCAGCTAAAGGCCAAAGCCAGATAGGAGTAGTGACCTCCTTACTCAAGAACGAAGGCGTACTCTCCCTCTGGAAGGGCTTCCTGCCATACTACGCTCGGCTCGGCCCTCACACCGTACTGACCTTCATATTCCTTGAACAATTCAACGCAGCATACTTCAGAATGACATAAGTAAGTTAGGCTAAGAAATAACCAGAAAGCGTCTAGGTAAGCGTTTAATTTTGTATAATTATTTGTGTGACATACAGGGGCGGATTCAACTTGGTGAGCGCCCTAGTAAAGGACTTTATAGGCGCCCATAAAATGTGTGCCCTTTGAGCAATCGTGCTATTCGGCGCCCTTCCGCGACCTGGCGCTCTTCCGCGACCTGGCGCCCTTTCGCGACCTGGCGCCCTTCCGCGCCCTACGGCTCTGGTTTCATATAAAAATTTTAATATTAAATGCAAATAATTATGTAAAATGAACAAAGAATTTTATTGTGTCGTGTCCATTGCATAGATTCTTTTGTACCCATGTATTTTTGTAAACTATTTTTTTTATTTTATGTGTTTATCTATCTTTATATAAGTATTATATGTTGTAAATATGTATTGTAATGGAAGGACATTTGCTTAGAGAGTGTATGTAAATATTTGTTCTGATATCTGTTATCAGGGAAGTTAAGCAATGGATAGTGGACACGCTAAGTGCTTACCTAACAGTTAAATGCTCGGACGGTATTAGGTATTATGGACACAAAATATCACATAAATTATGTGTTTTTTCTTTAAATTTTTGATTACCATGTTTTTTTAGACGACAACTGAAAACAAGCTAGTTCGCCAATGTAGATAGTAGTGCATAGGCCGTCATAAAAAAGTCATAATGAAATATTCGGTTTGTTGGCTAAAGCTGACCTAGCGGCCAAATATGTTTTAAAAATATTTAATGCCGTTCCAGAATTCAATTGTAAATGCTTCAATTTATACTCGACCGTAGTAATTGTTATTGAATAATCTCCTTTATACCATTATGATAAGGTTGATTATAGTCTATCGTGTGACAAGTAACGATGTTTACCTAATCATGATATTTTTGTTATAAAATTTTTTCGATGTCAATACTCGATTTAAGTTTTTCGATTATTTATAAGGAAAGCAATCGATTACTGAATTCGATTTCAAATCGAATAGATCAGATAAGTTGTTACAAATGTTTTTTTTTTCTAAAGATATTTATTTTATTACTGTCCTGTTGACCGAATGCTTGAACTCGGGAATGATACCCTTTACTCAAAATTACATAATTATTTAATTATGTCAATTTTGATTGTTATCGATGTGTTAAAGTAGGCATTATAAAATAATGTGTCAGACGAAAAATTCACATTGTTATGTTAAAAAATATATGTTTATATCTATTGTGACAGGTTGATAAAGTAAATAGGTTCGTTACTATGAAATGTGCTAATAGCTTGTATCGATAACTAGATCCTTTCGTAACAACACAAATATTGACGTCATAACAATGTACAGTCGGCGACAATAATATTAAAATGTCAATATTATGTCACAAAAAATATTATCATTGCATTTATTTATTAAATAATATTTTTAAACACGCACATTTATATAAAAATAACAATTTTAATTCCTTCGAAATTAATGATAAAACTTCTATATTAAAAGAGATATATTATTTCAACCCGATATTTGTTTTTTCTGACGCTTAATGTACATATAAACTTTAAACATGATAATCAAATTAAAATCCATACGCGTTCGTGATGTTTCTAATCGGCACCGATCTATTTGTGTAAAGTAAATATTTTATTGCCCTGGCACACTGACCACGAAGTCTAGAAATAAATTCAAATAATTTATTCATGACATTTTGTAAAGTCAAAGTTTTTTTATTGCAAGACATTGGTTACAATGGTTGTTCTAAAGGTTAATTAAGATCACAAAATTAACTTAGTATTCATTATTCAAATAAAGATTTTTTTTAATCTGTGATCCAAGTGGCAGGCGTTTTCCAACCAACACTGGCATACGGTCATATGAGAATGGTTTCGTCATCACAAAGTTAAATTTTGACGACATGGTAATCTGCTGTTGCCGCTGAAAAAACCGGTATCATGTTATTTTTTATTTGAACCCTCAGAATACAGATTTGAACCTTAAAATATTTTAACTACATACTAGGTGGGATTACTACATCATATATCTTATCTGTGGCCATATAATGACATTACAGTAATCTTCACAATATCCACTTGTCTAATCACTTATCAGTAATCCTATAAATTGGGAGTTGATCGCTTTTAGATTTTGATAATAGGAAAATAAATAAATGTATAGTAACTGTAAGGGATTTTTGACCAAGGCCCCATAAAATATTATAGTACAATTACCCGACTGGCGTATTCGATTTTGATGCAAATGCCCATTAATTATCGATACGGAATAATGTAAAAAATGACCAAAAAATATACACATATATGTATGTACTTATAAAACAACAAAGCGACACCAAATCTCATGTAGGTATCGAATAAAAATCAGTAAAATTAAATGGTTTTTGACATTGACATTTGACATATTGTGTCAAATGTTCGACTTTCCATTTACTTCGATTCGAAGTGTCAACATGATTTGTCTAAGAGGGTTTGTAAAAATAAAAATCTGTCTTAGAAAATAAGAAATAGATGAATATAATCAATAAGTTCCTAAAAAACTATGCATAAAGTATTTAAAACAACACCCAAAACAGTTTCCCTACATTTTGAAAGTTTCTTTGTAATAAAGTTGCATAAAATGTCACAATAACATTTATTTATAAAATAGTATCGAATAAATTACATTTAATCTTTAAAATGGTTAATTGTATTTATTTATGCTTATACTTTAGTATACTAAACGTTTTTAGTTGGATTTCTAATGCCTAACACTATTTTCTACTTGCAAAAGTAATTTTTAAATTGGCCTAGTTGCAAACAAATAAAAATAACAACAAATTATTGTTTAACCAATCAGCTAAGCTGTAAAAAAATATCGACCAATGGCTTGACGTGAATTTAATATACTACATAACTACATATTAGCCAGACCTAACGGTATTTTATTACAAAGATCCGTTACATTTAAATTAAGTTCAAATATAGAATTCAAATCGTTTTTTAACTTTTACATTGCAATATTTATTTAGTTGTAAGTACTCACATACATGTAATTTTTGATGTTTTTTTTCTTTATCGAAAATATTTTTATGTCGCACGTCGTTTTTAACTCAATGCAATATCTGTTTCTGAAAAGTATATTTAAAAAATAAGCGTACAAATAACTGATTGAAATTATTATAATTGTATTTTCTTTTGCCATATTGTCGAAACAAATCTATTTATTTATTTGGAAGGAATTTACAATAAATATAATGAGATTATATTTAGAGAACTTTTTTATTTTTTAAATTTATGTAATTATTTGTTTAAAATTGGCACTAATTTATGTGATTTTTATATAGTATGCACTTTGTATTGTAAAATATATGTTATACATAGTTTAAAGGAAGGATTACCATAGAATTAACTGTTAATATGTTATGTATAGACAATAGTCTTAAATAATCTCTTAAGCAACATATACTATATTCATTAGTTGTAAATGAAGGTACAATGTGATATATGTGACGATTGTATACATATTATTATATATTTTTATATACGCTCTTGATTCGTGACTAATTTAATTGGAGAGGCAATGTTGTTATAGATTAATTAAATAAAGAACATTGTTTTCAATTCATTTGTTTTATTTAAGAAAAATAATGCTGATCAAAATCGGGCAAGCCGTTCAGGAGAACACAACACAATCATGTTGACACAAACTGAAATAGTACACCAAGAAAGCTCGCTTCTGCTAATTGATAGATATGAACGCCTAACGCGGCTTGAAATTAGTCGTATTACTTCTTCAAACAGTTATAAAATTAATTTTATTAATTTTATATTATGTGCTACGAGTTCAAACCTTAGAATTCCTCGTTTTCTATATCACACCTTTTTCATTAGATATTCTAAAAAACTAACATGAAAATGTCTACTAACTAGCATGACAATCTTCTGCAAAACGTCAAAATCAAACGGAAAACCAATGACATTAGCGTAAAAAGTAAGCAAAAAATTTTTGTAAAAATTTATATTTTTGAAACAAAAAATTTTTCAAGTAATTATGTGGTTTGTACCGATGATGAATGTGATCCAAGGGACAGTATAACTTAAAATATATAATTTAAAATATCAAATTTACAACTATAATTGAAAATGGATGAATTTAAAAAGATGGATGAAAATAAGGATCTGCCTATCCATAGGAAGGTGATACTTGGAAGTTTATCACGGTAAGAATATAACTAAACTATTTTCTGCCAGCGTCTCCGCCCGCGTTACCAGGTTAAAGAGGAGATTATGTGTTTTATCTAAGTTTGCATCAAAATCCATTCTGTAGACTTTACTAAAAAACTAACGAACTTCCACTATTATGTACAAGGTGGCAATTTGAACGAGGGATATATTAAAGGACCCGGTTCTGGTGCTCAAATATAACAACTTTTTCCATTAGACCAATATGGAAAACGCAAAAAAAATTGTGAACTCAGACTGTGACTCAGAAATAATGGTAAATACTATGCTTTTTTTTAAGATTTGAAAAAGTTGTTGTAATTGAGCACCACAAACGGCTCTTTGAATATGTTCCCCTTTCAAAATGCCACCCTGTATAATATTTTGTAGGACCGCGTATGTAATATTAAACGGATTGTGATACTTAACTTTATATGCTAGTTCTAATTTATTCATATCTCCTTACAAGTCAAACAAGATACAGACATTTGTTACTCAATCTCACTTCTAAGTAGCCGTTATAGGAGTTGACACGCGGACCTGCCATAACAATCTAACCAATACTTTTCTTTCATAGCCACACAATAATTTCAATAATCCCTTAAAATATACCGTCATTATTTTATTATTATCTCACCGCATACAATTCCAGCATCATATCAACGACGCTCCTCATTCCTCTCGACGTGGTCCAAATGAGGTATCGGTTTCCGGACACGTGGTGCGCGCAGATGTTCAGGCTGATGGTGAAAACCAAGGATTGTCCTGGATCCTACGAAATGATGACAGCAACAAAGTTCCGAAAAAGAGTGTATTCTACTCTTCGATGGGGGGTCTACTATTGTCTATACGACCGGCACCAAAAGTATGTCCGAATAATACAAATACGATAAATAATTTTGTAAGTCAACGTGTAGTATCCGAGTGTCCAATGCCACTTTATTTTACCGCGTTTAGCTCGTGATTGGTTAATGAATTTGGTGCAGATCAATCAGAAGCCGAACGTCATAAACATATTGATCGCACTGATGTAAACAAAAAACTCGCACTAGTCAATCAGTTCAGTGTCCTTCAGCGGTAGGACAGATAGTTTCTATCTTGGAACCTAGAAGAGATGAAAAATTTAACAACAACTAGACTGAATTTTTCTTTGGGATTAGTCAGCATGGGCGGAAGTTGTAACTCACTGGACACCAGAAGTAGGTCGACGCCGTCGAGGTCGACCACGGCAAAGGTGGTGTGACGATCTGATCATGTACGCGGGGCAAACTTGGCCGGAGATCGCAGAGAAATTTGGAAGGAAAAAGGGGAGGCCTTTGCCCAGCAGTGGGACACACGATAGGCTATAAAAAAAATTAGTCAGCAAACGAAAAGGCGGTTAGCCTGATGATAAGCATTTGGCGCGCCTCGTAGACACCGAAGAGGTACTAGTGCGTAGCCATCTTTTTTGATGATAGCGATTTAAGGATTGGGAATAGGGGGTAGCCAAATACCACGTTAGAGCGCCAGTTTTCAGTGGGGGAGTGATATTACTCCTGTCAAGCTGGCCCATTACAGTTGCAATCAAATAAATGTTATGTTAACCCTGTAAGTGTGAGAGAGCACAAATGGGTCTGGTCCACGACAGCCTCACAGAAATCCGGTGCGAAACAAGCACAGCGTTGTGTTTCGATGTGTGAGTGAGGTGACCTGAGGCACCCTTCCCCTTCCCCAATCCCAAAATTTCCAAATCCCTTATCTCTAAAAGGTCGGCGACGCACTCGTAACTCCTCAGTTATTGCGGTTGTTTATGGGCGGCGCTGATTGCTTACCTTCAAGTAATCCGTTCGCTTAATTGCTGTCCTTTCACACAAAAGAAATCCACCAATAATCTAGGTATTTAAGTAGTTTTGTCATATCTTCATGTACCTATAGATTAAGCAAGTTTATATTGGGTCTAATCTAATCACGAGTAGTATTTTTGAAAGGAATTGCCGGCGTTATTCTCGTCACCCCCTGTCCAATAGCAAGTATCTCCTAACAAGACGCCCTATAGTTATGCAAGCTATTCGCCACGGGAATTCGACAGCTGTGAGTATTGTCTTCTTACACCAATGCAACAATGAATTTATTTTTGCAAATAGGCCTTAAAACGGCACTTTTACTCGTTAGATTACATGTAAAAAGCTAGATGACGACGGCAATCTTACTCGGACAGACTACCGGACCAAGATACCGGGCAGAACAGTGCCGTCTTCAGCTCCTCGTTTGATTACTGAAAAAAAATCAAATGATATCTTGTTAACGAACTTTTTTTGATGGGGTCCAATTATCAAATGACTTCTCCCGCCCTGGATGGCTGACTCTTACTGACTAAAAACCACCTGTTTGGTCTTCTGCTCCAGACCGGAACCGCGGACCCGTGGTTCACAATTGACGAGCATCCGCATCACATTGACCTATTTTTGTCAGAGGAAAATCACGGAGGAATGGCTTCTCTCGTCCAGGGTAAAGCGAGAGAAAGAGAGTGTCAGACTCTTACTGATTAAAAACCCCCGTTCCATCTCCTCCTGGGCCCAGGCCAAGGTGCCTCATTCCACTCGCCCCGCAACACTAGCCCTATTAGGACCCCGTCTATCACATTGACCTTGCGAATTTTATCAAGAAGTATCTCGCTTCTTTAGTATTTCGACTATCGAATTCAGAGGTATCCTTTACTTTTGTTAATATTGTATTATTCGATCTTCAAACTCTTTCAGGTGTTGGACTACACACAAGAGAAGAAAAAAATGAGAGAGCACAATGTGTTATCAAAATTCGCCAAGCACATCGGTTCACAGATCCACTCAGCTATAAGCGGCATCATAGTCAACAAAAACACAACGTTACGTTGGTCGCTTAATGCTGCCTTTCTTACAGCGTAAGTTTTAATTGGGACCGTTTTTGTTCCAATTTTTTGTTATCTACCATTTTACTATGGCGCAAAAATCAGGACTCTAGAACTTAGTATTTAGGTGCATACATAAAATATTGGCTCCTTCCACACGGTTTCACCTTCAGCACAGCTCTTTAACACAAAAAAGACTATCTAACAGAAAAAGAGTTGTCAATTTAAATTGTTAGTTCCTGAGATCAACGAGCTCAAATAAACTATTCAGCTTTAGATTATTATATTACTATATGTGTATGTATGTTACATATAAAAAGGCGGAATTTAAAAATAAGTCCTATGAATAAATAAATAATTTTCAATAACGTCTCGGTCGCCTTATCGTCCCATGGTGTTAGGGGTGGCCCAAGGCTCTCACTTGGGACCCACTTTCCTTTACAATGGTTTAAGTCAAAGTTACAGATTTTTTCTATTCTAATTCCTTCTCTTTTTGTAAGCTTCCTTCTCCCTTTCTTTCTCTCAATGTTTTTACGTTTCCCGCTACTCAAGCTAAGTTTGAAGGAAAGCGATCGTTTCTCATAAAGGGCCGTAACAAGCGTGCTAAACCACGTTGTTGTAATAAAGGGCATGAAAAATAACTTTTCATATTAGAACCTTTTTGAAGATACTTATCAACGAGTTTACCAACCTTCTTTCTTTGTCTGACAGACGTAAAAAATAGTCTACAATTGCGATCTGTCATGTTTCAAAATCATAGTTTTTATGTAGTAAATTAAACAAAATTAAATTAAATGTGGTTATATAAAGTTAAGTGACAATGACTCACAAGCACGGAGAAGATCAGCAACAACACCGTGACGGAAAAATTTCTCAACATGTTAAAGTGGCGTTTGGCAGCTTCTCTGGGTGCGGTACTTTTATAGCTCCTAGCCCATAACAAAATACTGAACCAAATAAAATTGCTGAGGCTACACACTGACCTTATTTTTTTATAATCGATGATGAATAGTTGAATTTTGAAACTAAATTCTATCCAAGGCTTTATTCGCCATTGTCACCGGCGTACTCGGTATCTTGTGTGGCACATAGTTCATAGAATTATTCTTTATCTATTACATAGCTATACAATAATAGCCCTTAATGTTATACAGTGTATTGATTAATGAGTAACTTTAAAAGTCTAGTAAACAATTAGTTTTATGTCTAACCTTAAACATTGGATATTCCATGTATATAAATTTTAAAACTACGAAACTGATTTCGATGCGGTTTTTCATTAGTGATTCTGATTAAAGAGGATTATATGTATATTCTTAATAAATAAATAAATGTATAATAATTAACATCGTTTAAATAGTGAAGAAATTTAGTGTCAGCATTTCACCAGTGCCTCCGGTAAACTCACTCACACGGCGAAACACAACGCTGTTATTGTTTCACGCCGGTCTTCTGTGAGGCCGTGGTATCACACCGGTCGAGCCTACCCATTCGTGCCGAAGCATGGCTCTCCCACACTTGAAGTACTACCTATCTAAGTATTTTCAGTAACAATATTGAATTTTTTTGTTATACTTACAGTGTTATAGCATCAATGCTGTTGCATCCCCTGGACGTGTTCAAGGTTCGTCTGCAGATGTACCCGGAGGTCTGGGGGATTAGTTTATTGCGCAACATGTTGCGGTGTGAAGGCATCCGTGCGCCGTTCACCGGATTGAGTGCGAGCATTCTTCGCCAAACCACCTACACAGCTACCAGACTTGGAACCTACTACTGCATGTACGAACATCAGAAGAGGTTAGTATACCTAAAATAAGAGTGAAGATAATTTATTTTTTTATTTTTTAACATTTATTCGTCTCATCATCAGCCTATAAGTGCCCACTGCTAAGCAAAGGCCGCTTCTCACACGAGCCCAAATTCTTACCTTATTTTGCTGTGCGCTACAGGGTCCATGGTTGATCTCACACAATTGTTGCCATCTTTATATGTGCTTATGGTAAAGCAATAAAGATATTGAGTATTGATTATTCAGCATTAATCACCACGCTTGCTTTCCCTCACGAAGTTTTCCTTCACTATAAATGTCAGTGATGTCTAAATAATCGTAGAAAGGACATAGAACTCGGAAAATAAAACGGAAAACTTTCTCACCCAGCCCATCGACGCATTTTTCAGTTGTAAATCGATGCTAAATGTTTAAATAAATTTTAGGGAAATCCGGACACGATATAATAGAGCCACTTTATCATCTGTACCTTTGCTAAAAGTCAGTCTAGCTAAACCCTCGCTCTTGGAGACGCGTGCAGATATCAACAGGGCATATAACCAAAAGCAATCTCAGAAATTTGTGATTGAAAGACCCTTGTATAAGACCATCACAATATTCCAATTTGCTTGATATATTATTTTATAAAAATGTCTAATATATGTAGGTAATGACGTGTTGTTTCCATGTGCCATCCATTTTTACTGCTTAATCAATGATACCACAAGTAACGATATGTTCATTTGGACAGAAAATACAACCGTGCCCCGAGTTTTCCGGAGAAATTAACTATAGGTATGTATGCTGGACTATTGGGCGCATTTGTGGGCTGTCCCTCAGAGATAGTCCTCGTTCGCATGATGGCAGATGGTCCAGTGGATCCTTTCAGACGGTACAGAGGACTTATGGATGCTTTTGTCAAGTAAGCATAGCATTAATGTACCTTTAATGGCAACTTGAGATAGTAAGGGAACAGAGAATAACGTTCCCTAAGATCGGAAACATAGGATCCTCTGACCAAGAGAGGTTCTCAGCCTGGGCTGCTGCCCAACAGGATGTGTGACGTTGAATGCTGTCAATCTTCAATGTGTGTCGCCACAGTGTGAATGGTCCCCCATGGCCTGGCAATTTGCATGTGCATGGCAAGATTGCCAAGCTTATTACAGTTCAGAATCACGCGGCATGCCTTTACCGCTTCAGCACAATGCAGCACAATGTAATATTTTCCTTCTAATTAAATTTTTACCAACACTTTATTTTTGATATATTGTTTTGTTGGAACTGCTTCCATATAACAGCTATTCCTAACTTTGTTCCCTAGGATATGGAAGTCGGAGGGATTCAATACATTCTGGCGCGGTGGTATGCTCACAATGTCTCGGTCAGTCGTCATCAGTGTAGCACAAATTGGAACTTACGCCCAGGTCAGTTGGTTCTCCTTTTATTTAAAATAATTTGTAGCAAAGATCGCCAAGGAATGAAAAGATTCTTTCTCTAGTATTTATTTTTACCTTTTTTATGGTATAGGCCAGCAAACGAGCAGGCGGATTACCTGATGGTAAGCAATTAACGCCGCCTATGGACACCCGCAACATCAAAAGAGTAGTTGTCGAGTGCGTTGCCGGCCTTTTATAGATAAAGATTTAGGATATTTAAGTATTGGGAAAGGATGGGGGAGGGAGAGGGATTGGGCCTCCGGTAACCTCACTCACACGGCGAAACACAAGGCTGTGGTTGTTTCACGCACGTTTTCTATGAGGCCGTGGTATCATTCCGGTCGAGTCGACCCATTCGCGCCGAAGCTTGGCTCTCCTACATTTTGTTATAGGGTGGGACTTGAGCGTGCTGTATAACCTGATGCTAAGCAATCGTTGCCACCCATGGACACACGCAACACCAGAGCACTTGTGAGTGCTTTATCAGCCTATTGCGTTTTAGGGTTTTGGGCATTTAGGGATTGGGTAACAGGAAGGGAAGGATTGAGCTTACGGTATCCTCACACGCACGCCAAACCACAACGTTGCCTTGCCTTACGCCGGTTTCATGGATAGCCGTGACATCACTCCGATCGAACTGGCCGCTTTGATGCCAAAGCATGGTTTTCCCGAGGTAAATGGATATTAATATATCGACAAAATCTTTTTCTTTTCTTTTCTTTTTAAAATAAACGTTTCCCCACATTAGGTTTTTCTCCTGTGTTGTGAGTGCGGTTACAAACATACAGTTTCACATACACATGACACCCAGACCCGGAACAACAATTTGTGGATCAAACAAAGAGTTGTTCTGTGTGGGAATCGAACCCGCGACATGTTGTACGGCAGCCAGTTGCCCAGCCACCGCACCAACCGTGCAGTCCAAGATAAAATCTTTTAAAGGATTTTATAGTTATTAATAAATCTCTTAAGATTTTAATTTTTGTTCTCGAAAGATAATTAAAAAAAATCTTCACAAACGTTGCAGGCTCGAAGTTATTTAGTGGAACAAAGGAAAGCCCACGGTTTCCTTCTCCACATCTATACATCGATGTTGGCCAGTCTGGTGACTGCGATAGTGACATTACCATTGGATACCTTCAAGACGAGGTAGGAACTTCAATACTTTGATCATTAGCTTGTAGTTCATGAATATGAGTACACGAAATACCCAGTGAAGTTCCTGGGCGTACGGCGCGTAATGTTTCGCGCGCGCGCTCCAAAAGGCCATTAGACACCACAGATAGGGTTTAACAGGGCTGATGCTTAGCCAAGGTTGCAGAAGTAAGCGCAATAACTTACGAGTTAGGAGTCTGACAATCCTCTCGCCCCATCATAGGCGAGAGAAGACATTTGTCGATTTTCCCTCCTTAAAAGAAAAAGGTTAAGAAGTTTGGGTTAAAACCATAGAGATAACCTTTAATAGTAGGGGAGCCCAGGATGCTAAATTTGTAGTTACTCAAGCGTCGTAGGAAGTAACTGGATTCTGAAGATTTGGTGATAGAAAGAAAAAATGTCTCAATGACATTTCATTCCTCCGGTGGGGGAAGGGGGGAATGATAATTTCCAAAATTGTGGGATGTTACTTTTGTTTTAGTGCACGAGCGTGACAGATATTAATAATGTATATTCTCCATGTATTTCTGACAGTGAAAATATTTTAATCTGCCGAATTGCGTGGTGGGGTTGGCTAACCAACTGGATTGAAAAGGGACCCGTTCAAAACTCTATTGCTGTTGTAAACGACGATGAAGTCGGCAGATTTTTTAAACGCCTTTTCTTTGACATGACGTCTACCTTTTCCCCCCTAATAGCCCGGTCAATTTAGGCCTAAAATAAGGAGGAAGATTACATAAATTCATAAGAAGCTGAAAATTGGCACAATTGTTCAAAACATGATTATAAATGAAACCTCAAAAGTCCCATCGTTCCGAGGTGTGCTAAAAATTTTACACGAGGTCAAGGGTAAAAAAAAATGAGTTTTTTGCGATTTTAAGCTAAACCATGAGTTTTTTCGCAAAATCACCCCAGTACAAAATTGTAGATCAGAAAATTCTCTACAAAAAAGAAATCAATATTTTTTTTCCTAAAAGCCACCATTTTGAAGATATAACGCGTTGAAAAGTTCGATCATTGGTAATAATCTTCATACTTTGCACATGTACGCCACGTATGAACATCACTTATAAGTTGTTATAACTTAAATTAATTTGCTATTGGTGATTGTAACTTATTTCTGTACAATATAAGTTAAAATATGAAAATCTCAGGTATAATAAACCCCCGTTCCTAAACTTGTACATCAGTGTAACCTTGGGATAACATCTGACTTTTATTCTATTGTCTGCGTTTTCAAAATGTTTGAAAAAAAAGACTTACTTCAATGTGCTGAAGTTTTTAAAAATAGTGACTCAACTCAACCAGTCGTTATCAACAGCGGAATTCAATTTCTTCTCGCTATGTACGGAGCTCCTAAAAAACCACTTGCTTAGATAAGTTGCGATACGCAACTTTTGTTAAAAATACGCGTAATAAAAAGCAAGTACAATTAGCTTCTTTACCTCCAACCTCAGTAGCTGCTCACCAACATTTATTTCGGGTATATTACCAAGTTTAAGTGTGGCTTGGTTATCAGCTGGACCCTAAAGACTGGGGTTGGAAGTTGGTCGACAATACATTAGAGCCAGTTCTAACTTTACTTACACCAGCACCTGAGAAACTTCTCAACTCAATATTTTGCAACTGTAAAAAAGGTTGTAATGCTAAATGAGGATGCATAAAAGTTGGACTGTTTTGTTCCCTGGCACAAACTGTCAAGGCCGATCGTGCTCTAATGTTGAGTCAGCTAATCTCGAAGACTCATTTGATACCGATGAGGAATCGCTAGTGGGACAGTTGCTCTGTGAAATAGAAGAAAAAGAAGAAGAACAAGAAGAAGACGAAGAACAAGAAACAATAATCCTGGAAAATTACGAATCAGACGAAGAAGATTAATCATTTTATTTTCAATTGCACCGCCATTATTTTAACCAACCGATATATACAATAATATTTTACAATAGTTTTTAAACAAATAAAATCACTGCTGACCCGTGGAATAGGCCTACAGGGGATACCACGTTAAAATAAAACGCGCTAAGTACACTAGTTACCTCATAGGTGGCGTGGAAACGTGTGCTAAGTATGAAGATTACCAATGATCGAACTTTTCAACGCGTTATATCTTCAAAATGGTGGCTTTTAGGAAAAAAATTATTGATTTCTTTTTTGTAGAGAATTTTCTGATCTACAATTTTGTACTGGGGTGATTTTGCGAAAAAACTCACCGTTTCGCTTAAAATCGCAAAAAACTCATTTTTTGACCTTTGACCTCGTGTAAAATTTTTAGCACACCTCGGAACGATGGGGACTTTTGAGGTTTCATTTATAATCATGTTTTGAACAATTGTGCCAATTTTCAGCTTCTTATGAATTTATGTAACCTTGAATGTATAAATTGACCGGACTATAATCTGACGAAAACGACTGAATTTAGTTATTTTTATATTGTTATCCCCCCCCCCCTCCTCTGTTTACATTAAGTATATGATGGATATATTCAATAGGTTACTAAATATTCCCCATAAGTTAATCTGACGCGCTCGAGTAACTACCTAAATTCCTTCATGGGCTCCCCTACTATAACGTTTTAGGATCTATATAATCCTTTAGGACTTCAAATGTCAAAGACCAGAAGTTGCTATTTAATTTATGTTATTGTGTTGTTATGCGCAAATCGACAACCGAGCAGACGGATTGCCTGATGGTAAACAATCGGCCCCGCCCATGGACACCCGCAATACCAGAGGAGTTGCATGTACGTTGCATGTATGCTGGCCTTTTGGGGATTTAGAGGGGGAAGCAGGATTTTGGGGGAGGAGAATGAACGGCCTTCGGTAACCTCACTCACATGGCGAAGCACAACGCTCTGATTATTGGCCACGCCGGTTTTTCATTCGTGCGATTCGAAGCTTGGCTTTTCCCCACTTGACGAGTTGAACATCTAGGATATCTGTTGTAGGTACCAGGTAGCGACTAACGAAAGTCATCGAGATGTGTACCAGAAGTTCAAACAAGAGACTGGAATGTTGGGACTTTGGAGAGGGTTCACACCGTACTACGTAAGGCTCACAATACACACACTAATCACATTCTACTTACTGGAAGTGTTATTCAAGGTACATCGAAAACAAAGAAGGCTACGAAAACGAGCACAATCAAAGTAAAAAATTAAGTGTTTTGTATTTAATTTCAATATTTGTCGTTTCTAATAAGAATCGCCTTGTCTTGTTAATGTCGCGTCCTCTCATAGAAACAAAATAAACGAAATTATTGAAAAATGTGTTGACGAATCTCCCTAGGTACAAATATTTTTGGTAATACGTTTGGTGGCCCTTTTTTATTTCAAGGCCAAGTAGTCAGCTAAGAGTGACTTAACTAAATCCCATGGACACACTAAACAGTAGAGTTCGATAAATATGCAATCAATCTAAAATTTCGTTTATATTGCAGTTGTTTGTATTTGATTTTCAATTTACGAGTATTTCTTGTATACAGAAGGACAATGTTAGCTGAATAAACCCTAGTACTAAGTCGAAGCATCGTTGATTATTGAAATAAAACATTTTTATTTATTTTGTAATTATGTATATTATTATTTGTATATTATTCTTAATTTTTACTTTTCCTTTCCCCGTGTCCTTATAGACGACGATTAGTCAACTAAGTATCTATCAGGCATTCCCTTAGTCTCCACAGCGAATAACTTTTACTAACGATATTTTTTCATTTTCTGAATTAAGCATCTTAATCCTGATTCGATTCGTACTCTCAAAGACCTGTAAGTATACATGCAAGACTTATAACCTGGTTAGAGCTATCCCCAATCCAGGTTACAGGTGTAAACGCAAGGCTGTACCACGGCCTAGCTTGCAGCAGAAAAAGGAACAGGATGGTTTTTAGACAGTAAGGGTCACACTCCCTTTTGACCCACCCGGGGCACGAGAAATCAATCAATCTGATAGTATTCTCTATGTCCTAGTAGTATGTTTTATTTGGATTAAATTCTATAATTTTTTTTTTGGCTTTACTGAAACTACATACTTCATAAACAATTCACCAACAGGAATGCCGTCAGCAAAAAGCTATTATAGTTATATTGTTTGAATTCCAGTTTATAACTTAATTATTTATTTCAATACGTATTGGATTAAACATAAAACTCATAGATACACGTAAAAGAGTAGCATCGGGGTAATAAATATCGACGTGAGCCCTGTTGTCGGCTAATGCTGCACTCGTAAGACTTCAATTAGTCACTATTGACATAGTTCAGGGAGTCGCAGCGGTACCGCCCTCTACTACACACATTGCTTATGTACCCAGCAATTTATATCAGCAATCCACGATAAATTTTATAACTAAACCAAATCCACATTAATCGACAATAAGTGCAAACAGTGATCCAAACAAAGTGATGAGTAATGGTCTCTTGAAGGACTAAAAGAAGAAAATCATTGATGAAAAATAAATTTGAAAAGTTAAAATTGTGCATATTAAGAAAATCAGCCAAGATGTTCAACTTATATCAGCATATGAAAGCGAACAACGAGGGGAAGGAGCAGAAAGAACCGGAGACAACTGGACATGACCGGTTTTATCAGGAACGGCCGCGAAGCAGTTATAGGAAGAAGAAGCGTCGTGGTGCGTGCAGAAGGGCGCAGTCTGCTGCCGAGCTGAACCCTGAGTCGATCGCTGCAGCCAACAAACGGAATGCGTTCAGAATACGATCTGTGTCTACTGACAGGGAGGAAAGTGAAGGTATTTTAGCTGACTCATCCCTTAATATGCTTGCTGGGCCTGTAATAAGAATATACTTTTCGATCTATTAGGTCTAGCATTAATATTCTATTTACTACTAACGTATGTTTCAAGAAATAGTACTAACACACTATAATAAGCCTTTGTTGCTTGAAAATAAAACATATTAGGTATTATTTAGGATTATTCCCATTCGCCCCAACCAAAGATTTGTTCGCGCTCACTGGGTACAAATAAAGCTTAATTTTTTTGAAATTACGAATCCCTGTCCAAGAGCAAAACAATGTTTGTGATTATGAATATTTTTAAAGATTTTCCAAAAGTCCAGCAGAGAACTGAGGGTGAGTGAGAATAATCCAAAATTTCAATTAATTTTGATCCTACAGATATGTGGTTCATAACAGATGCCTTTGTCTCTAAAATTCGATCAAAAAAAATACCTATTAGGTATTTTAAGTGTTGCTAGCTCTTTTCTATCTCTCTTCTTCTTTTCGGCGTACGATGGTCTTTTTTATATGAATCATTAATAGGCACAGTATGTGTAAAAGAGGCGACCGCCGAATATCCTTTCAGTGTTAAATAATCGCTAGATATTGGAGAACAGCTTAATATTATTAAGTTGAAAATTCGTACCATGTTTTCGCCTCTGTCTTTTAATATAGGAGGTCATCTAGCATCAAGTAAATATTTTGTTTTTCGTTTTCGCTAACGCAAGACGCTGGGAGACAAGATGAAGGCGAAGGATCATCGTGCGCTTGTAGCTCAAGTATTTTTTTTTATTTGTTTCTACTTGTGTTGTCGATTTTCTTACCTCTGATTGTTACTTTAGTCATTGTAGTTACTTTCTTAATATTTTTCCCATAAAATGTGATGTTTCATTTCAATGCATCATACATAAAGGTGAACATTTTATTTTCGATTGAATAAAACATTTTAGAAGAGAACTCTGAACGCGCGCCCTTGGTTGCACAGAAGATAGACTCGCTGGCTAAACTATTATTCAACAAGTCGCTGATTGGGACAGGATCTGGGAAGTCTTCGCCGTCGGAACCCCCGGCGTCTCCAAGGTAAAGTTTTACCAGTTGTAACGAATTGCCAGCTCGATAATCTTAATATCTTTAGAATAGTACTTCTTTCTTTTAATATTTGAAGGAATATTAAGACAAGTTTGCATTAAACTAAATACCACAAGGCGCCCACCGTACAGCTGTTGATATTATTTGTTTAATTGTTGATGGTATTTGGTAGCAAACGAGCTGAACGAACACCTGATGTTAAGCAATTAGCGCTGCCCTTGGACATCCACAACAACAGACCAGTACTACGACTTTTTATAGAATTGTTAGAGGTTCGATGATGAGGGAATTAGAGTTTTAATCGTCTTAATAGTTAACTGAATTTTGTTTTTAATCAGATTCATAATATCTGTTCTTTAACCTTAGAGCCGGCGATCGTTCTATGGAGAGTTCAGCTGCATTAGCTATTTGCACAGAATACTTGTCCCAGTCACCCAGGTAAGTTATTTAGTGTTCAGATATAAATGTTTTTTGGCATAGGTTAGCAAACGAGCGGGAGAATTTTTACCTAATGGTAAGTAATTGACGCCGTCCATGGATATTGTCTGCACGATTGAACAGTCGCTGGGCAACTGGCCGCTGTACAACCTGTCGCGGGTTTGATTCTCGCACGGAACAACACTTTGTATGATCACACTCGCAACACCAAAGTAGTTACCATTACAAGTGCGTTTCCACACTCTGGGGGGGGGGGGGAAGATTGGGCCTTCGGTAGTCTCACGTAACAAAACGTAAGTTACTTATACTACTTGGTCTTCACAGCTCTCCATGTACTCCACTTACCTATACTATTTGGTCTTCAACAGTATTCTAAACTTCAAACATTTATAGGTACGACTTGCTATCCGCATTAGGCTCAATCGGCTCCCGACTGAACAAGCACTGGTTCGCTATACACGACAACTCTATTAAAACGGACAGACTTCTAACATTGGTAAGTGTGTTCGCTGAAGTTAATTTTAATTTAGGTACCTACTTTCAAAAATAAGAACACTGCAAAATTGTTTAAATAGTGACTATCGCGAGACATTGAAAATTACGACTTAATCACGTTAATTAATTGAGAAAAGCTCAACTAGTTTCAAGTCACGACACTTATTCATGAGCAGCGTGTGCCTCGCAGCAACCCAGTCAGTCGTCTGCGCGACGTCGCCGCAACGTCTAAAATACAGTTCAAGCACGCTTTGCTCCAAGATTTTTGGTATGATCTACTTTTGCCATTTTATTTCAGATGCCATTAACTTCAAAATGTCCCATCGAGCAAGGGGAACGTTCGAAGACACTAATAATGGAACTATTCCGGGCTCTTCACCATCCGTATATTTATCCAGTCTTAGATCTAGAACTGTGCAACGGCCATGCTCTGACTGTGTTACCGTTTAACGCCAGAGGAAGTTTAAAAGACCTCATTTATAAGGTAAAGAAAGTTCCAATAGCAAGACATTCCGCTTAACAAAACTCCATACAAATAAAACACGTGCTATTTAAATTTTCCAGAGCACGTGGAATGATGATTACGCGCGTAAGTATGGGACATTAGGTACCGGTCTTCCTGCTTGGCAAGTCGCAAGGTTCGGCCGCCAAATGTTAGAAGGACTGCTTTTTCTCAAGGAGAAAGGGTTTCCACCATTTCGTCACCTACATTCTGGCAATGTTGTCGTTCAGAATGGTGTTGCACGGTGAGTCACTGGAATTGGCGCCCAACATGGGACTATCTGCTAATTGTTTGATCTGTTTTTATTTCTTTACTTAACTGTGTTCTTTAGGATATGTGGCTTGGAGAACACCCTGATTGGCGCGCAGCCACGGTGTCCCATAGCTCTAGCTGCGCAGTTGGAGCACGTGGAAGCGTTGTCACTAGGACACGTACTGTTCGAGATGTGTGCCGGCACTGAGATCGACCTAGCATTATTGCCTGATTTGTTGCCAAATTATCCTAACGTGAGTAAATTCATCATCATCACTGCTCAGCAAAGTCTTCTTCTCACGGAGAAGGCTATAATGGCCACGCTTGTTCAATGCGGATTGGCAAACTTGAATCTATTGGCTATGTGCGCGATGCTGGCGACGCGTAGCGTTTACAACATTTGCGGAAGCTGTCAAATAAGAACAATGTAAACATTATAATTTTATTTGCAAATACAAATAAAACCAAAGATTAAAAATAGTATTGTTGACATTATTAAGTGCAATTTATTCAATAGTTTTACTGTAAAATGAATATAATAATAAAAACCGACTTTCCAATTTCTGCCGTGTTGTGCGCTGCGGTCGTTCTGTATCTGTTCGCCACTACTCGCTTTGCACATAGCCAATACTAATATTATATACTAGTCACATTGGTACCTACTTGTCAGATTTGAACTACTTAGCGCATAATTTTTAACATGTTTAGTGTTTTATATTGTTTTGTCTTATGGGAATTGCACCTTCAATGTATACCTAACGGCAATTAGTCCACCTTTATGTGTGAAAAGTGTGTCCAATTTTATTAATTAAATGCAAAGAGTTTAGAGATTAAAATAATTTAGTTATGAATGTAAAGGATGTTTAATTGTTGCCATAGGTGGTGGAGATTATCGAGCAGATCTTCGGCCCTCGCACTCCTACACTGCACGAGCTGCTGCTGTGCGAACTCTTCAGGAAGATTGACCTTCGTGAGATGAAAGGATCTTGCCTCCCGGTACTCATTTTCATAACTTTGTTACAAGTGATCGTTAAGCAAATAACTTTTTTTAAAGGACGTCTGCAAACGTGCAGACTGATTACCTGATGGTAAGCAATCAGCGCCGCCCATGGCCACCCGCAATACCAAAGGAGTAAAGAGTGCGTTTTCGGCCTTTTCATAAGGGTTTCGGATATTTAAGGATTGGGAAGGGATGGGGGAGGGGAAGGGATTGGGCCTCCGGTAACCGCACTCACGACGAAACACTGTTATACTTACTGATAACATGGCCCATATTACTTTCTGTTCAAATACTAACGTTTTGTGTTTTTTTTCGTACATTCTTTTATTCGTGAAATATTAGTTTTTTTTTATGATGTTTATGATAAGTGAAGAAGCGATTAGAATACCTTGTAAATCAAAAACCCGTGGGTTTAAATCCTATCTAAAGTTCTTAGTTTCTATATTTATAGAACTTCAGCCAGCGTCTATCTCGTTCGTGTCTGTCTCTGCTGGGCGAGGTGGCGCGACGTACGCCAGGATCGCCGCGCACGCGCACCCCGCCGCGCAGGTCCGTGCCCGCCTCACCGGCTTCACCGGCCACGCCGACACATAGGAGGTAGGTAACACATTAAAATGTTATTATTATAATGTGTTATTTATTTTTCAACACACTTCCTCATAAGTTGGCTCTAATCCCATGGTAATAATGCACGTAAAGACACCCATAATGAAACTGTGACCTTTTTATTACTATTATTTTACAAGTGAGTAATATATTTTTTAATTAATGGTTGTGTTACGCTTACAGTTGCGCTTAAAAAAGTATCCGCGAAAAGCCCAAAAAAAAGAAACCTCTTGACTATGGTCAAGAAAAGAATTTTTTTTTGTAAAAATATTTTTTTTGTCTATGGTCCATGGGCGCGCATAGGAAAACTAATAATTTTTCCCCCCATTACGAAAAATTTCACGACTCATCTCGTTTTATCTTTTGAAGTTATTTTGGTTTTCAATTAGGTATAACTTTATTCAGAAGTGTGTTGAAAACGTCGTATTATACACGTGTGTATTGATGATTACCGTACCAACAATAACACACTTATACCATAATGTACTATTACTACACTTCCTAGAAACTCTCCTCCAAACCTTACGAACACTAACTTTTAACGAGATACGTTATTCACTAGCTGAAAAACATCCAAAACGTCTACGCGTTTTATTCGGAAATGTCACATTGGTATTTGCCAGGTTTTGAACTCACAAATTAACCACGTCTGTTTCTAAGGACCACTAAGAATGTTTATTTAGTTAAGTTTAGGTTAGACAAAGTTTCTGTTTTTGTGAAAGCCAGGTCACTTTTATTTGATTCATCTTAAGCTTAGTAAGTCACAAATGGGTCCCACTAGACCCTATGTCCAGCCGAAGTTGCGGTTGTAGCAAAATACTGCGGCTTAGCTCGACACAGGCGAAGGTACAGGGTGTTTTTTAGTCAGAAAGCCTCTGATACCCCCTCTCAGGGTGGGGGAAGTCACTTAACGATGGAAAAGAGTACATGGGTCATCGGCATCGACCTCTTCTCAGAGAATTAAGTATTAGCCGGAGGTGCAGGTCATGCGGAATAATGAACCGTTGCCTCAGCCTGGTGGAAGAAACGGGGTGGTTTTTGTTCATTAAGAGTCTGACACTCCCTCTCACCCCACCGGCAAACTGATTTGATGAATTTACCCCTCAAAAAAAAAAAAACACGGCAGCCTATTCCGACTGGGTGACTCACGTATCATACTGCCTAAAAACCCCCCTGTTCCTTCTGCTGCTCTGGGCCGAGGTCGCGGTGCCTCATAGCGCTTACCCCGCAACCTCGGCTGAACATCAGCTCTATAGGGCCCCTTCTGTGGTGGTCTATTAGCTCTTTGAGGCGCGCGCGAAACGCTACGCATCGTACGCTCGGGTCTGCTTCTGGTCTGGCGAGTTGAGGGTAGGTATAGGTATCTGGTTCCCAAGTATACGTGGATGATGATTATTAATAGATATGTTATATGTGTGTTGCAGGAGACACTTCCCGGCAGACCAGGACTTCACTGAGGAGTGGCAGTGGTGATCTATTTGTATTTAAATCAATAAAGTCTATTCGTTATACTGAGAATTTTATTTGTTTATCTTGTTAGGTTCCTTACAGTTTTGGATGGATAATCCATGAAAAGTACTACGACAGATAACACAAAAATGTTTGCCTCGTTTTTAATAGTTCGTTACTTAGGCAAATACGACAAAGGATAGGAATGCTGAAGGCTACTGAAATATGCCTATTATGTCAAGGTAGGTAGCTGATCGGCAACATAGATTGATGACTGGACTGTTGGCGCGGTACCTTCCCAACAGGCTGTCTCGCAACGTGTCGCGGGTTAGATTCCCGCACGGAATAGCCCTTTGTGTGATTCACAAATTGTAGTTCCGGGTCTGGGTGTGATGTATATGTGACATTGTATGGTTGTTATCGTGTCCACGAAACAGGAGAAAATAATAGTGTATGACACGTTTTAAAAAAATATGCAATATCGATGCTGATATTTCCTATCATAATAAGGCTGGTACGATAAGTAGAGCAACTGCTAAGACACTAGTAGGTAAGGTAGAGCTTTCTTCAGTTCATTCACGTTAAATTAAGTGTTTATTTTCAACTAGCTTCCGCCAGCGGCTTCACCCGCGTGCTGTGTTCATAAAAAGCAGCCTATAGCAATAGAACAAAATCGAAGTATACATAAAATTTGTTATTAATCGTCTCATTTTTATGGGTACATCTCCAATGGCTGAATACCCTATTACTTACTAAGTCTCCGCTAACCGCCCGGTCATAGATAGAATGGTACGGATGTAACTAATAGTATTACAAATATTGCATAAAACCTATTACATGTTTTTTTAAGTGCCAGAGAGCCATGCTTCGGCACGAATGGGTCGGCTCGACCGGAGTGATACCACGGCCTCACAGAAAACGGCGTTAAACAACCACAGCGTTGTGTTTCGCCGTGTGAGTGAGGTTACCGGAGGCCCAATCCTTCCCCTCCCCCAATCCCTCCTCAATCCCTAATCCCTAAAAGGTTGGCAACGCACTTGTAACTCCTCCGTTGCGGGTGTCCATGGGCGGCGCTGATTGCTTACCATCAGGTTATCCGTCTGATCGTTTGCCGACCTAATGCATAAAAAAATGAATATATTTTATACCGTGTCGCGTCGAGCGCGGCAACCGTTACACAAAAATAATACTTATAAGTAGAATGATTCAGTGTTCACATGCGACGGCGCGATGGCTTATTATCCGAAATGCTAAGCTATCAGGAGTTACACGTGCTATTGTGAGTTAACCATAAAAATTAGACATATGCTGTAAAACTTTACCTGTAATTTAATAATTTAACTGTAATTTTTTTAGATAATTTTATGTAGAATATTTTCGTCATACACACACACATCACATTTCTATGTAACTTTAACCATTAAGGTTACACACAACGGATACTTAAAAAAGGGAGTAACTTCTCCCGTTTTCCCAACATTTCCCTTCACTGCTTTGCTCCTATTATTTGTAGCGTGATGAAAAGTATCCTATAAACCTGCCCGGGAGTATAAAGAATAATTGTACCAAGTTTTGTTAAAATCAGTCGAGTAGTTTTTGTTTCTATAAAGAACATACAGACAGACAGACAGACACAAAAATCTTACTGATTGCATTTTTGGCATCAGTATCGATCACTTATCACCCCCGGGTAGTTATTTTGAAAATATATTTAATGTACAGAATTGACCTCTCTACAGATTTATTATAAGTACCTTTTTTTTTTTTTTGTCAGGGGAAAATCATATCCAATGACTTCTCCCGCCCAGGGTAAGGCGAGAGAGAGTGTCAGACTCTTACTGACTAAAAAATGCTTTCCAGCTACTGGGTGGTGATTTATTTTTAGAATAGGTAAGTATGAAACTTCGAATCTGCGGATCTCGAAGTTGTTTCAAACCTATAAGTTATACATTTCTGCAAAAGATTAAGTACCTACCACGCCTTCATTTTTTTCTTATACCTGTCTAGATAGGGTGTTGGAATTAGGTACATGGCCAACACTTTGTGAATAAAATGATATCCCATTCAATAGGTAGGTACCTGATTTAGCAAACAACGTCTCGATAGATGGTAGATGAAGGTAGTAGTGCATTTAACCAAAACTCCGTAACAAGCCTGTGCAGCGCGCAATATTGCAAGTTTTAGAGCATGGAACTGAAACAAAATCCATATCATGGTCCAGGTTTAAATAATGTGAATTGAGGCATAATTTAATCTTACTAATATTATAAATGCGAAAGTTACGATGTTTGGATGTTTGTTACTCAATCACGCCAAAACGGCAGTACGGATCTGGATGAAATTTGGCACAGGCATAGAATACACACCAGAATACGACATAGACTGTCAACAAGCCACGCGGGCGAAGCCATGGACGGAAGCTGGTAAAGTATAAAACGTGGTGCACGTGAATTCAAAGAAAGAAAAGACTTGTATATTTCTGGAACCATCGTTTGGTGAAGATCAAAGGTGAATAATGTAATTAATTGTTCTATGTATGTATGTTGTTCTATTGCTAGGTAAAACAAGGCATCCACGGGTGTCGGCAAAGCGCACATAATTCAGTCTCTCAGCCTCTTTAATTTTGTTGACTGTACTCATAACATGTAAATGTAACAGACTTGATTAGTATGGCAGTTTTTTCTCCACCTCCTAGACGTTATGGGAAAAAAATGCAAGTTTATACATATATTTAGATGTAAGCTTATGTATGTATTTGTAGTATGTTTTAATCTAAGCTAATCCAACAGTAGGTACGTTTAAATTCTAAGCGTCGAAAGTTCTTTCCACTGCTACTACCTACTGTAGAAAATACTTCTTGTATTCAAACCAAACAATATCGAGCAGGCGGTGATCTGGCCGTAGACAATAACATTAGGTAAAAATGAAAAAATAACACACATGTCAAATCACACCTCATCATGACAATGAGATTATAATATGTTTTTTTAATAAAATGTATAAAAAAGTATAAAAAAATATCCGAAATATCCATACAAATTATTGGTAAAATTTAATTACATAAAAAAGTTATAAAACCATAAAAAATGGCCGGTGAAAAAGATAAACCCAAAGTACCTAAGCCACGACAGATACCCAAATACATGAACTTCATCATAGGAGGCACCAGTGGGTACGTACTTACAAGTAAATTCATAGACAATCCTATCTTTTTAGGGTTCCGTACTCAAATATGAACACTTGTAGTTTCGCCACGTCTGTCTGTCTGTCTCTCTGTTTGTCTGTCTGGCCGTACGTGGATAACCTCAATATGTATCAATCGTGCCGACAAAGTGGTAAAATAAAAAGTGGGAAAAATTCACTCCTCTGCTCACGATCCACACCATGGCCTAGACTAAGGTCGGGTGCGAAAGGTCGTCGCTGCTGCCGATCACTCCTTTGAGGACACGATGGTGAGCAGGGCACATCGCCATTATGTGCTCCACCGTGTACTCTGGATGGTCCTTACAATGACGACACCCGGGCATTTCCTCCCACCGGATCCAAAACAGGAACCTATCGAAGCTACAGTGTCCGGTAAGCACCTGCTTCAGGTGCAAGGTGAGGACGCCGAGGCATCTTTCAAGCTACTCCTCAAGGATTGGTCTTACTTCTGCTATAACAATGTGCCCGGCCCGTGGTTGTGACAGACGTTGCTTCCTGACGACTCTGCATTAGATCTCGCGCCGAAGCTCATTCCGCCACGCACTAATTTGGCGCAGCACAATTATTACCTAATCTAACATATTTTCAGGATGATGGCAATTAGTTTAGTACAGCCAGCAGATCTGTTAAAGACCCGCATGCAGTTGCTAGGTCCCGCTGGAAAGAACATGACGTTTATACAGGTAGCACGAGATATCGTGAAAAAAGAGGGTGTTCTAGGTTTCTACGTGGGATTGTCGGCTGCCCTGCTCCGACAGGCCACTTACGGCACTGGCAGGCTTGGCTGCTTCAATGCAATGTTCGACTGGCATAAAGCGTAAGTGTTCAACTGTTACATGTTCTTCAAAGCGCTGAATGAGGTACCTAATTACCTATATTCTAACGAGTAAGTGTTATTTTAGTAATCGCGGCGTTCCCAATTTTCCGACAAAGATTGTAATGGGTATGATTGCTGGCGCTTTTGGAGCATGGATTGGGACACCTGCCGAAGTTGCACTTATCCGAATGACCGCTGACGGCAGGCTACCACCCGAAAAGAAGAGAAACTACAAAAATGTATTTAACGCTCTAACGAGGTATTATTTTGTGATATTTTTTTTTTAATAAATAATAATTTAAAGACTTCTTCCTTAACACATCCTACTGGACTAGAAATGTTTTAAGAGACAATGTTTGCACGTTGTTTTTTACAAACACAGTGGATTGGATAGACAATTTGCCTTAGAAGGCTAGGCTAAGTACCTGTTAATATAACCTGAGTAGTCGTTACTAAAGGTATCTGAGGCACCTCTCCTAGGATTTTGATAAGAGAGAATGCTTTATATTTACTTATGAATGCTTTATTATCTTCCACTAACATAGGATAACGCGAGAAGAAGGGATATCAACATTATGGAGGGGCGCCGGCGCTACTGTCAGCAGAGCCATGGTCGTCAATGGCGCTCAATTGGGCTCCTATTCCCAGGTATGAGAGACATGCTACTTAACAGAATATAAATATATCAAAGCATAGAATTAATAGTAGGTAGGTTCCTACTCACAGGTAGGTACAGTAGTGTGTAAAGAGCATAGATTAAGTGTGAAAGAACCATGCTTCGGGCACGAATACGAGAGATACCACGGCCTCACAGAAAACCAGCGTGAAACAACCTCAGCGCTATTTTCGTAGTGTTATTGAGGTTACCGGAGGCCTAATTCTTCCCCTCCTCCAATCCCTCCAATCTCCGAAACCCTATCTATCCTCAAAAAGACCGTTAACGTACTCGTAACTCTTCTGGTGCTGCGGGTGTGTCCATGGGCGGCAACGATTGCTTACCATCAGGTAATCTGGTGGCTCATTTGCCGACCTACCGCACAAAAAAAACAGAGCAATTTATCTCGCTGAAACGCTCACAGCCAACCTTTTCGTAAATGTTGCCGCTTTTTTTGCTAACGTGAAATTCACCAATACATTTAATTCTAGGCTCGAGAAATGCTTCTACCATTCATGTACGATGGCTTGCCTCTTCACGCAGCATCAGCCATGATTGCCGGTTTCATCACTACTGTTGCCTCGCTACCCGTCGATATTGTAAAGACCAGGTACTAAACTAGAGAACATTACCTATATATTCTGTAGTATACTTAATTTTACACACTTACCTATTACTGGTATCGTTTATCTACATTTTGCACTATTAATCTCGAGAGAAATATGAAATCTGATTCCTCACGCAATTGTTTTCGTACGAGGTAGTTCGAATAGATTCGAGCAACGGTTGGGGCTCATATTTATTACCAGTCGCGGCGCATGTTAGTTTCGTAGTTAGTTCGTTAATCGTAGAGCTTGAAAATAATCAAGTTACCTCGTGAAACATATACCTTATTAATCATCATCATCAGCCTATACCCCACCGCTGAGCAAATGCCTGTCCTTACAATGTTTTGCTTCAATATTTGTTAGTTGTTACTTTCTAAAAAGTACTATGTAAATTAAACTGTGATTAATTAATGTTTTTCACCATATTTACCGCTTTTCGTATTCACTACTCAGAGTACAGAACGCCGCAGACAAGAGTACGGGCCAATTGCAAGTTTTGAGGAGTGTCATTAAAAACGAAGGCTTCATGACTCTCTGGAGCGGTTTAATGCCAACCTACGCCAAAATCGGACCGATGACTATACTTATATTTGTATTCCTAGAACAGCTTAACAAACTGTACTTCAAAGTAACTAGTTAAATTGTAAATTGAAGTTGCAGCAGTTGTCAATAGAAGGAGGAATAAAATAAGAACCATAAACAAACGAGAGGCACAGAAAAAAAATTGAAAAAGGAATTTTAAAAAAACGCAGCTTACGCAGCTGATAAAATAGGAATTGCTTCTTATAATTATAAAAAAAAACGTGCCATTCGTACCTAAGTGTTGTATGAAGTTGGTGTTATGGTGTCTATCTGCCTAAATTAAAATTTGAAATAAAGGTTCTGTAGTAATTTAATATTATGACGTACCCAACAATTAATTACACGAAAACTTAAAAAGCCTTTCTAAGTAAAACTGCACTAAACATCCTCAGTGTTTTGTCCATGTATTTTTATCAGTTTATTTTTATATTAACGAAATTGTATTTTTTTAAGGTAAAGTTTACAAATAAACCGTTTTTGCATATTGTAATGTTTTTATTGAATAAGGCTCAGCTATTAGATAAATGAAACACAGACGCCCTTAAATCCGAATATTTATTTGTAACCAGTAACACAGCATATTCTATATTAAATAGGTGCTTATTATATTTTAACCCACCCATCTAAATGGTTGAAGTGTTTTATCTATGGTTGCTAACCAAACTTTTTGGTTATCTAGAAGGTAGTTTATATACCCTGTTTTTTTATCATGAAGATAAGGGTATTGTACAGATGACCATTATTGGAAATCATGTAATAACAGTCGAAATGAATTTTATTTTGAAATTCCTTGAAACAGAATATTTTGTTACCACTAGGAGAATGCTTCGTTAGGAAAACGAATAATAACAAACCCTGTCCAATCTGAGTGCTAAGCCTATCAAATTTTTTTTTTCTTATTACAATTTCATTAAAGTATCTTAAAAGAATTATAATGTCATTGTTCGGTTCTATTTCAAACCTTAATTAGCTTTATTATATTACTAACACCCGGTTTCTGAAAGGCTTGTCAACGCTAAAATTGTCAACAAACTAATTGGTTGTTGATAATTCAGTCAACCAATCAGATGACTTGACAAGCGATTAAATTGATTTTAACATTGATCGGCCTTTCGGAAACCGGGTGTAAGTAGTTGATTTGAAAGAATAAATTAAGTACGTTGAAAAAGTATTGTGTTGTATTTGATGCGAAAAACAATGATATAATTTAGGAACCTAATCATACAAAACTTACACTAACGTATCGATTTTGGGAATCGCAAGAAAATATTGAATTTGATGTCTTAATTGTTACAATCCCTATTGATATTTTAATAAATGTGATAACGTGCTTATGGCTTGTGTAGTACTCTTCTTCGGAAAGGACAGGGAATCTTACTAATTGTGTATGGAAATAGGCACAATAAGGTACTTACAGCTAACTTTGTTCAAGATCAAGCTCACCTAGTGACGACATGAATTTGTCTTTAGCAAACGGAAACGAACCGACCATAGATAATATTCTCTTGACTCATAAGAAACAATATGGCCGCAACAAAAATTGAAGGCACTTAGGTATTTAATATTAGAACTCTTTTTTAAATCAAATTATTCGTCCTGAAATCGACATACTTAATTAAGTATTGTTATCCTTTACTCGCAAAGGTTTTTACTGGATATTATTTACGTCTCGCTCACTCAATTGTATGAGAGTGGTATTTGGAGTTATATGGGAGTGCAAGTTAGATATTTACTATTGCTAGTTACTACCTTATACCATTACCATATAAAATGGAAAGAGTAATCCCCAACCCACAAATATAAAAAAAAAACGCCTAAAGTTAGACACACTGTACACTGAAAACGTGTCGTTTCGCGACAGAACGCCAAGGTTTCATACTTTTAACAGCATGCGGCACAACACGACACGCCACGTTACTTTGTCTCTGACCATAGTGAATACATGAAACCAAGAAGCTCTGGCGCGACACGCCACACGTATACATTTCGGACTTATCCAAAAGAATCAAAAACATATTTTTGCACCCATAAATGTTTATAAAGACTGCAAAATATATCAGTAACATTTTTGAAAACGTGTTCAATTTAATCTGTGGTCATTTCTAATCTAACGAACGGTTGAATGAACATTCTGGATGATACAGATAATAAAATATTTATTGGGAACTGATCACAGAATAAAATTGAACAGTACCTTTAAAAATTAAGTCAATGATCGGGATAATTAGACCCGCTACATGTGACAATGGGTGGGGCTATGTCACCCATAAGCTACCTCTTCTACGATAGTTTCCCATGAATCTGAGGACAATGAGTCCCATGACGCATCGTCTGTCTCTTGTTCCTCCTCCTCCTCATAGTATGCCAACTGGAAAAGAAGAAAACGGTATTTTTGTAATCCCTTCTGGTCACTTGTCTTTTTATGGAGAATTGTGTTATAAACCGATTAGTCGCTAATACGATTACAAAGAAAGGATAAAAATCTAGTCAGTTTCACACATACACTGAAGTGTGGGAGAACCATGCTTCGGCACGAATGGGTTGGCTCGACCGGAACGATACAAAAGTAGGTATTACTCGTACAAATTACCGACGTGAAGCAACATTGATGTTGTGTTTCGCCGTATGAGTGAGGTTATTGGTAGCCTAATCTAATAATCCACAAGAGGTCGGCAACGCACTCATAATTCCTGCTTTGTTATTACAAGTGTCCAACTTTACGTTGATTGCTTACCATCAGGTATTCCGCCTGCTCATTCCACCGTATGCCAAAAAAAAAACATCTGCCTAGCGCCTAGACGCGTGAAGTTCAACACATGTGTAGATAAGTACATACGAAGCCCACTCATCTAAGTAAACAAGGGCCACAATGTATTCATGAAGCGACTGATTCGTGTTAATGCGCTTAGCAAGCACTAGTACAAATGGCCAGTGACTGCACACAGTAATCGAATTAACTCGGTAAACACTAAACACATGCAAGGACAAATAGATAATCTAGCTGCTAGCGGCACTAGATATCAGGGTACCTCGATAAATATCCGATTTGTGCAATAAAAAGGATTCACGTATATTGTCTATGACCTCGCTAATCTGTAGATTTTAACTGTTACAGTTTTTTTGATAATTAAAAGACTGGAGTATGTTGGGTTGCTAAACTTGACAGTGTATTTTTTTAGGTCAGTAAAAATCTTTACTGTAAGTTCAGTCTGTCACTAATCAAGTGAGAAAATGAAGGATGAGGCAACACATTAGTAAAAAAAAAATATTTTATAATTCTGAATAATAACTGGAGAGTACCTATAGATAACAAAAATTACTTATGCTGGTGTTTCTGATATTATTGTACAGGTACAATAATGACAGACACATAAATACACAGATCTGTGTATAAGATTTCACGCCGGTTTTCTTTGAGGCCGTGGTATCACTCCGGTCGAGCCGACCCATTCGTGCTGAAGCATGGCTCTCCCACACTTAAACGTGTACGTGTGTGTGATTTACACCAATATTAGTGTAAATCTATACCTAAGGTACATGAGGGTATTAAGGCCTAGCTAAGGGATATTTGTTGTAAAATCAAAACTGGTAATAGAATCAACAAGTTTTATTCGGTAATCAGTCGTTTATTTAGGCAACTACAAAACTATAACAAAAAAATAGCAACTTCTGCATGATAACAAGGCCTGCTTCTTTAACTATGCAATTAATCAACTAAAATAACATAATTTGGTATTTGATATCAATCTCTAACCAGTCAATGGCAGAATAATACTTTAGAATTAAATGAGTAGCCTCATCTAACATCCACCACGGCATACGAAGTCATCATAATCATCCACTGATAAACCAACACACTCCTCATGATACCACTTGGGGCATTGAGAACACTGCCTTATGTCATCCATACTGTGTACTGTGAATGTAAAGAAAACATAGGGTGTCATGAAGAAAACCGTATGTTTTCTTCATAGGCATGGCAGTACCAACTCGATTGAGTGCCTTCAGTGTCCTTGGTTCGATCAGATCCGCGAAAAGACTTTGTTTTATTTGCTCTTAAAGGTGTTTGAAGGTTAGAATTTCCTAGATACCTTGGTTTTCTTCTTCTTCTGAATTTGTACTTTTATTCCCTGCATTGCTTTTCTTACATTCATAAAATTTATCAAAACGATCTTTGTTCACTGGAGTACCCCGAAAATTAAAAGCCTTATGCTTTCATGAAACCCAGATATTATTGTTCTTTTTCTTTTTCTAGTCGTGCAAGTGGAAGACGATGTCTTCAGAGGAAATGCCATAAATTAGTCATCTTTTGATCACAATGATCGCTTAGGAAGCATCGTGAACGTAGGAACTGTGAGTAATGTATGATATACCTATTGAAATAATTTGAAAATAATGCAAACATTGAAGAATATATATATATAAGTATAATAAGGCCTACTATAAAATTTTATAGGCCTTATTACCCATAGGCTAGGTATTTATGGAAAACGAAATAAATACAATTTGGACTGTAGAACGTTAATAAATAAGGCAATGTGGGACGAGCATAAGTTAACGATAATACAGAAAGTAAGTGCAAGGAGATAAGTATAATAATTTAAGAAATATTTATGTTTAACCGGAGCCAATATTTGTAAAAACGTGACGTGCGGCTACTTTTGACAACGTTTAACACGCCATTAGCGAGAGCGAGTGTGGTAGCCAACACTTGCCGCATGGTGGCGCCTTTTACGTGTAATATACATGTATGTGAGTGAGATTGAGCGCAAAATCGTATTCTAAGCAAGATTTTTAATGTTTAGGCCTTATTAGCCGACAGGCTTTAATACCCGCATGTACCTTACTAATATTATAAAGAGGTATGTAAGTTTGTATGTAGGGGGTAATTTTTGGAACCGCTGGTCGAATTCCCAAAATTCACTGATAGATAGCTACAATATTCCTGAGTGCTATAGGCCATAAAACATCACACTGCGATCAAATGGAGCCGAGCAGCGAGTGAAACCGCGCGAGAATAGCTAGTAGGAAATATATAGGGAAAATATCAGAAATAAATTACCTCATTTTCATGTAGTCTGTGAACGGTATGGACTCTGATTTGGAACATCCACGCCCTGCCTAGCACCGCCACGGTCCCGCTTAGCAGAAGCGGCATACTGAAGCGACACTTCCACGCCAGCCCCATCAGGAAGATGAACAGACTCTTGCGACCAGCCATCACTGCATACACATCATTCCTGAAAGATTAAAAAAGACAATTCCTAGAAAAGTATAAGTAATACTAAAGTTTGTGGTATTTTTTTTTTTTTGGGTACACTACGTTTGGCAGCAAATAGTAGAAATAAAGCTCCAAAAAAGGAGACAACAGGCAGGAAACAGTGGATTGGGCATCAGGAACTCACACTTATTAAAAGTACCTGCATGAGGAAAAACCATATATGTATAGATATACGTATGGATAAATCTCCGTAATATCAGCAATTTCATAAACATCATACCTACTTATTAATAAAAAAAGTTGAAAATCGAATAAAGAAATTTGTCAAAACGAACAAACATACTTAGGTTTACCTGCTCGTTATTGTAACTAAAGGAACCATCACTAAAACGGCAACTGCACGATACAATTGACGGAACGAATGGATTGTTTTTGAATATGTTGCAAGTCGAAATAGCACAATTAGTATGCGTAGTCGCCATTATGAGGTACCTAGTTAGTATCAGAGCCAGGGCCCTTCAGACTCCAGCCGGGGTTGCGAGTTAAGCGCAATGAGTCACCGCGGCCTCGGCCCAATGCAGGAGAAGGAACGGGGCTTTTAGTCAGTAAGAGCCTGTCACTCTCTCCGCATAAAATGATTTTCCCCTAACAAAAAATAAAAGGGCCCTTCAGACTCGACTTACGAGGGTCGAGACAGTCGACTAGGTAGGCCTATTCTGTCATATTTATCTAGCAGGGACAGGGAATCAGGGTTCTCTGATAAAAAAATCCTTTTAAGCTTTCAATCGTTGTGATGAGAGACAAAATAGTAAGACAATGTGTGTGTAAGTAACAGATTCAAGCTTTGCTATTATGGCAAACCCCTTATTCGTGGAGAAGGTCAGAACTATGAAGGAAACATCCAGTTCCTCTATGGTCAGAACTTTTCTTTTTATTTATTTAATATGTCGGCAAACGAGCAGACGGATTACCTGATGGTAAGCAATCAGCGCCGCCCATGGACACTCGCAACGGAGGAGTTACGAGTGCGTTGCCGACCTTTTAGGGATTAGGAATTTGGAGATTTAGGAACTGGGGAGGGATTAGGGAAGGGGAAGGATTGGGCCTCCGGTAACCTCACTTACACGGCGAAACACAACGCTGTGGTTATTTCACGCCGGTTTTCTGTGAGGCCGTGGTATCACTCCGGTCGAGCCGACCCATTCGTGCCGAAGCATGGCTCTCCCACACTTGATGTTCAGAACTAATGTTGATAAGGTTCTCCCGTACTCTTGATAAGGGTCAGGGCTGGATCATTTACTTACCACCCAAATTTGATATTTAATATATCTGTATCAAATATCAAACTTAACTAAAAAAGAATTTTCTGAATGTAATCTGCATTCACAAATTTCTTTCTAATGTCATTCTATATTTAAGTCAATTTAATTATCACTAAACTTATGTAAGTTTAACGTGTAGCTATTGTTATCAACATGTCAATAACTCAATGACCTAATAACGAGAACAAAAACAATCGAATATTTGATAATTGTTATCAATAAACAATTAACAACAGCAGTTAATTATTTAAGTATTTAGGCGTGGCTTGCGGACAGACCTTTAATTCTGTTGGTTTATTAAATTAATGGTCACAGAGCAAATTCATTTCAAATAAAAACTTCTTATACACTTTTCGGTCTTAGTGTTTCACAAATTCCTAAATGCATCAACTGTTTATTTTTAGGTACCACGTTAGGTACCTACTGTCGTTACAGAAATTAGATTGGTACGTACGACTTCACTGTCAATGTAAGTACATAGTAATGGTAGGGCACTTCCGTCCTGCAAGCTAATGCTAACTTACTGGAAGTTGCTGAGATAGGTTTTAAGTATAATATTTGTTTCTGAGAGTTCAAATCTACAATAGATCTCTAACACAGAATTCAGTATGACGGTATTACACTAGCAATTAATAGTGTTAATCTATCAACAAATTAAATTATTGTGTAACATCTTATCTAACCCTTACAAGAGTTCAGAAATTTATTTTAGTTACTAGGCGGAGAGCAAATACCAGCCGGTGATAATAAATAATTAAATCTATGGACGTCACACATAGACACTTTTTTATGTTAAGTATCTTTATCTATGAAGTCGCATCAATTTAAATCATTCTCAATCCGTACTTAATCACTGATGAAACGAATATCAATTATTAGACCTAAATAAGAATTTTAAGTAGAAATTTTATGTCTTTACCAATAATTTTGCTTACGAAGCTTAGATAATGGTCAACACAATCATCTAAATTAACATCAGCACATTAATATTTGTTATCAATTCTAGCAAGCTGCATACAATTTTCTCTAGTCACGACTTTCTGCATTAATTTTGAAATGTACCTTAAAGTTAGATACAATTTGTGTGTCGTTTTAAATCAAAATATAAGAGAACAATATAAAGGGTTTCTCTAGCAGAAACATACGAAAACCATATCAACCAAAAGGCCAAAAGTTCAAAAGATAATTGAAATGGTTCTAGAAAAAAAAATGAATGTAACTCATATTAATATCATGAAATAATAAAAGATAAGGTAAGGGGAACAAAAACAAGTTTAAACATTTAATTCAAGCATTTATTGTTAATATGAATTGCATTCATAAGACTACTTGATACATGAGACTATGGAATGTTAGGTAACTATGTTACTTTACTACGGAATGTTTCATTTGACACCATCACTGTACTAGTTTACAGTACACAGACACTAGCAGACTCGAATTACCACACCACAACATTATTCATTGCGAAATATGAAAAGTACTATGATGGCAACAATTTGCTGTTTCTGACAAAATACACCACATGTTAATAACAAATATAATTAATATGAATTTTTCCATTTGTGCGATTGACAATTCCAAGTCAATACTGAAAAAGTTAATAAAAAAATTACAAAAGTAACTAAAAAAATATGTAATACCAAGAAAGGTAAACAAAAATTTTGTATCAATATTTTGTCAGAAACTATTTATAACCAACAACATTACATATCTAGATAATTGATATTAGAACAAGGAATGTTTAACAGATCTTACATACAAATACTCTGAGATTCTGGTTATCAACATTAGTCACAAAGACACATGACACATAAAGAGTATGGTGTTATAGTAGTTCCAACAAGACACACATCAAATGTTCTAAATACACCTCTAGACATTAAAACACCTGAGCAGTAACACAGATTGATATGAAATAATCTAGATTATTACATCATATTCAATGAATATATAGAAGCTAATAATTTATAATCACATTGATAGTTTGGCAAATATTCAAGTAAGAAAGCTACTCTTAGATAGTGGAAGATATCTATCTACTCATCATCAAAATAGTCCACATGCTCACCAGGACTAAATTTGCCCTGTAAGAGGACCTTCAAACATTTCTTTGCAGTTATTTCTGGCTTAAGCAGAGCTCCTTGGGACCTAAATGATGTGAATACATCTCTCAAGTTAGCATTAACAGTTTCAGCCAAGACATAGTCAATCATAGAGGTCTCAACAGGCCCAGGGGAATAGTTCAACACTCTAATGTTTTTCTTCTCCTCAGCCAGTACTCTGAAATACATCTCCCTAGCAGCCTTACCACTGCAGTAGCTGGCCATACCACTCATAGGTTTAATGGCACACAAAGATGTAACATTCACAATAACAACTCTGTCTTCAACATCCTCAAAAACTTTGAGGAATTGAGTATTCAGAGTGATAACATTGAACACATTTAGATCATAGTACTGTCGCATTTCCTCAACATTCTCCATGCGCTCTGTCTCAACTGACAGGTTGCCCAGTGAGCCAACATTGTGGAAAATGACACTGGTTGCAAAATCAGTGACCTTGTAACCTTTAAGAGAAGACTGGATCACACTGAGCATGTCTGCAGCAGATGCTTTGGAGAGGTCCATGGACTCATAAACAATGTTAACATTATCAGATTTGCAGAGGTCAGCTGTCTTGGCAAGTTCCTCTTTGTTACGGGCTAACAGTAACATTAAGGATTTTGGGCCAAGATGCTTTGACAGTTCCACTGCAATAGCTCGGCCTATTCCCTGAGAGGCACCAGAAAGTACACAGTAGGTAGCCCCCGACAAATCAATATTAATAGCTGATGCAGATGCCATGATTACTTACAATATTCTTAAATTATTTGAGAAGTTACTCTTGCAACAGTTTCTCGTTCTCTGTGTCTCCTATTACAGGGTCGAGGTCACAGCCTTCACGCATCAACCGGTCAATACAATCTGCCCTGTATGCCGCCAAGTTCTCAACAACTTTATTCTTGGATTTGACTGCCTTTAGTTTGCGCTCTGTAAAAGAAAATACAAATGATAAGTATTTTTGTAAATATTAGAAAATGAATTAAAACTTCCAAACACTTAAATGATTTTTGATTTACCAATAAAAGGGTAGAAGGTTTACTGATTAAACAATTTCTACAAAAGGGAATTGTACTGTGTGCGTTCGACCTTCGAACAGTAGCGGCGTAACTGCACGGTGCGCGTCGGGCGGTGAATGTGGATGCCGGCCTATTTGACACTCAATATATTTCGCAACCGCACGCTCAGCACTGCTCCACATTAAGTCACATTGTGTAACAAAACAACATCTAACTAACCAATCAAAAGTCGTTAAAACACGATTAGAACTTGAACTCATTATCAATTACCTAAAATTGCGAGATACTGTTCAGAATCCGATAACTTCTCAGACACGGAAGTTGGTTGAAAATTATCTTCAAACTCTGATAGAACCTCAGAATTCCCAATTTCACTGCCCCAAGGATCCATCAAACTCTGCAAATAATACGGAAGAAACATTAATCACAATAATATTTTCTTATAAAAAGCGCAACCTTTTACAGTAGTATGCAAATAAGACTTAGATAGAAACATTTTGTTAAAAACTTACTCAATCATAGGCTGAGCGCCTATTGGGTAGTTAATAAAACTATGGTGGAAAAGATTTTGTACAAAAAATAATAGGTACAAATAATACAATTCCGCAAAGCCTGACAAAATCAAATCAATGACATGACATTATAATTGACGTTCCAAATCCATATACGAAAATTAAATAAGCATTCTACTGATACAAATATTTATTATTTAAAAGTCACCTGAAGATTATTGTAATGAAATTGCCATTATTCTTTTATATTTTATAAAAAATAAAATTTCCAGTCATAGTTAAATCCATAAACTCTATAATACTGCTAATAATGTTTGTAAATTTAAATTCAAATGCTAGTTATATAACATGCGATAACGCGCTGGAACGCGGCGATAAGATAAGCCAGAGACAAATATAAACATACTGCCAGTATATTCTATTACTACTTTATTTTAACTTTATATACAAATTGTAATAATATACAAATTTTGTAATTAATATTACAAGAAAAAAAGAATTTCTTTTGCTAAATTACTAAGTTTTGTTTTTTTGTTATAAGACAATCATGAAAATGTTTGCATTTGACTGTATCCTTGGTTCTTTAAATACCATAGACCACTCTACCGACGTCAACAACTTGGCGGGAAAGAGATACTGTTTTGAATTCTACTGAAAGTAAACACACAGTGTCACACACAATGTGTATTTATTCGGGATACATATTTAGATTTATCCATTAAATTCAATGGATTTATTGCGTTGTGTCACATCAAGACTTTAAAAGGTTGGAAACGAGGTACCTACCTATAAAATGTGTATGTATAACAAATATAACAATATAATATCGTATATTGCTTTTGGAAAGTGTGTAAACATGTGTGTATACCACTACAGAATAGGAATACATAGGTAATAATGCTAATGCATGTTTTGTCTTTCTAAAATCTTGTTGTGTAGAAGTAGAGCGCGCAAAGTCCAAAATTCAAGTAGTATTTAGTTTTCAATTTTAACAATTTCAAAATGTGCGCAATGTGTCATTGTAAAGTACACCTATTACTGTATGTGCCTATGTATGTAGGTACATATAATAAGGATTTCCTTTAGGGCCTTTTTATAACTTTTTTAACACTCTCAGCTGCTTTAACTAAACCACACAATAAAATTATACTTTGTGTGACAGTCATCGAATACTTAGTAAGTCATACAAGAATACTTGTCTTCGTAGCTTAAGCATTATCTTCATGTATAAAAAGTGTTCGAAGTTCGACTTGATTTCAATACAGTCGTCGCATAGTGTCAGAACGCATCTAAATGTTTTCTAAATAAAACAATGTGTGGCAAGCCTTAAATAGTACCTATGCTTGAACTATATAAACTTGAAAAGATAAAATATGCCCGTATATAAACTAATCTTAACTCCTTTGAGTTAAAGTTTAAGTTTGATTACCAACTGTATAATTTATAGCACAAATGATTATTGCTGTGCTAGAAATAGACTCTATTGCTCAGGCATAAAGTTTATATTAGAATAGGTGATATTTGTAGCGATAAAAGCAGTTTTCGCGGAGCTCGAGTGAGCGGAGTAGACGCAGCTGCCCCGCCCTCCCCGCGCTCCGCGTCGCCGCTCTCCGCGCGCCTCGCACGCCCCGCGCGTGTCGCGATGCCAAAGAATAAACAAATACTTAGAGCATTGTATTAATTCTTTATTGCCTATAATTTTCCTTCTTCAGATATGGGGAGAAAGTGTCATTGATAACTTGATAACCTTCCAATATCGTGCAACATCATTATTTCAGAAAATGTATAAAACGATAATTTATTATATTTTACGTGCAGCATTAATGCTGCAGCATTTTAATGTGATGCATGATCTGCACTGCATCATAAGTTATATCGTAATAATTATTTATATTTATCATTATTTTAGCTCAAAATATTATTTGAAATGGACCGGAGCATCTGTAATAGTGTACCTAAGTGTAATCGTAGCAGTATTTAATTAAGTCTTCGATACATTTCCATCTTATATAATTTAAATACCATTTCCACTTCTACTAATCGAATCTTTTTCTTTGACTCGTAGTGTGTGACGTTAGGGGCACGTATACCTGCGTAGTGTAACACAAAGTAGCTTTCTCTGCTCCTATATTTCTATGTACTATGCTTAAATCTTTAAAACTACACAACGGATTTTGATGCGGTTTTTTAAATAGGTTGAGTGATTGAAGAGGTAGTATGCATAATAACATCCATTAAATTGTGGAGGAATTGAGTAGTAGAAGTCGGATGGGTCGCTAATTTGTAAATAAATAATAAAATAATAATGTTATGAAAGTAAAATTGTTGGAGTGGACACCGGTATTGCTATTTTATCTAATAAAAAAGTAATGGAAGGATATAATAATCAGGAAGTGACAAATTTTATTTTTATTTATTCAATATAAGTTAAGCATTGTGTTGTTGATAATTTTCCGTGTAGGAAACAAGTTGATTGTTTTGTAAACAAGAACATAATATTCAATTATTGTTATTATATATTTGTAAGCTTTATTTTATCTGCAGCTCATATTTGACACAATCTTGGTTATTTTGCACAAAATAGCAATTCGGAAGTAATTAAATTCTTTGCGAATCACATGATGCTCGCCTCATGCACCAACGGCAGATGCTCTTAGCATTCACAGTTATTATTAAACACCGACTGTGCAGTCGAAAGTTTTTTTCCAAAAAGACGATAGTTATTTGCCTAATTTACTATCTTATCATGATAGTCTGTGCGGCAGGCGGTCCGCGGCTCGCGCCGCCATTCTGGATATTTTGACGGGAAGGTCGGTCACGTGACTCGACGGCGGGCGCGGGCGCGGGTCGCGGGGCGCCGGCTAGACTCTCCAGTAGCCGAGCCATCCGTCTGCTGCTTTGACTGCGGCCGGTCGCGGGAATCCACGCCCCAGTCTCACGCGTCCGCATCTATTACGTACCACTTTGTTCTAATGGGACCCGTATTTTTTCAATGCAGTTTACAAAGATTCAAAGCATTGAGTGATTGCAGTGCGTGCAGTACCAATTTTTAAACAAGAGGTGCGTTTGTTTGGTGGCAAACTGAGGTTATTTGCGTATTTTTTGCACGGGTGTGCGTGCGGCGACGGGGCGGAGACGCCGACGTTGAGCAGAGTGTGCTCGGCCGGGCCGTCGCGACGGCACACTCGGCTCGGCAGACATGTTTCGGTCGCGGCCGGAGCGCGTCGTGCGTGCAGGCGCGTAGGCTCGCTCGTGACATGCGCCTGCCGAGCCGCAAAGACAGTGGGGGTGTTCGAACATGGATGTAGTGACGCCGCATATCACCTCCGTGCTGAAGACATACCAGGCGAGCGCGCCGCGCAGCCTGCAGGGCCCGGGCTGCGGGCGCGCCGAGCCTTGCGGCGACGCGCCGCCGCCGCCACCGCCGCCCGCCGCTCCGCCGATCCTGCTCGCCGCCGACACCGTGCTGGGCGAGCGCGGCGAGACACTGCTGGAGGGCGAACCCATCTCATGCTTCAGCGTGGGCGGCGAGCGGCGGCTATGCTTGCCACAGATCTTAACTTCGGTGCTGACGGACTTCACGTTAGAACAAATCAACCGCGTGTGCGATGAGCTGCAGATCTACTGTTCTCGGTGCACGCCTGAGCAGCTGCACGAGTTGAAGTCAACGGGGGTGCTGCCCAAGTCGGCGCCCTCGTGTGGCCTCATCACCCAGACGGACGCGGAGCGGCTGTGCGCGGCGCTGCTGCACGCGCCAGCCGCCTCGCGGCCGCACAAGTTGCCGGGCTTCCGGGTCTACCACGAGTGCTTCGGCGGCGCGCGTGGCGTTTGCGCCGTCGACCTCAACCTAGTGCAGTGTTTGGAATGTCGAGCTCTATACACTCCTCGTCGCTTCGTGTGCCATTCGCACGAGTCGGAGCACCGCACGTGCCACTGGGGCTTCGACTCGTCGCGATGGCGGCGCTTCCTACTAGTGGCCGAGGAGGAGCTGGACAAGGAGAAGTGTGGCGCCCTGCTGGACGAGCTCGCTGCGCGGGATGTGGCGCCAGCTTCCGCGCTCCCTCCTGTGCAGCTCAAACAACAGAGTTTACCGTTAAAAAGAAAACAGGTAAGACTATCAGATATTTACCAATTTATATGCATTATAATACTTATTAGGAATGTCATTCTTATTGGAATCTTATAACCAGAAATCAAACTTCACGATACTGCCCCATTGAACAACCTTGGTGGTAGCATAAGTATAACTGTCAGTCAGATTAATCACCAAGTGCAAGCTAGTTCTCAATAATTAATAGTAACCCCTATTCACTTGAAAACAGAGCCCGACAAAGACTGCGTGATCCAGCCTCTCGAAAGCGCTATTAATTTAGCTGCACTGCACCGTCCATTTTAGATGACGGCACATTTCCGCATCCATTGTGCTTATACCCGCTGATTATCATCACAGATACGTATTGTGGCCATGTATTTACGAGATAAATAGTGTTATCAGACCGGCCAGTGTCACACGAACATGTGCAAGTGAATACCTACACATTGTTCGCAAAATGACGTATTGTAAGTTTGTAACCGCAAAATAATTATGCAATGTTCACGATAAATGTGTTAGCTGTTGATTGTTGTTATAAAATATACTTACTATTCATGGGCTAGAAAGGGACCATAATTCTATACGACAAAAACAAGAATTTTATTAGTCACTCGGAAAATAATTAGCTATTTTATATATTCGTTGGCTTTGTCCCATAAAAGGATTTCCCTTTTAAACACGATAAAGTTTCTTACGCCAATGACAATTTAATGACTGCTGCAAATCAATAAAATTGATAGCGTACGAAGTAAATTCGGCGATTTAAGAGAAATTAATCGGCACCAAGCACCAGCTGCTGCCTCGCTGCCGTTTATCGGCGAACGATTGTTTATATGTACATATATTATGTGTTTGTATTTTTGAGTCTGCGAAACTGTTATTTGTTTAGTCTGCTAACTCCAATCGTTATGTAAGGTCACTGCGCCTGCGACTTCTGGATGACTTCTTGCCCTACTAACTCTACCGACTTTGTTTATTAATATCTAAGATAAACAAGATACCTACTACCGCCCTGTGTAAATATTGTGCAAGTAATTATGCGAGCCGATGTAAGTGAATATTATTAAATATTAAACAAATAACATCGGACCCGTGTACGTACTAAAAATGGATATTTTCATAATAATGTATTCTCTTAATTCACTAACTCTTAATATATTTACGTCATTACGTCAAGATACACGTGTTACTGGTTCTGCGGTATGTAATATAAATTAATTATGAATGGACGGTTTTCATGTGTGCTTATACGCCTGTACAATACACAATACGAGCTGATTTCCACGTGATTGTCTGATCGACCTAAACAAAGCGATGACCAATCAATACCTACTCGCAGACGTCTCCTAACATGGTAGACCTTGCTATTAATATCATTGACTAGAATTATCCTTCCTGATGCACCGGCGTGACCTAGTTTCTATGTAGAGCAAGTTAACAAATGTACTACATTCCAGCCAGACTGAAATCGACCACGACCTTTGCCCAATTTGAGATAAAATACAAATGTTAACTAATCATGATTATGCTGTTTTGATCCTCAATCATTCACCGCCACAATATTTTGTCTGAATAAACTTATTTAATAAAACATTATCACGGATTTGCAAAAACAACTTTATCAACTTTGAGATAAAAATACATATAATATTATGTAGCTATGAGGCGCTAGATAGTCAGTTTTATAGTGTTTACAAAGTTCTGATTGGCTAGACTCGGATGGGTTTTTGTAAACTGCGCAATGATGTTTTGATAGGAAAATAGAAGTAGTTCTAATTTATTGTAAGTAGGTACCTACGTATTAACAAAAAAAAATGACGAAAAAAACGTTTCATTATACCAAACTGCTAAACAGGTTAGAGAAGAAATTGATTTAAATATAAAGAAAATAAAATCTTCATTCGAAAACGAGAATGAACTACTCGTACAAATAGAAAGAGTGAGACAGATAAAATTCGCATTGTTCGAGCTTAATTAACTAATTTGTTAATAATTTAGGTGTTTCCAATTACGTAAGTATTCGGTCTGTGATATTTTTGTTACTTTGTTAGGTATAGAGATACTTGTAGATAGATAGCTTTAATTTACTTACAGCAAATTATAAATATTATGGCGAATGTATTAGATACTAGATTACGACTGGTATCACCTATCGGTACACGTCTACATTTGCCGTCTGATCTAGGTATAAAAATACGTGATGATATCTTATCATAATGAAGTACTTCTTTAAATTATAATTACAAATGCAATTAATGTCATCAGAATAGGTAAATCGGTAAGTGCAATGACAAAGCTTATATTAATTTCGATAAGGAACTTTAATAAATTTTGTCCTGAGTCTTCGAGTATGCTATCTTTTTCCAGTGGCTATGCCAGGATGTTAACAGGATAAAAATTAGCCGATGTGTTATTGAAAATTATAATCAATCTTTCTAGGCACTAATTTTCATCAAAATCCATTCAGTAGTTTTTATACTTTTTACGTGAAAGAGTAACAAACACACATCCATCCTGCTACCTTTCCACTTTTAAAATACAAAATTTTACATATAAAACATTAGTAGGCTTTAAAAACAGTTCACTAAGGGCAGAATTTTCAATAATCACACAAATGTTATCTGAAGAATATTAATATAGTTGCTGTCACTGTCTTATGCAAACATTCTAACGCGACAGCATCATAATTATTCCCCAGATAACTTTAATCTAACCATTGAAAAAGCTGCCCTAAATCATCTCCCAGCTGAAGATAGACCTCGTACAATGACTCAAAGTTCCCAAGTTTTGTCTATATTTCTACTATACACACATAGTTAGAGCTTCAGGAGTGGCAAGATGTCTGAACCAGTTGATTCACTTGAACAGAGTGTTGTGTTACATAAATTGCTCAATTTAAAGATGGCGATCAGCTCTGTTAGACAGTAACCTGTTTACAGTTTATTATTGACATTGCAGTGCAGTATTGGAGATAATACTGTTTTGCAAAGTTTAACAACAACCAACTCTGTGATACTTCATGATTATGATAATTTGTATAAATAATAAAACTGGTAATACGCGAGCTAATAGTAGGCACATCGATTAATCCTGGAAATTCCCGACTTATTATCTTCATTCGTAAACCTACGAAATCCAAGTAAATTAACGTCTACATCAGGCAATATGCTGTTTATCTGTAATCGCTACTAGATAGACAGATAATTTAAAACCTATAATTTCCTCGATCCAAAACCGATACACCATTGATATTACGGTAGCAAATTACGATTCGATCGCTTCCATCAACGATACAAAAACGAGTTACGGTTATCTTAAGTGGCTGTAACTGCGCTGCACGTAGCCGAGCAGACATGGCGGAGTTACCATTATACTAAATAGGTACATACATAATGGAGCGCCTAAGGGCTACACAAAACATGAGTATTAAAACTAGACGATACATATTATTAACACAAAAATGCCTCAATAATGACGTTCCCTTCGATAGAGCCATTTTATTCAAAACAATGTCGTGTACTAACTTTACCTAGGTATTTTGTACAGCATATCATTTTACTGATGGCATACATTAACCAGGATTTTTAATCAACTGTCCTGTTACACAATTGATCCCCTTGATCCCAACTTCATCCCCTCGGGATCTACAATACATTATCAAGAGTCGTGCTAAACAATGGCGGTCTCGTTTTACACGCCGTCTGCGTTCCACTCAGGCGCAGGGTGTAATTATGCGAGCGTGTCATGCGCAGCTCATAAACGACGCATGAGCGCATTTATCTTTCAAGTAATATTAGCCAGTGCTGCATGGTAGCGTCCGCTGCAATTTACGTCAGGAACAAAAGATTTCTAAATAGGGTGTGTGGTGTACCATTTGTACTTTTTGTGGCCGAATTAATTGGATGCTTCGCACTGATAAATCAAATCGATATTTTATCTAAAATAAAAAATAGCAATATTTCACTCACATTTAAAATTAGGCTGTACGTTCAATAGTTACAAGAGAACTATTCAATTCGTATCACATTCCATTGAAGAGAACACATCCCGCGTCATTACCTATTCTTCGATGCTACATACCTTTCATTGTGGCGGCGGGTGTGGCCCGCAATCAGTGCTAAACCTCACCTCTAACCATTTGTAATAATTTAGGCAAATTGTAGTTTCCCCCTCGCTCTGCCTGCAATAGATATTACACCCTGTTGTGTTTGGATATGGAAATAATATATTGTACCCCAGATAAAGGATGGTGTGTGATACTATGTTTGTAATTAATTTTATTTTAGATTAATTTTTGAGGGGGCGTGTTGGAATAACAAAAATCAATCTACTCATTATTCTCACGCCACTATTATAAGTGCCTTAAGTGGCCAGCTAACTCTCACTGAGATGTTTGCATCTCGCCCTCATTCGGTTCTGCTAACGCCTTCAGGCAACACACACCTCCTAAAGTAAAATAATAAATTCCACCTCTGCTATTTGATAAATAAACTTAGTTTTACAATCATTCAATGGTCCAACATTTGTTGCATAGGATTAGGGAAACCCAGAAAAACCTAATCAGACCATGTTATACTTATTCAAAATCTTAACCTAGTTAAGTATTTAATACTATAGATTTTATTCATATATGAAATATATTGTAATCTATATAAGATGATTAGATCCCACATTTTCCAAAAACATTGTCTATAATGGTCCTTTCAGATCAACGCTAAGTAAAGTACTTAGGTTATTTTTACTCGTATTACGACATTGTAGGATAATCCCCACGTACCAAGCTTCGCGCTTACTCCAGTTAAGTAATTGACCAATCTAATGATCTCTTTTTCTCAGAAACTTGTGATTATGTTTCGCTTTAGTCTTAGAGGACCAACGCGCACACGAATTCAGTTCAAAGACATTTTTATTGACAACTATTCGTTTAACTAAATTAAATTCAAGAGAATAGGAATGTCTCAGTATGGAAAAACTATGGACAATAGCCATATTGTCTTGATTTGAAACCCGATTCCAAGTAAACCAGAGTAATTAAATGCGCTTTGAATTGGACGAGAAACAGAAAACAATCGTCAAAGGTATCAGAAGGGTTGCTTCTTACAACGCGATGCATCTAACAAAATCTACTGTTTGATAAATAAGCAATGCACAAAACCCGTTTTGAACCACCTTGCAAGTGTTGTATATCTTTTTGTGTTGGGTGTATACGTACCTACGTAAGATAGTTGTAGACCTTCTGTAGCTATGTTGTATAGGTTGGTAGCGAGTTACAAAGTATTCTGAATGTCATGCGAAGTGAACGGAGCCGCGCCTGCCGCGAGCGCCAATCGCAGCCCGCGGCCGCCTCACCTCACCTACCATGATTACTTGGTCAATGTTCTGCGATCTGCATTTTTTAATTAGCGGGTTGGGTGAACGGTTCTTGATTAAGCTTCCATCTTCATTAACGCTAACGTATTCCTTTTTATCACGCCTCAACTAGCGAACACGCGCTATTCCGAAGTTTACATCGTTTCCGAGAAAGGCCGCAATAAATTAACTTAACAAATGGAGGGTTTTTTGATCAGGAATTCATTGTTTTGTTACTGTGAGAAATAGAGGAATTTGAGGTCGTACTAAAGTAAAATGGATCTAATAGAACGTTTAATTGATTTGTATTTAGGCAGGCTCTGATTTGTCGTGAGGTTGATTTATAAAAAGTTTCTAAAGCGTACAAAATTGTCGCCTAACCTTTAAATACACCCACAATGGTTGGAACTTTGTTCGCCGGCTTAGCTACTAGAGTGGGCCTAAAGCCGGAATTTTCCTGGATCCCGAAAACGCGCGCGTGTAAGTAATCGACGTAACCCTCCCATTGCCTCCCAGGAATTGACGAGTTTGCCTTGGGAGGGATACTACGGGTAGTAAACTGTCTTGAACTCAATTCCAAGTCTTGAAGCTGAAAACTTCTTACGTATAAATTGTAAATTGATCCTTATTAAGTTCTGGGTTTCAGTCTTGAGTGCTACGGACCATCTGAGTTATACATATGTATTCCCTGAGGCCTTAAACTTGTGAAGTAGGTATCGAATAGGTATATAAAGATATAAGGTATACGATATTTTTAGATTGATTCGTTTAGCATTGATGAAGTAAGGTAGTTGTTCCTTACTACTCACATATATTTAACTTTAAAACAAACTGTCCGTCTTTAATAGTAACAGTTAACTCCAAGTCGTGCCCTAAAATCTTGCGCCACAAAAGGTCGCATGAACTCTACAAATTGCTGCCTACTGGAGCTTAAAACTTCTCGGAACCCGTGTAAGTCTTCAATTATTATCATCGAGAGTATTGAGTGGTACTCTAGTAGTAGAGCGCGCTTCGTGCATATTACAATGTAGCCCTGCGTATGTATTGTGCAAGCCCTCAGCAGCTAGGGGTACAGTAGACACCGCGGGGAACCAACTTGCGAGTACAGACAGCCGAATAAACTATTCATGGAATACGCAAACACGTATTTATTATTTACGGACACGCTACCTAACTAATGTGAATATTAAATGACATTGAACTGTACAGCTGATTCTATTCTCGCTCCTTTGCGACCTTATCTTCGTAATCAACGTTAATGTTGGCATTTAGTCTTGGGCCCGCTAACTAAAATGGCTGTTTCGATTTAAAAATCATGCATTAATAATAATTCAATAAATAAGCATTATTAGTTATTGATAACTCTGGTCACATAGTTTGGGTATGCTATGGTAGCTACGTGACCATTAAAACACACTTTGTGGTTTACTATTTTAATGATTACCACGACACGTATACGCCATAAATAGTTTACCTACATTTTCGTATCTCTTATCTCAATAACACAATAGTATTCTACTCCACGTAATGTGCGAAGTGGTTTCCCACACGGCCGAGGTCAAAAGCGCAAATATATCTAAAGTTAAAAATAGTCAGTATTTAGTATGCCAACCCTACCTCTACACTTCCAAGCATGCAAATTGAATGCGAAACATATGAACGTGGTACGTTTACTTTGTGTAACCCGACCGGTTTGAGAATACACCATCTGCACTTATTCAACGCACTTGGGTCACCTATAAAACTCAGTCGGGTTACGCGCTTCATACATATCGCGCCTGAGTAGAAAGGCTAGAAGTCTTGATGGTAGGTGTTTTAAAATAGACAACTCCGTGATTTTGCTGGTTAGCTCGCCTAGCAACAGTGGCTGCCGTGTGATTTGTAGATGCTTGTTTATAGACGTGCGAGGGCGACAAGCAGACCGAAGTGGTTTCAGTTTTTATTAAAAGTAGAAAAAGTAGTGTGTAGAAAAAATGTAATTACCAACTTTTTAAGTGTTATAAATTGTTGGCGGGTTGAATGTTTGATTGATGCCTACACTGCCCTTGTCACGTCAACAAGGTTCTGTTCTCTAGGTCATTAAATAAAACGAAACATAACTAGAATTGTTAAGCGATCATTTCCTTCCAGATAGTAGGAGTTTTCCTTCTGTGCAAGATGAAATGTTACCTTACTTAGATTGGAGCGCTAAAAGCAAAGTTTTAGGGGGAAAGGGTCAACAGTCAATACACATTTTGTAAACACGGAATCGGCCTGCAAACGTCGGTGCATTGTTAGCCACGTGTTCTAGGGAAAAAATTTAATTAAGTCTCTTTTATTTTGAAATGGAATATCATCACTTTTGCAAATGATGAAGTAATATAAAATAGTTCACAAGCTTGTTCAATGTTTTTTATAATACAGCTAATTATAATTTAAAAAATATTCGGTAAGTCCGAAGAATATGGCTCAAACAACAAGGTGCCAAATTGACCAATGAAACATACAAAATTACGAGTTAACGATACATTAAATAGTTCTTTCATAATAATTCAACAGATGAACTATAAACTTGGTGGTAGTCGACATTTTTATGTTGCTAAAATAAAATAAAAGCTTTATTTAATTCTGTCGTGGTGAGGCAGGCTTAAAAAATGACTGAAACTTCTTTTTAAAAGCAAAAGATGAAGAGTTCGTTGCACCTTTCTGTCGGTGCCGTGGTGTGACTATTATTTAGCAAATAAACACTAGAAGCCGGATTTTCGGCACGAGTCGTCACTGAACTATGAACGTGACACCTGTTAGGCGCCTGCTAATCACTTACTCATAGTCAGAAATAGTAAGATGTAGAATTTAGTATTTTTCTGAAATTTATCTTATAAACTGCCTCATTTGACGAGTGTTCACAATTTCTAGGGTCAAGCAGAGTGGCTTATCATATTAGAACTCATAATAACTGGTGAAATATGCACATGCATTGCATAATAAATGTAAACCCTTACTTAAGCATATGTGGACTAAAACGGCGATATTATATCATGTGTGTATAAAAATCTAAAGAGTCATAAGCCAATCGTTGCTAGATGAAATGATATATAACAGTAGTTATACATAAATTAAAACTTTTACGTAGGTATTATTTTAATGGCAAAAAGCACTCACCATTACAAACTTTTATGACTGCCTCCTTCTTATTACTAACGTGTAAATTAATATCAAAATTCTCTTAACATGATTTTCGGTTGTACGATTTAAGAGAACGCACATAAACAGTGGAACATCATCAATTTGTTTTGACACTAGTTATTTATTTAATTTACTTATTTACATAATGGCTCTGTGATACCCGAGTGAATTAAATTCGTTACACATGGCAGCCTTTGCTTTTTTCTTTAAAAAAAGTAAATAATACAGATAACATAGAAATGTAAGGTGTTTTTTAAACTAAAAATAAGCCGCGATATGGCTCGGTGGTTTTACAAAATATCCGCCTTTGTATAGTTTTGTTGTAGATAGAGACTAGCTGTTTATAATAACTAATTAGATTCGTAATTATCACAGTATTATTATAAAGTACGTATTTATGTTAATTTGTATAAGTCGGAATCTTAAAAGTTACAATTGTCGAAATAATGAGGCGTTACCACATCTGTTGCCAAGTGATGTTTCATTTAAATCATTTTGTATGTTCTTATGTCTGCGATATTTCTATAAAATGGGACTAATTTTTCTCAAACTACATAAAGCATTCAAATTAATTGATGGCGTCCATATAAATTCTAATTTTATTGTAGCTTCGTTGGTAATAGTGATGCGGATGAATTTGATACGCAAGGAGGATTGTTAGAAATGTTGATACCTACTTGGATAATAACTACATAATTAGTGAAGACCACAAGACGACTTTCTAACATGAAGAATCTTTTAAAACTAGAGTAATCGACTTCGGAGATTACAAAATGACTTCATCTAGAGACCAAAGTAATATAATAATCTTTAATCTAATACGCAATCAAATCTGTGATTCTCGGCACGCAATTTAGAATAGCCATTTTTTGCATTACATTGTTCTAAAATCGTTACATAAAGTAATTACATTCCAAGTACATTAGGAACTGGTCAGCTATTCGTGAAAATTCAATTTAACTTGGCCACATAAGTTTTCTCTTATCCATATTTTTTTTACACACAAACACGTCATTTTGAAAATTTGATACTTACCAGGTTGTTAAATTCTTAGTTAATTAAGATATATTCAAGGGATAAAAATACACTGGCGGCACTATTAATCATTTAATTAAAACAAAAGTACTAATTACAGTTTTTAGAGCATAACTTATATTTGAAATGAATATAAAGCCGTCGTAAACTTTACACTTTAAGTCGTGTGAAGACTTATTTGTTACGCCTCGCATTCGTAATTTACTGTAAGCTATATTCTTACCGACTAACGTAATAAATTAGTAAGAAAATGATTAATTAATAACCCTAAATAATTAGACGCACAACTGCTAATTAAGATCGTTAATGCGCAGAGTAACTTATATGAAAGTTTTATATTTGTCAAATAATTAATATTTGTTGTTCGGTATCGTTCAAAACTTCAAACAAGCCTAGCTTTTTCGAGAGAAAAACTAGGGAGCATGGGATTCGTATCTTACTAAAACAAACCCGGTGGCCGCTCTCAGCACCTGTAATGCACCGGGTCCTCCTATAGGCCTTTATAGCCCTCATAGCGCAACGCCTGTGGTGACACATCCCTAGGGAGGCCTGCGTCTGCCTTGAACTTTGAACACAACAGCACATGACTACTGTGCCACCATCACCCACAAAGGTTCACCGATGTAGGCAAGATTTCGGCAGGCGCCAAAACGGTAGCTTCTTATTATATTATTGTAAATGTATTGTATTCAATCTGGTCCAGGATATACTCGCTGACAAAGTAACTTAGAACTTCCAACTTTTGAAGGTTTTTGCATTTATAAGAATTGTACTAGTGTAATAAGGAATTTAATTTGGAAAACGAGAAATTTAA